CATCATATGTATAGTTTCTATTAAACAAAAAATAGTTTATAGTAATAAAGTTTTATTGTACCAAAATTGTAAAGTTTTAACAATTTTTTTTTTATTTTTTTGTTTTGTTACACAATTTTACAAAGTATTGTATGTATTATCACTAAAATAAATTTTAAACAAAGAAATAAAGTTTGAGTACCCAACAATATACCTTATTGTTAGGATTTAATAAATATTTATTTATTTATAATTATTTGTTTAATTTAATGTATTATTACTATTTTTTTGTTTTTTTTTAAAATTTTCTTAAATTTTTTTTAAAAAGGTGTTGTTTTTTTTTTTTCTTTTCTTTTTCTTTTGTTAATATATGTTAGGTATGAGTAGGTAGGAGGGAAGGAATGGAGTTGATAGATTGATATTATTTACATTTATATACAATATTGATAAGAATGATTTTAATAATATAATATTTATATGATAATTTGGACTATGTACAATGATTGATATTTGGGTGGTTTAATTAACAACAACCTCCACCACCTCCACAGTCACCACCACCTCCACAGTCACCACCTCCATAGCCACCACCTCCATAGTCACCACCGGAGTAGCTAGAGTATCCACCGCCATGATGTCCACTGTAGCCACTGGAACTGGTATCGCAATGAGATGAGCTGTGATGGTGACTGTTGTTACTTCCACAATCTGTAGTACCACCACCACCAAGTGCACCAACTGCATATAATGGAACAACGCTTGGTGCAGAGCTACTGGACAATGAAGTGGTCTTTGATTTCTTCGACGACGGGGCATTGGAAGAATAGGTTTCATCAAAGTTGGATACCAAAGTCTTTTGCTTGGCTTCCTTCTTCATCTCCTTCTTGGCTCGATGCTGGTTGATTTTATCTCTAATCCAAGTCATTTTGGAATAGGTGATAAGTTAAATTAAATTGTATTTGAAAATTATCTGATTGTTTGTTTGATAGTTTTTGTTTTGAGTGAAATTATTTGGTGTCCAAATCATCATCTATAAATAGTTGTTACCAGGGAGTGTTATAACCTCAAAATAGAAATAGAGAAATTTATTAAGAGTTTTTTGTCTGACAAATTTAAGAAAACTATTTTATTCCTTTTTGGGATTATCTCAAAAAATAATCAATCATTTTAAAAATTTCCAAAAATGGTTGGTTTTTTAATTAATTTATATATTTTCTTTTCCTTTTTTTTTTGAAAACATAGAGTTGTGTTTCTTTGGACTATGACAATTTCCAAATTGGGATGAAAAGTTTGAACATTTTTAAATAATTTCAAAGATAGTATATCGATTTTTTAACTATATTTAGTATTTTTTAGATTTTTCAATCATAAAAAAAATAACATATTTATTTTAACTATTAGCTTATTTTATTTCAACTATTTGTTAACAGAAAATAAGAATGACTTAAGATTAAAAAATAAGTTCTCAAAAAAGAAAATGAAAAAGGGTTGAGGTAATCATAATTGTTTTAATCTGATATGAGAATTTATTAGTATATGATTCAAAGAATATTCTAAGTTTTGTTAATATTAACTATTAAATAATAGTTGAATTTAATTATTCCTTTCATCATAAAATTAATAATGAAAATTTGAAATGAATTTAAATCACCTTGAAAAAAAAAAAAAATTAATTAAAAATAAAATTAAAAAAATAAGAAAACGAACGAAATTTTTTAATCAAAAATTGAATTATTATAACTATTTTTTTAGATTATTTTTTATTACTTTTTATATATTCAATATTAAATATTAAATAATATGACTACAAGAGTATGTATTAAACAGCTACCTAAACATCTAACAGAGAAAAGATTGAAAGATCACTTTGAACGTTTCGGTACAGTCACTGACTGTAAGATTATGAAATCAAGGTAAGGCAAATGTTAACATTAAACAAAAGAAAACTAAATATATAAATAGATTTAGAACAATTACTCATTTTCTCTAAAATGTTATTATTATTTGTTATTTTAGAGATGGAAAATCAAGAATGTTTGGATTCATTGGATTTTCGTCAGAGTCTGCAGCGAAACAAGCGTTGGTTTTGAACAATACCTATTTGGATACAAGTAAGATCATTGTTGAGAAGGCAGTGGATTCCGAGAGTGTTTCACGACCATGGAGTAAATACTCTGCTGGTTCATCGGCATTCAACAAAGCACAGGAACTAGAGAAACAGAAACAACTCACTGAGCAACAAAAGAAGAAAGATGCAGAAGAGAAATTAAAGAATAAAAGAAAGGGTGTTGGTGGAGATGGTGATGATGATATCGACGAGAACGATCCAGAGTATCAGGAATTCAAGAGAATGCATCAGAGAACACAACGAAACAATTGGTCGAACAACGATGACGATCGTGTCAAGAGTGAAGATGCACAACAAGATCAGACAAAGAAGAAGAGAAAGATTGAACATGACTATAAGAAGAACAAAGATTTGATTGTGTTTGACGATGATATTAAAGGTGCTACCACTACGACTGGTGAAGATGACGACGACGACGATGATCTCTACGAAGATATGCCAATCGATAACAAGTCAAACGATACAAACGAAACAGAGGAGAATAAACTTGCAAAAGATTCAGCTATTTCAGATTTAGATTGGTTAAAGTCAAAGATGAATAATAGTAATGATAAGGAAGATAGTGAAGATGATGAAGATGAGGATGAAAATGAAGAAGAAGAAGAAGAAAGTGAAGAAGAAGAAGAAGAAGAAGAAGAAAAAGTTAAAAAAGTAGAAAAAGTAAAAGAAGTAAAAGGAGGAGGAGAAGATGATGAAGCTAAAGTAGTAGATTTTAAAGAAGGTAGTGGTTTTTAAATATGAGAATGACTATGCGAAACAAGAGGTGGAAGAAGACGTTGGTGAAACAGGTCGTTTGTTCATTAGAAATCTTGCGTATACAGTTACGGAGGACGATTTGAAAAAGCTGTTCGAGCCATTCGGTAAGCTATCGGAGATCTATATACCTATCGATAGAAACTCAAAGAAATCAAAGGGAATTGCATTCCTACTGTTTATGATTCCAGAGAATGCTATGCGTGCCATGACCGAAATGGATGGTAAAGCAATTCAAGGTCGTCTCGTTCATATCCTACCCGCCAAGATAACACAACAATCGAAACAACAACAACAAGATTCAAACGGTCAACAGAACCAATCATCTTCATTCAAACAACAAAAAGAAAGAGAACAAAAAGCTGCTGCCGGTGCAACCTACAATTGGAATTCACTTTTCATGAGAGTAAGTTAGTTGTTTAACTTTAGTTTGTTTATTAACATCATCTTATTAATACATGTTGTTGTTATTCTTTTTCTACAGTCTGACGCTATTATTAGTTCGTTGGCAGAGAGATACAAGTTGACACAGGGTGAGGTGTTGGATCCGAATGCGACTGATTTGGCTGTGAGAATGACCCTGATGGAAACACATATTATCAATGAGACAAAGAAGTTTTTGGAGGAGGAAGGCGTCGTTATTGAGAAGATCGGTGGCAAGGGTATAGAGCGTTCAAAGACCGTCATTCTGGTGAAGAACATTCCACACAAGACTACACAGACCGAGTTGGAAACAATGTTTAGTCGTTTCGGTGAGTTGGCACGTGTCTTGTTGACACCGGCACGTACACTGGCACTACTCGAGTTCTACCATGTCAGCGAAGCAAAGTTGGCATTCCAGAACTTGGCATACACTAAATTCCACCATGTTCCACTCTACCTCGAGTGGGCACCGATCGGTGTCTTCACCAAACAAGCCATCTCACTCGAGGACAAGATTAAGCAACGTGAACAACGCGAACAAGAACAACGTCAACAAGAGAAACAACAACAAAAGTTAGAAAAAGAACAACAAAACAATAATAAGAAACAACAACAAGATAAGAACAACAACAACCACAACAACATTATAGTTAAACAAGAAAATGAAGAAGTAGATAGCAGCAAACCACAACAACAACAACAACAACAAGATAAACAAACATTTTATGTGTTTGTTAAGAATCTTAATTTCGATACAACAAGTGAGACTTTGCGCGAGAGATTCAAGAGTATTCGTGACTTTATCAGTGTCAATGTCGCTACGAAGTTGCATCATAAGACCGGCGAGAAGTTGTCGCACGGTTATGGTTTTGCAGAGTTTGGAACGAAACAGGGTGCCTACGAGTGTATCAAGAAGTGGCACAATGCAACTGTCGATGGCCACGAGATCGTTTTGAAGTTGTCCGATAAGGCATCGGCTACCAAGGAGTTACCAGCGAACGCCAAGCGTTCCATCGATCCGACACCGGCCAACGTCGTCTCCACGAAGATCTCCGTCAAGAACATTCCATTCGAGGCGTCGCCCGCCGAAGTCCGTAAGCTATTTGCCACCTACGGAGAACTGCAATCCGTGCGTATTCCCAAGAAACCGACCGGTGGTCACAGAGGTTTCGGTTTCGTGCAGTATCTCACGGAGCAAGAAGCGAAGAACGCAATGGATGCTCTCAGAAACTCTCATCTTTACGGAAGACATCTCGTGTTGGAGTTTGCCGAGCTTGATAAGAACATCGATCAACTACGTCAAAAAGCAACTGAAGAATATAATAAATTAAAGAAATAAAGAAATAAAAATAATATAAATAGATATTTATTATTATCTTTTAGCTAAAACTCAAGATTTGATTTTCTACAATTTTGTTTTAACTCAAACAACAAACCAATTTTAGTAATAAAATTTTGGTTGGTTTGTGTGTGTATTTAGTTAGTTTTTCGATCATGTTAAGATCTGTATTAGTTTTTGCTTTTTTGCCCAAAACTTTGCTTGATTTAACACCGATGCACGATTCTTTTTTGACTTACAAAATCTTAAAAGCAAAAACAACAAAATCGAGTTGATTTTTTTTAGTTTGGTGTTGATGAGGGTTGTGAGTTTTTTTATTAATAGCATTGATTCAAATAAAATTAAATTTTAAATAAAAATTACTTTTATTTGATTTGTTGTTTTATTTTTTTTATTATTAGACGAAGGGAATTGTGTGCTTGATTCTTTAATCAGGGTTTTAATGCCAGCTCCACACACACATTACCAAATACCAAATAATTATCATCAGCAAACTTCACAACTAAAAATATAACATCATTGTACCAATTTTGCAAAGTTACAGTTGTAATCTGTATTATTATAACATCAATCAAGAAAAAGAAACAAACAAACAAACTAGAGCATACATAACAAACCAAACAACAAAGCAAATGTAATTATTATTATTTTAATCTTTTTAATTTCCAATATTTTTTTTTATTATTTATTTTTTATTTTTTATAATGGCAAATATTGTAGTGCAGCTAAACTTAAACTAAAGAGATGTCTTTATATATTAATAATAATAATAGTATGATAATAATACAGTTAGTTAGTGAGTGAACAATCAAATCAGATCAATCAAATCAATCAAATCTAGAATTAACAATTCAAATATTAAACTTTAAATGAATATGATGTTTCAAGATCTTGTGATGGATGATTGATAATAACTATATGCGATATTTTTACAAAAAATAATGTGTGTTGATGAGGATGATCATAATTATCAATACAATATTAAAAATTAAATTTGGGTGTATTGGATTTTACCACATCCTCATGCATCTATACACAACCATCAAATTTAAAAAAATTCGGAATAATGCATAAGCTTATCTCCCATACACACCAATTCATTAGATAATAATAGTATTGGTTGTCACTTTGTGGATATAAAAAATGTCATTTTAATCTTTTGATATATTTAATTAGTTTATACAAACAACAATATATAGTAGTATAGTTATGTACTATACAGACACTAAATATTAAATTAAATTAAAATTAATTATTAATATCAGAGCACTCTGCTAGAGTTTTGCGTTGCATTGCAATGTATCATTTCAATCATATTTATATTTATTAAAACACCTCACTCTTACTTCCTTATTTTACTTTTATATCCATATTAATTAATTAATGAAAAACTATTATTAACATTAGTTTTTCATCTAAATTAGTTTTAGTTTAGTAATAGAATTCATTCATTTATCATAAATTAAAAACAAAAAGCAGATAACAATAATTAGTTAGTTTAGTGGTCGGAAAATATAAATTACTTGTTTTTCAAAGTTATATTATATTTTATTATATATATATTTCTAGTTTATTTAAAATATCTAATAGCATTTTAGTTTGATAAATTAAATTAGTTAGTGTTTGAAAGTGGGGTGATAGCAAAAAGTAATTAATATATATATAGAGTCATAGTCATAGTTATAGTCGCAGTCTAAGTGTGTGAGTGTTATTTATACGATAGCTAACATAACATATTAGACTGTGGGGTTTATGAACTGTACAGTACAGTTAGTTCATTTGCATAGTTATTCAATTAGGTTGGATTAGAAAGTTTTTTATTTGCTATGAGATTTAATTTTACAAATATATAATATAATAGATGTTGTTATATTTAAATTAAAAATATATACAAAATATTTAAATATACAAATATAGGAAATTAAAAATAAATAAATATGGAGGTATGCTATTTAAATATATATATTATAACATAACATTATATAATGTTTGACACCACCTAATTATTACTAAACTAACAATTATCATTGTCATGGTGTTACTATTTCTAAAGAAGGAAAAACTATCCAAAGAGATTGCCAAGATTAGCAATGGAAGTGGTGGGCAGCAACCGTCTAAAGAGAGATTCAAAGAGTTGCTGGTGAAACTGGAGAACGAATACAATCTACTTTGGGAGGAGAATCAAGAGTTACGAGCAAGATGTGGATTACCATCAACTTCAAAACCATCACTGCTCTCTTCGAGTTCGAATACAAATCCAATTAAACAGAGTATGATATTACATGATATGATAGTTGTCAACTTGTTATTAACAACATTTGATATTGATAATCCAATCTAGATTTAAATACTATTATATTATCAAATGAAGCATTGGGTTCGAAAGCAGGAAAGTTGGCAAAGATAAAGAAACCGAAACATCAAAAGTCGTCGTCGAGTTCGAAGCGTGATGGATCGCACAAGTGGATTCGCGTGAGAGATTACGTTGGACATCGCGATGGCATTTGGGAGGTGACAACCAGTCCTTGGGATATATTTATATTTGCGACTTGCTCGTCGGATCGAACCGCGAGAATATGGTCTGTCGACGGATCAAAGATGCCGTTGGTCTACAGTGCGCACACCGGCACCGTGAATAGTGTGCGTTTTCACCCGAGTGAGAAGTTGGTGTGTACCGCCAGCGGTGACAAAACGATACACATCTTCAAGGTGCCGACCGACCGCTTCTCACAGAGCGGAATGCGTTCTCCCGTGCCGCAATCGTCGCAATCCTCTTCGTCAGCCACTGCAAACATCTCACAGATGGCACCGCAACAACAGCCGTTTCACTCGCTTGGCATTGCCACTTCATCGTCGTCTGCCAAACAAGATAATACACCAATTAAGAATACACTATTAGAACAACAAATACAACTACAGACAGGAGGAATACTGAGTAAAGATCAACAACAGCAGCAGCAGCAACAACAACAGGTACCATCATCACCAATCTTGGGAAGACCAAGTCAGAACGATAAGAATAAAGTAAAGTTATGGACACCTCTATTGGAAAGACAGAGATCAAGAGATGAAGTGTTCAGTTTATCACAACCAGCGCATCAACAACAACAACAACAACATCAATATCAAGAGGAACAATTTGAAATGAATGATCTTTCAGAACCTGAAGATGACTTTGAATCGGATGACGATTCGTTGGATAGATTCGATGAAGATTTGAATTTCAATTTTAATCAACAACATCATCAACATCAAAATACTCAACAACAACAACATCATCAACCACCTCAACTTTCACTTCCACAACAACAACCACCAAGTTCACCGGAACTAGAGTTAAGAGGATCGATCGATGAGATTGAACAGATTCAACATAATATAGTTTCACATCAACAGCAACAGAATGAACATGGATACAATATATTGCGAACTCCACTGCTAGAGTTGAAAGGACATACGGGTCCGGTGACAGCTGCCGTCTGGACGTCGAATAGCACAGTTGTTTCCGCCAGTTGGGACAACTCAATTCGCTGGTGGAACACAGAGAATGGACGAACCATATCTACGGCAACCGGTGTCTGCATGGAGAAAGTACATCGCATCACCAATATCACTTCGGTGCCGAGCTTGAACTACGCCATTACGACTTCGACCGACGGTGTTATTCGTGTTTGGGATGCAAGATCATCTGGCAGCGGCGGCGGACCAGTGGAGTCGATCCATGGTCACCAAGAAGCGGTCAACTCTGCGATGCACACCTACGATGGTGGACACATTGTGAGTGGTGGCGATGATCGAACCGTCAAAGTCTGGGATATCCGACAAACCAAAAACTGCAAGACCTCCATTCGTTGTCCACTGCCAATCAACCGACTCTCTGTATCACAGAGCACTCCAGCCGCAGTAATAGCAATACCACAAGACGACGGTAGAATCTCAGTGTATGATATCAATGGAAACAGAAAAGGAAAGATGAGAGATCAATATAAATATGTAAGTAGAAAGCTTGTTAATTAAAGTTTTGTTGTTTAGTAATATAGAATTATATTAACGTATATATTAATAATATCACTTAGGGTCATAAATTGATGGCGACTAGTACAGCATGGAGTAATGACGATAGTGTTATTTTTTCGAGTAGTTTTGATCGTAGAATCATATCTTGGGCGACAGCAAGCGATTAATAATCAACAACAACAACAACAGATATCCAATTATAATTATCAAATTTTAAATAGAGGTTGACAAATCAAATAATCTACTACCAATTAGTAGTAGTAGTAGTAGTTGTGTTTGTCAACAAAAACATGTATAAACAAAATCAAATCACCAACCAACCAAACCAACAAATGCGAATATTAATATAATATATAATCATATCATTTCATTTTCATTATCAACAAATAAAACCTTATCATATTGTATTTATACATAACCCCAACAACAATGACAACGCAATTTTAAAGTTTATCTGAAAGTAGTGAATGCATTCGCTCTACTCTATTGGGTAATATTATGTAAACTAATGGTGAAAGTGGTGGTGAAAAAGATGATAAATGGTGAAAAATGGTGAAAAAGATGAAAAATGGTGAGAATAAAACCAATCATGTTAGCTTTTTCAATTGACTACGTTGATTAGTAATAATTAGTGAATAAAGGTGAAAAATAATGAATAGCATTGGTTGTTATCACCCTTAATATTTAGAAACTGTGTGGTTGGTTTATTGAATGAACGAATGATAATGGTGAAATTAGTGAAAAAGATGATAAATGGTGATAATGGTGAAACTTTGCCTGTGGGTGGTGGTGGGTATACTTTTTTCAATCAAAACGAAAAGTTAACCACCAATAGAATAGAAATAAATATAATCAAAAAAAGAATAGCACTTATAAGTCTAAAAGTAGACGAATCAATAACCATTTTGTTGATCCAAAAAAAATGAAAATTAACAAAAAAAAAATAAACAAAAAACAGTGAAATTTAAAATTTCCCAAAACCAAAATGTTCACTGGCTAGTTCCAATGTGTGCTGTAACCCACATGTTTTTTTTGTAGTGGCTGGCGTTCATTTTAAACAATAACAACAGATATAAATACAAACAACAAAAATACCTCATTTATGAAATATAACTTTAAGAAATCACTATCTATACATATTATCTATTTATTATTAATAATATCAAATTTAGATAATATTATCTAACAACAATAACAATTATTTATTTCATATCGATTCAATTAACGAAAAAAACAAACAACCACTATTAGTAAACAAATAAAACAAATAAAACAAACAAAAAAACAATAGTTGTTGTAATTTGATTTTTATTTGTGTTTAAAATATCTATCAAATCAATAAAACAATAACAATATCAAGTAATAATAATTGATTGTCTCGAAATTACAAATTTATTTATTCATATTTTATATATCTTTGTTACAATCATCATTGATATATATTAATTAAAAAGTAAGATATCTTTACTATAAATAAACTCTTTTATCTTTTGTTAATAATTAATAACATTAAATTTCATTAAATATGAACTCATAGTTTAAAATTAATTTACAGATATCTTTCAAATTCCGAAAAAGATAGTTTAAAAAAATTTTATTTAGATATTTTTTTTTTTATTAACATCGATGTTGGATAAATTATAAAAAATAAATGTCAAATAAAAATAATAAGTATTCATCATTGAATGATTCAGGTGGAAGTCAGAATGATAATAATAATAATAATAGTAGTAGTAGTAATAGTAATGGTTTAAAGAATACTGTTATTTTGGTGAATGACCAACCTCTCTCACCAAATACACAACAGCAACAACAGACTGGTAGACATAATCACGATGGAGCAGATTCTACCAGTCTGTTGACGAGAAGTAGAGAGTTCGATCAGGAATCACTTCTGGCGAAGGAACGTGAGGTGTCGGAATCAATGGATTTGTACTATGTTCCACCTTCAAAGTTGAATCAATCGCTGCGTATAAGTCAACCGACTTCACCCTATTACTCTTCGGTATCTTCACCGAAAGTTATTGGTTCTGGTGGTCGACAGAAGATGCCGACATCATCGGTGCCACCTGTAGATTTGGATTCCGCTATTGAGATGGATGAGATAAGGACGGATGGCAGTAGCAATGCATTCACCGACCATTCAACGCTAAAGTATGCATCGGGTGCAGATCACGATCCTACACCACATTCGTTCACACCAACACTGGTTGGCAACAACGACGACGATATATTCATGTCGACCATCCGTCAGATTCGACAATTCAAATTCGAAAAGAAACACAAGAAAAGATTCATACACTATCTACTGGGTTTGCTGCCAATCGTTAGTTGGCTGCCTAAATATAATATAAAGAATAATTTGCGGGGCGATATTATCGCTGGGTTGACTGTGGGTGTCATGTTGATTCCACAGGGTATGGCGTATGCAATGGTGGCGGAGCTGCCGTCGGTGTACGGTCTCTACAGTTCTATTGTTCCGATCTTTGTTTATTGTATCTTTGGTACTTCACGTGAGTTGTCTATGGGTCCTTTTGCTATCATTTCGTTGCTGGTGCTGGAAACGGTGAATGGCGAGGTGGGAATAGATAACCACGACATGGAACGGCGTGTGACGGTATCGATATTGCTCGCGTTCGTCTGTGGCGTCTATCAAATAATATTTGGACTACTGCGATTCGGTTTCGTAGCGAATTTCCTTAGTGATCCAGTGAAGACTGGTTTCATCAGTGGCTGTGCCATTATCATTAGTAGCAGCCAGATCAAGCATATCTTTGGAATCTATAGTGGTATACAATCGTCAAACTTCCTACCGCTACTCCTAATCCGGTATCTCATCGAGATAAAGCGTACCAATTGGTGGTCGGTTTTGATAGCCTTCGCAGGCATTGCATTTCTATTCGCGATTAAAAAGGTCAACTCTCGATACAAGTTGAAACTTCCAGGTCCCTTGCTGATTGTTGTCATTCTTACATTTATCTCTTGGGTGTTTGACCTTGAGAAACGTGCTCATATCTCGACGGTTGGAGTGATCCCCTCGAATTTCCCATCACCTACATTCCCAACGATCAGAACAACCGAGGGTTATCCAGAGTCTGGCAATTGGTTCAATGTCGTTGTGAGAATCACTCCCGGTGCTTTGGTGTTGGTGCTGGTAGGATTCATTAGCTCTGTTTCCGTGAGTACAAAGATTGCCGAGAAAGAACAATATCCAATCGACGCAAATCAAGAGTTGCTCGCGCTAGGAATGTCAGATTTCATTGGATCGTTCTTCCTTTCTTTCCCAATCGGTGCATCACTCTCGAGAACAGCAGTCAATTTGCAATCTGGTGCTAAATCACAGATCTCTGGTTTCATCACCGCTGTTATCATCATTTTCTCTTTGTTTTTCCTCACAAGAGTGATCATGTTCCTTCCTCGTTCGATTCTAGCCAGTATTGTTGTGGTGGCAGTTGCAGATCTCATCGAAGTAAAGATTGCACTGGATCTGTGGAAAGTACATCGAAGGGATCTAATGCTATACTTGATTTCGTTCCTCTCGACTATTTTCCTTGGTATTCTTCAAGGAATCATGATTGGTATCGTTTGTTCACTTCTCTTGATCATCTACAAGAGTGCCTATCCACCATTCGCCGAGCTAGGTAGACTTCCAGGCACAGAATTATATAAAAACATTAAAAGAGTACCACAAGCTGAAACTTTTAAAGTAACTATAAATAATTATTAATATATAAATTGATAGAAACAAAACTAATTCATATTAATTATAATAATAGGGTATAAAAGTTGTTAGAATTGATGGATCTATTTATTTTGCAAACACTCAATATATAAAGAAAAAACTGAGGCAGTATGAACCAACAAAGAAATCGGATCGTTTTGAACTATCGGATAGTGAGACGGATCTAGCGGATGTAGATGGCTTGGTCACTGTGGATATCGATGGTAATCCAACGAAGGGTGCAATCATCATCGATTGTAGTAGTATGAACGATATCGATTCAACAGGTTTGAGAATGCTGCGAGAGTTTGTCGAAGAGTTTAAACATCGACAGTTGGTTATTTACTATGCATCGATCAAAGGTTACATCAGAGATCTCCTAAAGAAAGGTGGAGTGGTCGATACTCTTGGTGCCAATCATTTCTTCTGGACGGTAAACGATGCTGTTGAACATCATCTCTATCTCATGAGACAAGGTCGTAGAAACTTTTTATCAAATTCGTCCACACTGACAAGTCCACTGATGGCATCATCAAAATCAGTTGAAACAGAAGAACAACAACAAATTGAAATAGATCAAATTGTTAAGAATTAAATTATATAAATTTTTTCTTTTTACTCATCTTTTAAACACAAAGAAATTTTGACACTCTATCAATGTTTGATAATTAAACATTAATTTGATTTTATCTTCGTCCCCATTTTGTTTATTCTATTTTATTGACGATTGGTTAAAATTTTCTTATAAATAATATGATTGATCACAATACAAAAATTGACAATATTTAAATTGTTTTTATTTAAAACAATCTAAACCTATTTTATTATAATTCACAAACTAAAAATAAATAAAAATAATATTTAAAATTTTATAAATAAAATATTGATAAAGATTAAAAATTTAATATGATTAATATAGAAAAAAATCAATTTGGTAGTAATATATGAAAGAAGATTATTTTTGGATAGGGTTTTGTTTTTTTAGATGACAGAATCAATAGCAAAGTTCAAATTTAACATAAAAATAAATGAAATAAAATTTAGTTAAAATAAAATATATTGAAACAATTCTATACTCAATGGATTCTTATTATAAATACAAGAGATTCAGAACAAATCAAAAAAAAGAAAAAGAAATAAATTTATTTATATAGATATTGTTTGTTTTAAACACCTTTTGAAAATGTTACTCAGTAAGTTTAAAAAATTTAAAAACCTAATAAAATATTTTTGAATTAAATTTTATCAAAAAATAAAGAAAATCTTCAAAACCTTAACTTAAATGGTGTATCATCTTTGAATAAAGAAACTATGAATGTCAATAGAATTTAATTAATCAATTCATTTTTATCTCTCATTATGCAATATGATGACCTGAATTCAAAACAATAATTGATTTATATTATAAAATTCTTTATATATTTATATATTTTATATTTATTAAAATGTTCATATTAATTAATTTGCTACAGTAGGCATTTTCTTTTGTGAGTTGTGTGGTGAGTAGTTTGATTCATCATCACTCCCCTCACCAAACCCATCGTTGGCGGTACTGAAACTGTCTTCGGATGCCCAGTGCATCGATCTTCTGACTGCTCTGGTCCATCGTTTGAAATGCTTTTTGATAACGTCTCTGTTCATTCCATTGACAAAAATACGAGAGCTCTGTCTCAGTTTGACAAGATCATCTTTCGATTTCCATATTCCTACATTCAATCCTGCCAACATACATACTCCTGCCGCTGTCATCTCTGGGTGAGCCGCTCTATCTATATTAATATTACAAATATCCGATGTGAATTGCATGACAAAGTCGTTCTGACAGACACCGCCGTCGGCGACAACCTTCTTGATGCGACAATAGTTATCCGAGATAATGCTATCTATCAGCTCTTTACAACGATATCCAAACGACTCTAGCAATGCTCTCACTACATGTTCTTTTCTGGTGGATGGTGTCAATCCAATGATGAGTCCACGCGCTTTTGGATCGTTTTGTGGCGGCGCCAAACCAGTCAGTGCCGGCACGAATACTACACCCTGTGAGTGCGGTACCGATGCAGCCATATCCGATGTATCCACTGGCGATTCAAACATACCGAACGACTGTGCCCAATCGACTACTGTACCCGCAGCCATACCCTTTCCCTCCATAACATAGGTGATCTCCGAGCCAATTTTCCAGCCGATCAACGGGTACATTCCGTAGCGAGAAGCACGTGCCTGTGAACCTGTATTGATATTTACAAAACAACCTGTTCCAATAGTCAATTTGGTGTCGCCCTCCTTAAAGCAACACTCACCAAACATTGCAGATTGCTGGTCGCCACACAACGAGGTGATCGGTATGGCGACGCCAAACAGCTCCTGCAGCGTCTCACCATAGTGATAGCTGGTATCACAGATCTTTGGCATGATATGATAAGGTATATTGAAGAGATAGAATACCACTTTGTTGTAGGTCATTTCGAATGGGTCGTACAGTCCAGTGGTACTAAAGTTGCTGTAGTCGGTGGCGTGTGTCTTTCCACCCGTCAGATTCCACAGCAGCCAAGTATCGATCGTTCCAAACATCATTTGCTCCTCTTTCGCCGCTTTCTTTGCTTCGGCGTGATTCTCCAGTATCCACGCGAGACGCGACGACGTATGTGCAGTGGTGACATCGAGGTAGCTAGCCTGCAAGAATCTCGGTTTGCCTGTGAAGAGATGAGCGAATCGCGTCGCACCGTGTATACCCTTGACAGCGAATGAATTGTTGGTGTTCTTGCAGATCTCTGCTGAGCGAGTATCTTGCCAGGTGATGAGATTGTGTATCGGTTTGCCAGTATCACGACGCCATGTCAGAAAAGTGCTACGCTGGTTGGTAATGCCCAGACATCTGATTCTCTCGGGATGCGAGGCAGCCGGTGACAAACTAATGGCATCCTTCACAACAACCTTACACATCTCCCACATCAATATGGGATCCTGCTCGATATAGCCCGGTCTATTCTGATCGATTATCAAAGGTATATTCTGTGTTGATTTTGATACAATATTCAACAACGGATCGAAAATGATAGCTCTAATATTTGTAGTTCCAACATCTATTGCTAATATTAAGTCTGCAACTGTATTACCATTACCATTACTACTAGCTCCATTAATATTCATATTCATATTCATGTTCATATTACTACTACTACTAGCATTATTATCATTTCTTCCACTGTTATCTACAGTTGAAGTTATATGATCTTCTTCTTCTCCTCCTATTTTATTATTAAATGGGTCCATATAATAAATAAAAAATACAAAACTAAACTAAACTAATATAAACTAAAATAAACTAATATACAATTATTAAATAAAATATATAAAAAATAATAATAATATATGTACAAATTAAATAATAATATTTATAAATTAAAATGTAAAATAATAATATTAAATTATTGCAACAAAATAAACTTCTTCTTTTAACTTGTCAAACTTTAAAAAACAATTACAAAATAAATGCATTATTGTGTTGCCTTTGCATCATAAATCTGGACTTTCATTCATAAAATAAAAATGGTTTTTTTTGGAGTTGAATTAGTCAAATTTTAACCGATCCCCAAAAAAAATCGGAATTCAATAAAAATAAATGATGACATCTATTCTTAATTTAAACAATGAAATGATTCTGCAGAGTTTTATTATAATATTTTAAATTTGATTTATTTGTATTCGATTTTGATGAAAGAAGATCAATAATGATTAATTATAACAACAAAGAAGAACGAACATAATAACAAAAAGGTGATAGAATCATTAGATATTGATTGGTTATTAGTTATCAATTTTACAAATTCTGCTTGCCTCTCTCAAATAAAGATGATATTTTAGTTAGGAGTACTACTACTATGAAATGAAATTTAGTGTTTCTGCCAACACTAAATTTAAAAGATGGTTTATCAGGCTTTTGCAATGTATATATGTAATGCTATTAATAGCTGCACACCAGTGAATGTTTTCAACTTTGTTTTTAAAAACTATTTTTTAAATATTATATTTGTTCTAAAATAATCATCTCTTTTCACAACAACCCTTTATAACGACAATGTTATCAAGAGTACCATTATCATCGAGGAATCTCGTATCTCTTTCAAATAGAGCCACATAGTATTAGCCTCCACACATCTGACTTTATGGAGACAACATCACCATTAATTGGAAAGTTTTTTTTATCAAACGTTTCTAAGTACTTTTTGTTATCAGATTGTATGATATTATCGTTGTCATAGGTCGATAACTTGATAAATTATAAGATGAATAATATTTGTTTTTTTTTTGACTTGTTTATTTGTCGAATGTTTTAAATTGATTGGCGTGGCGTGAAAGTAGATCAATGAATTTAGATTCATGAAAGATTGCTGTTGTGAAATGAAAAGCTGGTTGTCTTTCACTGGTAAACATTCCTTTGAATTCCTCCATTGGTTTGCCAAACAATAGATAATATTGGTGATCAAGTTTTCTTATGTGAGATGCGTGTTGGAGATCGGTTTCACGAAAGATGATTTTTGGTGGAAGTGGTCGAGGAATGAACTGAAGTGTTGATTTTGAAAACGGTATGATCAAGGTTTTCAATGTTTTTGGAATAATGTTGGTTGTTAGTGAATCGGTTCTGTGCAACTGAAGTGTTTCAACTGTTTCCGGAATGACATCCTGATAACTTTCATATACCATATTTAATGACAAGTGTTTCACTGACTCTGGTATGGATCCAACCGAGATGTTGTTTATGCTCATCGATAGATCCAATGATTCGATTCCGGCTGGAATTATTCCAGGTGTGAGTGTTCCTAGAGTAAGACATTGAAATACCAATTTTGAAATGTGAACGTTTGTCTGTTGTTGTTTTGGTAACTTTGTTGTCGTTAGAACTTCAAGTCGGTAGTTTGATGTCACTGGGAATATTTGATAGTACTCGAATCTACAATTGCTAAGATCCAAATGTGTGATAGTCGGGGGCATTTCAAAGTTAAGTTGATAATCACCTGAAAATGACAGGTCGGTCAAAGTTGGTGGAAGTTCATTGATGACCAATGAGCGAGTACTATCACGTAGTGACAGAGTAGTTAGATGAGGTAGTGTCATTAACATTGGAGTCCAACACGATGATATCTCTAGTATTGTATGAAGAGTGTTTGGTAATAACAACCCGGTTGGCGGTGCCACTCTTCCTATCTGTAGAACTTCTAGGTTGGCTGGCAGTGATTCTGGGTGGAGTTGAATACTACCATATCCCAGATACAGATGTTTCAGTGAGGTTGGTAGTACACCTGGTTCTATCACTTGATGATTCTGATTACCAGAAACATCTCTAGTAAATGGTCGATCGAAAAAGTTGCAATTTAAAGAAATACTTTGAACTTGACGTGGAATGTTGTTGGCTGTCATCTTTTCACCATACGCCAAGCAGATAGATAGTTTTTGAATGGAATCTGGCAATCTGTATTTGAGTGTTCGACAGTATCTCAATTCCTTTACATTTGGAGATTGTAATAACAACCTACAAAGATGTTCGGAATCAGGCGGAGAATCATTGAAAACATTTTTATAAAGAGGATTAAGTCTTGGTGCATCTTTTAAAATAACAGTAGTTACATTCGATGGAATACTTTTAAGTTTATGAAATGATTCTAAAATGAAGTTTAAATAATTAATATATATCTATCTTTTTTTATTTTATTTAAAAGACAAACAAACTTACGATTATCAATTGAATAGTCATATTTTGGATTATAAAGAGTGATTGAACCAATACCTAATGTACATTCTCTTTTACCTATCGATTTCAAATAGATTGATTTATATGATTGTAAATGAAATGATGAAGTACTATTATTATTTGACATCAAACTGATTTCATCGGTGTTGAACCAAATATATTTATCTCTATTATCAAACCATCTCTTACAAACTAAACTCCAACATATTCTATCTAAATTATCAGGTATTCTATTTATAATATGACTAAGAAGTAATAATGGAAGATTAACAAGTAGATGTTCTTTATTTTTTTCATTCATTTCTTTAATGATCATTAAAGAAATGAATGAAAAACAAAAAAAAAAAAAAAGATCAAAAATATTAATTTATTCTTTCTTTTATTCTGATGATCTACCAATAGTTTGTTGTAATTTGGCAGGCAATAGTCTATTGATATCAGAACTATTTTAGAATGTAGTTGTTTTAATTTAGATTGATCGAAGATTGAATATCTTTACAGTAATTTATGGGTACCAATTGTAAACAAAAAGTGTTAGATCGATCATGTTAATATCAAGGTTTTGTAATGCTAATGTTTGTTGGAATAAATTTATTGATAACTTGATAGATTTAAACATGAATACTAATTTTAATATTATTATTTATTTTAATTGTTCAACGGTTACTTATTTATTTATAAAAAATTGATTTAGGTTAAAGTAGTTAAATGGGTTTGGTTTCTTTGATTCACGTGAAAGTAGATCAATGAATTCAGATTCATGAAAGATTGCTGTTGTGAAATGAAAAGCTGGTTGTTCACTAGTAATCTCTCCATCGACTTCTTCGATTGGTTTGCCAAACAATAGATAATATTGGTGATCAAGTTTTCTTATATGAGATGCGTGTTGGAGATTGGTTTCACAAAAGATGATGTTTGGTGGAAGTGGTCGAGGAATGAACTGAAGTGTTGATTTTGAAAACGGTATGATCAAGGTTTTCAATGTTTTTGGAATGCTGTTAGCTGTTAGTGAATCGGTTCTGTGCAACTCGAGTGTTTCAACTGTTTCCGGGATGACATTATGATAATTCTCAGTAGTCATATTTAATGACAAGTGTTTCACTGACTCTGGTATTGATCCAACGTAGATTTTACTGGTGGTCATTGATAGATCCAATGATTCGATTCCCGGTGTAATCATTCCAGGTGTGATATCAATGAGACTATTAAGTGCCAATTTAGAAATGTGAACATTTGTCATTTGTAGTTCTGGGCACTTTGGCGATATTAGAATTTCAAATCTGTAGTTTGAGGTCTTTGGTAATATTTCACTACTCTCAAATCTACAATTTTTAATATCCAAATGTGTAATTGTTGGTGGTATTGCACATTTAAGTTGATAATCACCTGAGAATGACAGGTTGGTTAAGTTTGGTGGAAGCTCATTGATATCCAATGAGGAACTACTGTCATAGAATGACAGAGTTGTTAGATGAGGAAATTTCATTAACGTAGGTATATAGCAGGATGATATCTCTAATATTGTATGAAGAGTGTTTGGTAACAACAACTTATTGATGGAATTTTCTTTAGGGAGCTGTAGAACTTCGAGGTTGGCTGGAAGTGATTGTTTTTTGAGTTTGGTAAGATCACTCTCAAGATACAGATGTTTCAATGAGGATGGCAGTACATCTGGTTCTATCTTTATTCTATATTCACTACCAAAGCAAATACTTTCAAGACCTTCTGGAAGAACACCTCTACCAATCTGTTGTTTGAAATGGTTAACCTTCAAAGTAATATTTTTGATTCCACGTGGAATGTTGTTGGCTGTCAACTCTTCAAAAGACCTTGAATGGATAGAAAGTGTTTGAATTTCTTCTGGTAATTTGTATTTGAGAGTTTTACAATTTTGCAATTCCTTTACATTTGGAGATTGAGATAACAGCTTAGAAAGATGTTCGGAATCGATTAAATTATGTCGGGAATTACTAAGAAAATTGTCATCTAAAATAACAGTAGTTACATTCGATGGAATACTATCAATTTTTTTAAATGCTCCTATATTATATATACATTAGTATTTTAAATAATTAAACAATCTTTTTTTAAAAAAACTTACGATATTCAATTGAATAGTCATATTTGGGACAATAAGGATAACCTAAACCAATATTGAATATACAATCTCTCTTCTTATCTATTGATTTCAAATAGATTGATTTGTATGATTGTAGATGAAATGGTGCCGCACTATTATAATTATTATAATTTGACATCAAACTGATTTCATCGGTATTGAACAATAAATATTTATCTCTATTATCAAACCATCTCTTACAAACTAAACTCCAACAAATTCTATCTAAATTATCAGGAATTCTATTTATTATAAAAATAAGAAGTAATATTGGAATATTAACAAATCTATGTTCTTTGTTTTCATTCATCTTTAATAAACAATAAGTAATTTTAAAAAAAAACAATAATAACAAATAAAAATTTGATCATGATTAAAAATATTATTGTTTTTTCTACTATACCACCAAAGTTTTAATAATTTAATTTAGCATGAGTTCAGCTACTGTGGGTGTATGAGGTCATTTGCAGTGGAAGTTTTAGAAGTAAATAACACTTAGTGTTCCCAATGAAATGTGTTATTTCATTTTGTAGGTTGGGTTTTTTTGAACAATTTATAGAGCAAGGGAGAAAAGCCATACTAATTTCAGTGGTACCACTCAAATTTTTTTAATTTGCTTCTATTTTTTCCACGGAATTGTAAACACTATTTTTGATTGAAGCTGTCGCTTGCCAAAGTATACTTTTGATTCCACGTGGAATGTTGTTGGCTGTCAACTCTTCATCATATAGATAGTGTTTGAATGGAATCTGGCAATTTGTATTTGAGTGTTCGACAATTTATCAATTCATTTACATTTGATGGTTATACTATAAAGATTTTGGGAATCGACTTGAATTCTCGGTTCTAAAATAACTGTAGTTTCACACGATGGAATACTATCAAGTTTCTTTATGTTTAAAAGACAATATAGATTTGTGATCGTGGTGATGAACGAAACAAAAAAGAACATCAACTTGTTAATCTTCCAATATTAATTCTTGGTCATTATAAATAGAACACAAGATAGTTCATATAAAATATGTTGGAGATTAGTTGTAGTTGTATAAATTGTATTCATTCCTTAACTATAATAACATACAGTCAAATAAAGTATTTCGAGTTTCTCTCTTTTTTTTTTTGGATGCACTCATTCACCTTTACCTTGTGGCGGTTGAATATAAAACTTTGTAATTTGTTACCATCTAAAAGAGGAAAGTGAACTAATTCTGATCTATATATATTTTATATTTATTAGTATTTAATATTTCAAATTAACAATGAAGATCATAATATAATGCACTTACCCTTTAACACTAAGTGAACTCTAACTCTATAATCGGTTTTAAATATTGATGATATTCATTAGTGTTGCCCATTCATAATTCTATACCATATCTACAACAATATTTAGATACACTCATTCTATTATATAGGTTAGATTTGCACGTTCGACACAGAGAATAGCGTTTAAAAATTTTTTAAAGATAAAAAAAAAAATCGATTAAACATTCGTGTTAGAAAAAATAAAAGATTAAATTTATATTTGTTTCTTTGGTAAACAATTAAATTGGAAAAAAGATAAAGACATAACGTTATAGTTGTATTTTAAATAAATTCAAAAGATATTTTTTTAAAACAAAATAACAAAAAATCTCGATCATTGTTATTTTAATCTTTGCTTTCTTGTGTCTCTGTTGTTTGATCAAACTTTGTTTTTTCGTTGAATAGGCAACTATGAAATTGGACAAAATTCCCATCAACACGATTTTATTTTTTTTTTAGATGAACTTTCCTTATTATCAAATTCGACAAGTCAATTACTATTAATAGTAACTTTAAAATAAAATCATGAAAATGAATTTGAATAAATTTATTTATACACTATTATTTATATACTTTGTAATTATTCAACTTCTTTTGGTTGACCATACCAATGCACAAGTGTTTGGAACACAATACACCAAGTTGTTGTTAGAGGTTGGTGGTGTACCAATCAATGGAATAGCTAGAGGCGAGTTTGCAACCGACATGAATATGCCTGGCCAAAGGAATTTTATGATCATGTCGAACAACCAGAGATCCACTGTCTTTAGGTACTCTGACAATCTCGATCCACTGAGTAACGATGCCATCATTAGTTCGCTCGCCACCACTGCCAATGGCGGTACCAACATGGCCATTGCACTGCCTTTGAAATCAGAGAATAGTTCCTCAACGGTTTCTGAACTCGCTTGCATCTTCGTTCAGGACATGACAGGTTCTGCTTCGATCTCCCAGCAATATGATACCACTGGCATATTGACGAAAAAAAATATGATCCAACGATGGGTGGTCAACGACAAGAATGAATACATCTCGGAATTGACATTTTATCATAGCAATCTGTTAAGGATGATAATAACTGGTACTATCTGGAACTACAATACCGCTGGCCAATACTACTCTCCAGGTTCGACTTATATGTACGATGTTCCAGTGCCGCTTGACGCTGAGATTGACTTTATGGTTTATGATAGAGTGAGCAAAGTTCTCTATTTATCATATGGTGGATTAATCTATTTAAATTATGTAGGACCTGCCTCTACCTTACTCTATCTTAGCCATTCGAAAACCGCTTCGATGACAGCTTTTGCCTATAACTACATGGTCTATACTTGTACTACCGACAGTAATGGTGCGTATCTCGAAAGATTCAATGTGACAACCGGTCAACAGAACGTATTTCCACTCACCAGTGACGTCGGCAGATGCATTAACATGAACTATGACATCGATTACCGACAAATATTCATTTCCGTTGTTGATAAACAAGGAAATCTTGGTGTTGTAACAATATCTGACACTGGATTGAAACCAACATTTGTGAGTATTCAACCTGTAGAGCCAGTTAGTCAAAATCTAAATTCCTATTCCTATGCTGTTGGCGTCGATAAAGATCTCAAGGTTGTCAGTGTTCTGTCATCCTCTTCAAGGATGTACACAATGAAATATACAAGTCTATGTGAAAATCAATGCTCAGGTCACGGTCAATGTATCTCTGGTGGATGCGTTTGCAATTCCGGTTGGCTCGCTGACGACTGTTCTGTTCCCAAACCATATATCGTTGGAGGTACACCATCAATCCCTTATGTGGGTGTTTCTAATATTACCATAACCGGAAATAACTTTGTCAACACAGCAAACTACCAAATTACAGTTTGTGGAATCAATTGTACCGATATGAAGTTCAACTCTGTCAATTCGATTGGTTGTTCTTTAGCTCTCGATGGAAAACAGACAGTTACACCACTTCAAACTTGTCAGGCTCAAGTGACATTCAATGGATATAGTTCCGATCAATTTAATCTGCTCACTTTCATCAAACCATCTTTCGGACCAACCTACACACAGATAAACAACATCATCTCATTCAATGCCTCCGACATGGTTCCATCACAATACTTATCAATCACATGGAATACTCAACCAATTTCATTCAACTCAACTGCCAAATCACTAAACTTTACAGTACCAGCAGGTTCAACTGAGACCAATTTACAAGTTCTTGTTTCTAGTTCAAGTGTATTTAGTACAAATGTAATCCTTGTTCCATATTTAACCTCAGTTGGTCAAGAATCGATTGATACATACGCCGGTGTATATTTTGTTATCAAAGGTGATTTCTTCACGTCAAACAACGAACAATATTTAACAACTATCTTTGGTGATATTTCAGTAGCGTGTCAAGTTATCTCGGGAAATTTATGCCAACTCTCAACACCTCAAGGTATTCTCACAGATAGAAGAATTCGTATGTTCAGTCAACTTCGTGGTGTCTATTCCAATACTCTTACTTTCCAGTATAACAGCCCTACTATCACTTCCTACACACAAGACGATAATAATGCAATTGTAATTACAATTTCAGGAACTAACTTTGGATCTTCAGCTTTTCTTCTTAAGATGACTGACCTCGGAAATGTCAATGTAGATACAATCTTTACTTCGGTTAGCGATAGCGAAATAGTTGCTCAACTTCCAACAACAATATTAAACAACAATTATACTATTCTCGTTGATTCCAAACAAGCTGATGTATCATTAAATCTTAATCTTAAATCGAATATCACATCAGTATCAGTTATACCAGTGACTGGAGGAAATATTACAGTTGTTGGAACCTTCCTTATTTCCACTCCAATCTATCTTAATGGAGAACAATTAGAATGTGAATCTGAAAGTAAAGAGAATTTCCCAGCAACTCTTATTTGTATTGTATCATCTGGTGCAGGATCTTTTGTTGTCTATAATCCAACATCAAACAAATACTCATCTGGATATCTAGCACCAACAATCACAGATATCAATCCAAAGCTATACTTTAAAAATCAACCAGTTAATTTCACAATCACTGGTGACAATTTTATTAATATCGACCTTGTTTTGAAAATCAATAATGAAGAATGTGCTGTGACACAAATCAACACCAACAATTTAATATGCACCATCACACCATCGGGAGAAGCCGACTCCAAAAACAATCTTGTTTCAGTTTATGTTTCAGTTTCAGATCAAGAAACATTCAACAACGACACACTATTTTACTATACAAGACCTTGTTTGAATGATTGTTCATCTCATGGTCAATGTAACTATACTAATGCCATTTGTAAATGTGATAAAGGATATACAGGTCTTGATTGTTCTGAACCGACTCTCAACACTACCACTGACACAAGCACAAGTACCTCATCTACAACTTCAACTACTGGTACAAGCACCACAACCACCTCATCTACAACTTCAACCCCTGGCACAAGCACTACTGGTGATCTATCGTCATCAAACAACCTATCAATTAGCATTATTTTATCGATATTTTCACTCGGTGTCATGTTAATCTAATAAAAGATAATACTACCGTCGATTCTAAAAATAATTATTGTAATATTATATGAAAAAAGGTATTTGTCAATGAATGAAAGAAGATTTATTTTAAATTGATTTACTTTGAGAGTAGATCAATAAATTCAGATTCATGAATCAGCATTGTTGTTGTGAAATAAAAAGGAGGTTTTATAATGGTAAACTTCAATTGATTTCTTGCCAAATTAAACAATGGCAAGAAATCAATTGAAGTTTAAAGAATGGATAATATTGTTGGGAACTTGGTTGCCGTTAGACCTCAGACACTGTAGATACCAGTACCATGTAATATTTCCAAAGTCCTCAAACTACCGACTTGATGTTAATATTAAAATTCAAATGTTTGATAGTTGTTGGTATTTACCAAGTTAATTTGCTACTCTGATGAAAATGACAGGTCGGTTAAGTTCAATTGTAAGCTATCGTTTAAGAATGACAGAGTGGTTAGATGAGGAAGTGTCATTAAAGTTGGAATAAAACTTGATGAAGTATCTAATATTGTATGAAGAGTGTTTGGTAATAACAGTGTATTGATTGACGGTGCTTGGAGAGCTGTAAAACTTCGAGGTTGGCTGGGAGTAAATCTGGGTGGAGTTGAATATGACGACCTTTCATATACAGCCGTTTCAGTTGTGGTTGGTAGTACACCTGGTTCTATACCTTGACAATATTGACTGCCAAAGCGAATACTTTCAAGACTTCTTGGAAGAACACCTCTACCAATCGGTTGATTGAAGCTGTTACCCGACAATCTAATACTTTTGATTCCATGTGGAATGTTGCTGGCTGTCAACTGCTCATTAAACTGCGGGCCGATCGATAGTTTTGAATGGAATCTGGAAATCTGTGTTGGAGTGTTCGACAGTATCTGAATTCCTTTACTCTTGACTTTGGTAATAACATTAATCTATGGAGATTTAGGAGCTCAATTGGAAAGTTTGTTCGATCATCTATAATAACAGTAGTTATCATCGATGGAAGACATTTAGTTCTTTGAAATGATACTATAATATTATTTATTATTACTTTATCTATTTATTATTTGACCAAGAAGTAATATTGGAAGATTAACAAGTTGATGTCTTTATTTGTTTGTGTCATTGTGATTGTAAAGAAATTAAAAATAAATAAAAAAAGAGTGGTTTAAATTTTATTTATTCTCTTTTATTCTTTGATTTTACAACTCAACAAATAATATAATTCTTTTTTGTAATTGTTTTTTTATTTAAATCTCATCTTTGCCAAAAAAGAATAAAAAAATTTCCATCTTATTTTTTTTTTTTGCAAGGTTTTGTTTGGGAACTTGAAAAACTTTTTATTTTTTATTTTTTTTAAAAATCATTATTATTTTTTTTTCATTTTTTTTTTTTTGAACTATCATGATGCCACTTCAAAACACCTTCTACTTTTATCAGTTTACATTGCATCCAACTTAACTTTTAAAACTAATACATAATTAATTAATTGCAAATTTATCAACAATTGTTATAAATTTCATTTAATTCTTATTATTATTTTTTCATATATATATTTATTATTTAATTAAATAATTTTAGGTCAGTTCGGTCAGGATTGTTATTGTGTTAAATTACATATATATATATATTACAGAAACAATGTTGAGACATTCAATTAGATTAGTAAAGAAGCAACAAACATTGGTAAATGGTGTACGTAATTACACCACTGGTGTTGGTAGAACTGCATTGTTTGCCGTTAACAACTGCCCAACCATCAACAACAACAACAATGCATCATATCTTAACTATTCATTAAAGATGGTTGCACCACAAGTACATTCATATCATGTTCCATCATCAAGATTCTACTCCACTCAATGTAGGTATATCTATGCAATCGATCAATCATACTATTCATCACAATGAAATGATTGATTAAAATTTAAGATGAAATTTCATATTTATATTTAATTAATCAATTTACTTTATAATTTTTTTTAGATCCACCACATATTAAGATTGATATGCCAGCATTGTCACCATCGATGACAGAGGGTAATATTGTAGCTTGGAATAAGAAGGTTGGAGATCAAATTAAAGTTGGTGATATCATTGCTCAAATCGAAACCGATAAGGCAACCATGGATTTCGAATGTTTGGAATCAGGTTATCTCGCAAAGATCATTGCTCCAGAAGGTACCAAAGGTATTCCAATCAATAGTGTAAGTCATTCATTTAAAACTAAAGATTAAAAGTATCTTTGTCAGATGTGTATGATCTAACAACAACAACAATTGTTCAAACAGTTGATTGCTATTTTCGCAAAGAAGAAGGAAGATATCGAGAAGTTCAAAGACTATTCAGCTTCTGCTGCTCCAGCCGCCGCCGCTGCTGCTCCAGCTCCAGCTGCTGCTGCCGCACCAAAGGAAGCACCAAAGCCAGCTGCCGCCGCACCAAAACCAGCTGCCTCATCAAAGACTTGTAAGTATAACATAAAAAAAAATTAGAAATAATCAAAGATTGATCGTATTAATAAAAATATCTATCTATTTTAGATCCAAAACATATCGTTGTTGGTATGCCAGCACTTTCACCATCAATGGAGACTGGTGGTCTTGCCAAGTGGAACAAGAAGGTTGGAGATCAAGTTAAAGTTGGTGATATCATTGCTCAAGTCGAGACTGACAAGGCTACTATGGATTTCGAATGTTTGGAATCAGGTTATGTTGCCAAGATTTTAGTTCCAGCCGGTACCTCTGGTGTTAACATTGACAGCGTAAGTAGTTTGAAATACTTGACATCTATATTTCTACAACAACAAATCACAGAGTTATTTACAATGTTTATTATTATTCAAAACATGTTTATAGCCAGTTTGTATTTTAGCTGCAAAGAAAGAAGATATCGATAAATTCAATGATTACACTGTTGGTACTAGCACCAGTGCTCCAGCTGAATCAGCACCAGCCGAATCAGCTGCTCCACAACAAACATCGACACCATCAAGCTCATCATCATCTGCACCAAGACAACAAAACAACGAAGGTGGAAGAATTTTCTCATCACCAGCTGCCAGATTCGTTGCCAAGGAGAAGGGTGTCAATATTGCCGATGTCTCTGGAACCGGACCAAATCAACGTATTGTAAAGGCTGACGTTTTGAACTATCAACCAAAGGCTGTCGAGGAAGTCGCTCCAGCTGCTGCCGCCACTACCACCGCCACACGTCCAGCCGTCGCCACCGAACAAGTCGGTGAATACACAGACATTCCACACTCGAATATTCGTAAGGTCACTGCTGCGCGTCTCACTGAATCCAAGCAAACCATCCCACATTACTACCTCACCATGGAGTGTCGTGTCGACAAGCTTCTCAAGGTGCGTACCGAGTTGAACGGTCAAGCCGACGGAAAATACAAGTTGTCGGTCAATGACTTTATTATCAAGGCTGCCTCTGCCGCTTTGAAGGACGTCCCCACTGTAAATAGCACTTGGATGACCAGTGCCGTTCGTCGTTTCCACAATGTCGATATCAACGTTGCCGTCAACACCGACATCGGTTTGTTCACACCGTTGGTACGTGACTCTGACAAGAAGGGATTGGCAACCATTGCCAACCAGGTGCGTGAGATGGCCGACAAGGCCAAGAAGGGTAAGCTCCAACCACAGGACTTCCAATCCGGTACTTTTACCATTTCCAACTTGGGTATGTTTGGTATCAAGAGTTTCTCTGCCGTCATTAACCCACCACAAGCCGCTATCTTGGCCATCGGAACCACTGAGTCACGTTTGGTGCCAGCCGAGAAGCCAAAGGAAGGTGAATTGCCATACGAAACCGCTACCATCCTCTCTGTCACTTTGTCATGTGATCACCGTGTTATCGATGGTGCTGTAGGTGCTGAATGGTTACAACGTTTCAAGGATTACATCGAAAATCCATTGAAGTTACTTTTATAAATAAATAAATATTTGTCATCAATCAATAATTTTAACTACTTTTCTTTAATCAATTTTGTTTTACACCAAACAATAGAACATCTATTATTAAAATACAAATAAAATAATAAGGTATAAGATTAGTAGATATAACAAACTAATGATCATAATTTATTCCAATTATTATCTCTTTACTTGATATGATAAGTTGTTAAAAATTAAAAAACTCACTTTGCAAAAAAAAAAAAATTGGTCATAGATTGTTTATTGTTTAAATTGGTAATAGTCATTATAAAGTAATAATTTGTCAAATGTGTGAATCTGAGAATGATCTATGCGGGGATGAGAGAAAAATAAGTCTAAGAAAAGGAAAGCCAAAGAGTTAGAAACAATATTAATAGATGCACAAGAAAAATATGTTAATCCGTTTGAAAAAAGGGCAGTTCGATTTTCAAGTGCAGGCATGCATTTTGTCCTTCTCTTTACTAGAATAAATTTAAATCCAGGGTGGAGAAGCACGAAAAGACAAACCATCATTGCCAGTCAGGTTGTCATTTCCAAGAGGGTGGGATTCACACTTGTGAGAAGCCATCCAGAAGTGGCAAAGATAAAACCAAATATACTGGTAAACACTGCAAGAAACCCATGTCAAGCAAAGAGAAGTTGCTTGGTCATTACGAGACATGTATTTACTTGGTACCAAGGAATCGATCGAGTGCAGACGACAAAAAGTTGTTTGAACAAGATAGAATGCACATTACAGATCAATTCTACATAGACTTGTTCAGTAAAGTTTTTAATCGTGTATTGACGGACAAGCAAAAGAAACAGAGAACATTGCAACTTCCTGGATCTTCAAAGTACATCTCAGTTGATAGCAAAGTTTGAGAAATTCAAACAGCTAAACTTGATTGAAAGTAAAGATGGAAAGGAGTGCTATGGGGTAGTTTGTGAAGATTAAATTGTATATTTTACTTAATTCTTGATAACAATGTAATAAGGGTCCGGAGTTTACATTGATCCTATTAAAGAGGTACAAGAAATGGTAGCTAAATATTTGAAAGATAATCCTAAAGTAAGTAAACGGTGAAGATAAATATTGTATCAAATGTATGTATTCCTATTATTGTTTCTCTTGCGTCGCGGAAACGATCTGTACTGTGTGATACAACTAAGGATGGAATCAATCATTGGATATTGGTAGTTGAACAAGACAAACAATACATGTTGAATTTATATTGTAGCTTGCATCACGAAAGCTACAACATTATTAAAGACAATGTTAAGAAGTACTTACTTTTCTGAAGTGTATGGATGGAATTGTAGTGGTGAAGAAATGGTGAAAAACTTTGTCAAACAAACAGATGGAGTCAGTTGAGGTATATACATGCTTGTTTATTGATATGATATCACAAAATAAAATAAAATTATTGTGAAAGTCTCGATCAAAAAAAAAGTGGTTTTTTAATTTAACAAACTGTTTATGGATAAAATAATTTAGAAAACATCATCTGATTTATTTTACAAAAACTTGATCCAAAAGTTACAAAAAAGATAGATAAAAGAATGAATAAATCATTATTTATATGTATATTTAACAATCGTGTTTTAAATAGATTAATATTTGATCAAGTTAGAAATCATCGATGTTTATTAGATAGGAGAGAGATATACAAATGGAGATCTGTTACACGTCAACCAAAAGTTATGGCTGGTAATGGGTATTTAGAAATGTTAAAAGTGTGGTTTAAGTCAAACAACATCGTACTTATGTTATGGTATGATATTTATCAAATCTTGGTGAATGCAATCAAAACATCACATCCAAATTCATTAGATATTGTCAAATATTTGGTGGAAGAAAGAAAGATTGCTGATCACCTTATCAATGACTATGTACGAGTGGATGGCGAATACCTTCGTACATATGATGGTTTTCTAAGAGTTGCAGTGTTGTCAGGAAAGTTTGAGATATTCAAGTACCTGGAGAATCTATTCAAGTCGAAAGGAATGTCTTTGTACTACAAATTGTACTTTACACGATCACCACTCTCCAACGATATCGATATGATGATCTATTTGTCAGGAAAGGAGATTTCGGGCAGCCGTTCCTATTTAGAGAACATTTGTAAAGTCTTTGATTCCGCAGCAAGAGTTGGTCGCGTCGATATGATTGAATGGCTGGCCGAACACATACCACAATATAGAAAAGGAAATAACATGTACTATCATGCGGTGTTTGGAAATCATATTCATGTTCTCGAGTACTTGAAGAGAAGGAACAATGATCTTCCACAAGAAGGACCATATTCTAAAAAACTCATTGATGTCGCAGCAGAAAGAGGAAACCTCCAAGTTTTGAAATGGTTAGATGAGAACAAGATTGGAAGAGCTTCACATGATGCCATTGATAATGCATGTGCAAAAGGATACCTTAATATTGTAGAATGGCTATTTGAAAATAGAACGGAAGGATACACAAAACGATCAATGATCGATGCTTCAACAAACGGACACCTTCAAATTGTAAAGTGGATTCATTTCAATGGTGGGTATCTTGATAAATTTTCAAATAAACTAAATATCGATGATGCTGCTGGAAATGGACATCTGGATGTCGTGAAATTCTTGTACAGCAATGGATATGAACTGAGTGCAACTATAAAAGCAATCGATAATGCCGCAAAGAACGATCATTTGGAAATGCTCAAGTTCCTTGTCGATGAAAATATAATTAGATATAGTACAACCACCTACTTACTTAATATGGCAGTTGCTCGTGGCCATGTTGAAGTAGTTGAGTGGTTGAGTCGTCGACTTGCTCAACGAGGTTCAGTATCAACATTCGAAATAGCAATAGATAATTGTGACTTACCAATGGTGAAATGGTTACATCAAAATCAAACGGTTTGGCTTGCTGAGAATGAATACTATGATTTCTCATGTCCCATTGTCTGGGCAAGAGAATATGGACACAAAGATATCGAAAGATACCTCATCGAGCAACACCCATTAATTTCATTTTATTATATTATTCTCATTATATTAATTTCTTGTTTAACAATCAAATTTCTTTTTAGATTAATTTATTAATTGTGAATACAATAAAATTTAATAAAAATGAAAGAAACTAAAGATAAAATAGTAAATTTTTAACAAACAACATTGTTTCTTGCAATATATTAATCGTAAGTAACTTAGTTATAACTAGAAATGAAAATTTGATAAGTTAATAGTATGAAAAACCTAATCAAGTTTAATTAATTCTTATTAGTCTTTTTATATGAACTTCGTTGAGTATCAGATAATTTTGATCAATAGATTGGTCTAGTGTTTATCTATCGGTTTATCTTTGTTTTATTATTAAGGTTTTTGTTGCAAAAAGATGTTATATGATCGAATGGCTGGCCAAACACAAATCACAATATAGAAAAGGAAACAGCATGTACTATCAAGCGGTGTTTGGAAATCATGTTCATGTTCTCGAGTACTTGAAGAGAGAGAACAATGATCTAGATCTCACCGATGATAACGATAATGCTAGACTTATTGATGTCGCAGTGGAAAGAGGAAATCTAACGATTATTAAATGGTTAGATGAGAATAAAATCAGTGAATCAACAAACCAAGCAATGGAAATTGCATGCTCAAATTCTTTGATATTGTAGAATGGATAGGTGAACATAGAACAGAAGGATTCACAAGACGAGCTATGATCGATGCTTCGACAAACGGACACCTTCAAATTGTAAAGTGGATCCATTTCAAAAGTGGATATGATAAATTATCAAATAAAGTAAATATCGATGGTGCTGCTGGAAATGGTCATCTGGAAATATTAAAATTCTTTCACCACAATGGATAGGAACTTATTTCAACGGTAAAAGCAATTGATAATGCCGCAAAGAACGGTCATTTGGAAAAGTGCCCGATTTGCTCAAATTCCTTGTCGAACATAATCTAGCCGTAGTCTAAAATAACAAAATAAAATATATTATTATAACAAAGTTACAAACTTTTTTTCATTGTGATTTTTTGTAAAAGTTTTTCTAATAAAAATGATTCATTTCCACTAAAGTTGATTTTTCATCTTTGAATCTAATTTAAAGATTCATTGATTTTATTGATAGAATGGATAGTAATAATAATAGTGATTTAAACAATATAGCAATGCCAACAGAGTGGATTAGAAGAAAAAAGAATAGTAATAATAATAATGTTCAATCTCCACAACAACAACAACAACAACAGCAGTCAAATAAAACTGCCAATAATAATATAACATCGAGGAATGGTGTTACCTTTCAAGCATCTGATTTCACAATTAGAAATGATTTCTTTGGTGGTGGTGATAATAATTATAATAATAGCAGTGAATACGATCATGAACAACAACAAAGTCATCAAAACTATTTAGATTATATTCATTCCGATACCAATGGTGGTGAAACAATTAGTAGTCATAGTAACTTTCACTTTACCGATACAACACCTACAAAACAACATTCAACAAAACATACAACACCGAAATCAACAACAAATAATAATAATAATAAACATGTATATACAACAACAACAACAACACCAACAAGACACCAAAATCAAGCTTATTCATTCATTGATTTAGATGATATTAGTAGTAGTAGTAATGATAATTTTAATAATAACTACAATAACAATAATAGTAAAATAATAACGGATGTATTCGATAAGAAAAAGATGTTTAGTATGTTATCACCAACAAAGACAACACAAGGTGCTACAACTGGTCAGAATTATAATACACCATTGAAGAGTTATAATAATAGTGCTAGTAATAGTAATTATAATAGTATTGGTAATAATGATAATAATAGTGGTGAAAGTGATAACTTTTGGGATAACTATGATGAGGAGAAGAGAAGAATTCAACATGTTAAACAATCACCGTTATCAAATGTACATATGACACCGAATTCAAAACAACAGCTACAACAACATCTTCAACAGAATCAACCAACAACACCACAACCAAGAAAGACACCTTTAAATCTATTTAAACAACACAACAATCCGAATCAATATAATAATATAGACAACAGTAGTAGCAGTATCAATAACAATAGTAATTACTCTGTAAAGAAGAATCTTTTTAACAACAACAACACTTATAATACAAGTAACAGTAAAAACAATAACAACTACAGCAACAATAGCAACAAATTCAATACAAATGATATATTTAATAGTAGTATTAGTAGTAGTGATGATGATATTGTAGATTATAATCAATCACAACAACAACAACAACAAAAGAATAGAAAACAACAGCAACAACAAAATACAATAAGCAATAATGTATATAGTTATAGTATTAGTGATGATAATGGTATGATGGTTGGTGACGACGATGATGATATAGATCCGACCATTCCAGTTCCTCTGTTTGGATCTAGTCAATCGCCATCTAAAAACTCACCTTCAAAAGCAAATGTTAGCAATAAGAGAAAAGAGACTGCACCGGTTGTCTACTATCAGAATGAAGATGCAAATAACAACAACAACAACAATGATGATGATGATGGGAATGATAATGATTCAGAGAATACACAACCTTTGACACCAACACAAGGTTTACCTCTATTAACAGGAAATAATAATAATAATAATAGTAATAATCAACAACAACAACAACAGTATCTATCATCACAAAGATCATTATCACAGTTATTTGGATTAGAAAGAACATCTTCCTTTAAAAAAGATAAAGTATTCTTTAATTCAATTCTAAAACAATCGACAGTACCTCTTAATAATAATTATAATAACAATGATAGTAGTAGTCAACAACAGTTACAAATACAACATTCACAATCGAATTTATCACAAACAACAACAACAACAGGAACACAACCACAACAACAACCAATTGTAAATATTTTAACACATAGTAATAGTAATAGTTTAAGTGTATATAGTCAACAACAAGCATTAAGTCAATCAGCAAATTATAATAATAACAATAATAATCAATTCGATGGATTTAGTCAGCTGCAACAACAGTTAAGACAAAAGAGTAAAGATATCATTAGAAGTAGCAGTCAGATATCGTTCGATTGGAATCAAGACAATGAAGAACCAGAAGATATTACATCATCTCTTGATGCAACAGATCAACTAGCACCACAATATCCACCTCCACAATCAATCGCTCACAATTACTTTGACACACAATCGATTTCAGATCCAATAACATCGAAACCATCACCTCCACCACCAAAATTCGAAGAAACCTACACAAGAACCAAGTTTTTAAATAACCTTAGAAATACATTAGATGTTTCAACTAAAAAAGTATGTAAAATAATAATAATATTGATATTTAAAATAGTTATTAATTGATTGGTTATGAAAATATAGGATATAGAGGAAATAGATGATGATGATAATAATGAACAAGATTCAATATTGGATGAATCTTTTGATCATAATAATAATAATGATGGTGAAGAGGAAGATAAGTTGGTGGATGGACCAATGAATGATAAGGATTTACAACATAATCAAACACCTCATAGTAATCAACAACAGCAACAACAACATGCAAGATGGAGACAGTTTGAAGGTGTTGCAGATCTGCAATTCGATCAGAGCAATCAGGGTGGTCTTGTAAGTGTTTCGACAAAAAACAAGAAGAAGTATGAAAGAGGTGGAATCACTTCGAGACTGATGAACTTGCTGGCCAAGCAACAACACAACATCGAGCTGATTACAAAGCGTGGAATGCAATCTACTTTTGCACATCCGAATACACCTCAGATTCAACCGATTGTTGGCCAGCAAGACGATAGTCTAACGCTTAGAGTGACAGCACTACCACCAACCATGCTCCAACAGAAGTACGTATATCTCACACAATGCACTGTCTTGGATGGCGACACCGAATCACTGGCAATCCATCCAATCGATTCAACACTGATGGTCATCTTCTCGGAGGAAATGAAAATCAAGTGGAAACTACAACTGAATTCAACCGTTCAAACTGTTTACTGGCAGAATATCACTACTTTCGAGAAGCCAACTATTATTTGTTTAACTGGTAGATGTGTTGATAATGATTCAACATCAACTACGACAACAACAACTACTACTACTACTACAGATAGTTTAATAGACAAATTGAATGTAATTACTCTTGATAATTTGGAATCAAGTAATAATCAATCAAGTTCAATACCAAACACCACCACAGATGTTATACCCTATAGTCAAATCGATATCGTTCAATTCCTTTTGAACTACGATATTACAAGTATCGATCAATTGTATTCCAATTTGACAACTGTAAATGTAATGACAATGATTCTCAGGTATTTCGAAGATGGCGAGAAACAATATCAGCAACAAAAATCGGCAGAGTTTAATATTCGCGCTGGCGAGAGACATGTAAAGATATTGGTGACCAATCTCGAGGGTGCCATTGCAATCATTCAGATACCTCTGCATATGATCGATCGTTGGAGTAATCTAATAGCTAACCAGGAATCACTCTACTCTGAGTGTATATTCACGAATCTCTCGTATGTCGACAGCATTAGAGTACCTTGTTTCTCAGAGTTTGGATCGATTCTTCAGCATTACATTGCCCCAAGTTTGCGACCGACATCCGACACCTTTAACTGTACGATACTATCGGTTCGTGAAGATTCCAACTTTTTGTTGCGTCCACACATCGATGATGGAACCATCTACAAACCAGACTCTGCAATACTCTCGCTTTCCGAACTGCCATTGAACGATTCAATCGTTTCGCTGTTTTGGCATCGTTTAAATGTTCAAGCGGTCGTTGAGCATGTTCATGTCGATCGTGAACTCATTACCATATTCATAACGTCATTGAATCAACCGAATACAGATAACGGTGATAGTAATAATAGTGTTGGTAATCTCAATTCCGTTGGTGTGGTTGTCAGACGTGAGAATCTCTTTGATCATATCGAGCATTTGAATCAGATACAACCGGGTGTTTCTCTGATTTTCCAGGATATCTATGTTCAACCACCTTCACAACCTAGACCGGCCATTCCATTGTTGGTAATGGACAAGTTCTCACAGATTTTCAAAACAGAGACGCTGGAGCTGACTGGCGTACCAATGAATAGTGGCGTCAATACCTATGTGCTTGGTCAACCACAGGAATTCATCAGTCTAATCGATCTACCCAATGGATTGCTTCCCTACTACCAATCGATTGTCAACATCGATGGAGTGATTATCGATTGCAACAAAACGGAATTCCTCTACCGTGGTTGTCTCGAGTGTCAGTGTGAAGTGGCCGAGTTCCAAGGTGACCAAGTTCTCGGTTATGACAAAGAGAAATTCTTTTGTTCGAAATGTCGTCAGTTGGTTGATAGTGAACTCATGGTTGAATTAAGATTAGTTATTAAAATTGATAATTGGACTATTCATTTAAAGGTAAAATTATAATATTAATAATATTACAATTAATTGAACAATTTATTAATTTAATTTTTTTGCAGATAAATAATATTTATTGTTCCGAAATATTTGAATTCCCATTGGAACATAAAGTTGAAAAAGAACAACAATACACCGAACAACTATCGAGTCTTGTTGGTAAGAATATTAATATCAATGGAATATTGACACCTACAACAACGGAGAATGAATATTCAGAGAAAACTGCGATCTTCAATATCGAAGCAATATCATGTCCAAATATTTATCAAATTGCATAAAATAATAATTGTACATTTAGATAATCAAACTAAATTAATCGATTAAATATAATTATCCATTGCAAAAAAACAAGTGATTTTAAAGTTTAGACAATTCAAAAATGTTTTGTTTATTAATTTTTGTTTGCAAACAAACTTTGAGTTAATTATAATCCCAAATACCATGAAATAGAGATTCTATCATTTTTAAAGCAATTATAATTGTTTAGATACTTATTCTAAAAACTAATGTAAATAACATGATTTTATTAATTTTTTTCTGTTTTTCAAAAGAATAAATCAAATTTTGTCTAATTTAAAATAGCTCAGTGACATATTTAATGCTAATTTTTATTTAATAGTAAATTCAATCAATTTTTTAGAAACAGCTATTAATTTTATAAAATTGGTGATTATTATATCAAATAAAAAGTAAGATATAATTATTTCTACATAGATTATATGTATGTACAAGGTCCAAAAAAAATAATCAAATCAAAAAAATCAAAAAACGAAAAAAAAAAATTTTCCAAGAAAATGTAAATTTAGTGAAATTAATTTTACAAGGTGTGAATCAAAAAAAAAAAAAAAAAAGAGAACCTTATTTAATTTAAATTTGCTATTCATACTATTATTATTATTATTATTATTATTATTTATTAGTGTAAAGATATAGAATAGCTAACATATGGATTCTTTTCAATTACCGTTGGATTTAGAGTCAAGTGCACTTCATGGAGCATTATCTTCGTCGGTAGTCACTCCACCATTGACTTCGAGTAACAGTGGTAATATACCGACTGTTAGTGGATCACAGAGTCAGTTGAATAAAGCTCAAGTTGCACTGGCAATGGCATCGGCACTACAGATGCACGAAGAAGAGAAAAAGAAACGTGAGGAGAAGAAGAGAAAGCGAGAGAATGAAGAACAACTAAACAAAATCATTCGTCAAAAGATGGAACATGAAAAGAAAAAGTTGGACGAAGAGGAGAAACGTTCTTATTCCTCCAATCAAGAGTTATATACAATTTTCAATGATCTCCAAATGATATCACATGAGTAAGTGTAAATTACCTCAATATAAGAAAGTTGATGATAATGATAAACTAATATCTAGTATTATATTATAGTTATAACATTCAATTTGAAACACCAGAGTTGGTTGTTGTTGGAATGCAATCCGATGGTAAATCAAGTTTTATTGAATCATTGTTGGGTTTTCAATTCAATATTGTTGAGACTAATATTGGTACAAGACGACCGTTGATCATTCAGATGATGAACAATCCAAAGAAGCTACATCCCAGTTGTCGATTCAAAAAGGAGGCAGCCAATGGAGAGTATATTACCGAGGGTGACAAATGGGAGGATCACGAAACACCAGTCGAAGAGCTGACAGAAGAGATTGTCAAACGTACAAACGATCTGACTGGATCGCGTGGCGATAAAGTTAGTGCACAACCGATATTCTTGCGTGTCGAATTCGCTCAGTGTTCCAATCTCAATATCTACGACACACCTGGATTCAGAAAGGGTGGTGATGAAAAGTTAAAGTTGGAAATCGGTGATATGGTGAAGAAGCTGATCGAACCGAAACATCGTATCATCGTTTGTTTGGAGCAGTCGAATGTCGAGTGGGCAAACACCATCTCGCGTCCACTGGTCAAGAAGATCGATACCGACTTTTCCAGAACGATTCTCATCAACACAAAGTTTGATAATCGTGTCAAGGAGTTGAGAACTCGCGAAAGTGCACACAAGTATCTCGAGGGTGAAGGAATCATTGCGAATAAGAAACCATTCTTTATTAGCTTACCACTTAAGCGTAACTTGGAACCACACAGATTCAAAGACGCAATGAAAGAATCGTACTTGGAAGACTATCGCAAACTCTTGGAAGTCAATTTCGATGAGAATAGATTCGGTCACCAAATTGGAATCTACAACGTCAAGGAACACATTGAAAGTCTGTTGCATGAAAAGTATCAACAAAATCTATTACCATCGCTACTGTCATTGGAGAATATCGTTAGAAAGACAGATATGGAGATCGCCAGAATCAAGAAGGAGCTGGAGGAGAACAATCTCCATACTCTAAAGTTCAAGGTACTTCAATATGTTCAATCATTCAATATTCAGATTGAACGGCTGTTGGAAGGAAGTGTCGTTGGTGACCCAGATGTATACGGACAAACTCTACAACAAGAGATGGAACACTGTTGTGTACAATCATGGCCAAACTTTACTTTTAACTTTGACATCCAGAATGCCAACTTTAGTCTCTACGGAGGAGCTCAATACGAGAGACTTTTAAATGAATTGGAATACGTCATTCACTCTCGTGAATTCCCAGAGACATCAATCAACGAAGTTGCTTCGGCAATTGGTATTTCTAAATCTCATAATTCACCAATTTATGAATTGGCTGTAAGTTTTACAACATTTTATCTGTCTAATAACTTTATTAATATAATATTATTATTATAGGCTACCAATATTTTCCAGATTAAATCGAAAAAAGTATTATTACCACTCATTGATATTGTATTACAAAGATGCACCTATATCATGAAGAGATTGTTTGATATAGGTGTGTCAATCCTCAACAATGAAGAAGGACATGAAATGAATTCAGTTGCATTGTATGAGCATTTTATCACCGAGCTAAGAGCAAGATACTACAAGTTCATCGAGGAAATCGAAGCAGATTGCAAAATCAGATTAAAGGATGATTTCGATACCTTTACAAAGATTGTCGATTGGAACTTACTAGGTGGTCTATCAGAGATTAAACAATACAACTATCTCAAAGTAACACCAGAGGAAACAAAACAAAGAGTTATTTCAATTATGGAAGGAAAATCAAATGAAAATGGTTTTGATTTGTAAGTAATTAACCTTAAAAAAACAATTGTAAATAATTATGTTTAACTAATAATTATTTATTTTGTAGGTCATCAAGATCAAGAAGAATAGATGATGAAACATATCAAAAAGTTTGTATGATAGCAGGTAGATTGTTTTCTGGTATTAGATTTTTCTTTTCGAAATATATTAGAAACAAATTGAATGCTTTCTTTTTGGATCCACTCTTCCAACGTTTGGGAAGCTCAGTCATCGATCACTTTTCAAAGCTACCCGATAAAAAGTACGAAGAGATGTTCCAACTTGGTATCGAAGAACTAAAGACATTGTTGGTCAAGCTCGAGGCTCAGTCTATCGATTGTAAGAAAAACAGAGATAAATTCAAAGAAGTATTCAAGAGAATGAAAGCTGCAACCACCAAAACCAACGAATCATACAATCCTGTTGATGTAACAATGACTCCAACCAAATCAACTAGTTTCCATGAATAATTAATTAAGTTTTAATAATAACAACCAACAACCAATAATAATATTATTAATAATCATCCTTCACAATTTTCTTAAACAAACAAAAGAAAAAAAATAATATCAAATAAAATGAAATATATTTGTACAGAGTTTTTATATAAACTAAAACTAAACTATTTGAATAAAAATTGTTTTACATATTTATTTAATATGTATAAATATAAATATATGAGTATTTTTTGATTGAAAGTAATCATAGTTTTTGACAAAATCAATGCTTGAACAATTATTAATAGTTACTTGTTAATTTCCAAACTAGATAATTGAGATCACTCTGAATAAGATTAGGTTTCAAGAGTATCCAGATTTTTGAAAAATTTAATAGATACCCTGTCATTACAGATTCAAGTGAAAACAAGATAGATCTTGCTTGTAGAATTACCAAGTTCCTATCGATAATCGAACCAACATTAAAGTTGAACAAAAATTACAATCTACTTTTTTTGTTGACCTAAGCCCAGTCGGATTCAATTAGTTCGTGAATATCCTCTGCCAAAAGTTGTGGGAATGTCTCTGGTGAGTATCTTCTAACCAATTGACCAGTCTTGGATACAAGGAACTTCTCGAAATTCCATGTAATGTCATTGGTCAACACTGGAGTCCAACTTATCAAACTGGTATCGATGATAGTCTGTGAAGTGGCACCACATCCAGATCTTAACCATTGGAAAACTGGACTAATTTGAGATGGATCTCCATTTACATTGGACTAAAAAATAAATGTAATAATAAAAGAAAAATTAATAATTTAAAATAAATAAAATAGTTATTTCTTTCCTTGAAAAACTTACCTTGGTAAATAATAAAAAGTTTGGTACAAAGTTGTCTCCTGGTCTAACATACTTCAAAGTGAGAAGGAATTCTTGATCGGATCCAGGTGCTTGATTCATAAATTGGGAACATGGGAAACCAAGAATAGCAAATTCTTCGGTTCCATACTTTTCTACAAGTTCATTACAACCTATAAATGTATTAATGAATTTGGATTTCAGTGTTAATATAGAGAAATGTTGCTATGATTCAAATTTATGTGTTTACCTGTAAATGACATATAAGTCATTCCTCAAAAGGTAGCGGTATTGAGGAGAAGTACTACCTTTCCTCTGAACTGGTCAAAGGTGATGGTAGTACCGTTTATCAATTGGTAGGAGAGGTCGTAGAACGATGTCGATGGTTGTGTACAACTGACATTGGTAAAACCAGCGTCGACACCTAACTGACTATTGATGTTGCCCAAAGATAACATCAACACGACCACCCATACCAATGATATAGAATAAACGGATATTCTAAACATTTCAATGGTAGTGGTATATAAAAAATAAATTATCTATCTATCTCAGTCTTCTTTCTATCTCTTTTTTTTTCTAATAGGTTATAAATTATAATAATAAATACAATGCAATCATAAATATTTATGATTGATTGATTGAATGATATTTTTTTATTTTTGTAAAAACCTTTTTAAGTATCATCAACATTAATAAATGAAGAAAAAAACTCCAAAATCGGCGGATTTGAAAATATCTTTTCATGGTGTCATAATTCTTTTAACAAATTTTAAGAAAAGTTTAAAAAAATCAAACCTTTTTTTGTGATAGAACAACGTTCTTTTTTTGTTGGTGCAATACATATTATTTGTCTAGTGGTTTTATTAATTAATTGTTTGTAAACACAGTTCATTATTTCGTTTTCAAACAATCGACCAAAAACAATATAAGATAGTAGTATTCCCACACTGCAGCCACCTTCTTTTTTTGATTTGATTAGATTAAACATTAGATCTGCAAACGAAATAGATATCGAAGTTTCTAAAGTTCAAATACAGTACCCTATGCATCCATTCGTACCACTGTTATTGTTAATATGAATTAAAAGTATACTTTTCCATATATATATATATATATAAAGGAGGTGTTTGATGTTTTATTTATTTTAATGATATTCTCTTTAAAAACAAAGGTATACAACTTTAGATTATGAATAATATTTTAAAATATCAAATTTGTTGACCGCCCATCAATGATTTCCCAAATATGTTTTAACACACAAACAAATAAATAAATAAACACCACATATTCGTGTTGTTAATAAATAAAAAAACATTATTATTTGCAATCATAAGTTTAATATTATATTCTTGATTTAATTAAATCTAGATTGATTTTATACTATATATATAATTTTTTAAATTAAGATATTATTTATTAGAGGTTTATTATAGGAGATTTATCGATTAGTACTAAATTAATGTTGTTGACTTCATTGGGTGGACGGAAAACATGTCATATTCCACGACAAGACAATTGAAAACACTATTTGAATAAGATTAGGTTTCAAGGGTATCCAGATTATTAAAAATTTAATGAGTACCCTGTCATTACAGATTCTAGTGTGAACAAGATAGATCGTGTCGGTGGTGTTTTGCCAATCCACTGATGATAATCGAACAAGCATCGACCCTGTAAATCGATAAACTACCTACTAATGTTAGATTGGTCGATTAATAGTCTGCGTCGATCAAGTTATAGATATCCTCAGCCAAAAGCTCTGGTAGAGTTTGTGGAGAGTATCTCTTGTACAATTGACCGGTCTTGCTTACGAGGAACTTCTCGAAATTCCATGTAATATCGTTGGTCATTACTGGAGTCCAGCTAATCAAACTTGTCTCTAAAATCGTTTGTGTGATTGGACCGCAACCCGATTTCAACCAATTGAACACTGGATTTACAGTTGATGGATCACCATTTACATTAGACTGAAGAGGATCGTAGAGAAAGTTTGGTTGGAAATGCATTAATATTAAGTTTCATTAATTTTATAAAGAATTGTTGTTATTTACTTTGGCAAACATTGGGAATGCTGGTTGAAAACCATTACCAGGTCTAATGTATTTGAGGGTAAGTAGAATTTCGTCACCTGATCCTGGTGATTGATTCATGAATTGGGCACATGGGAAACCGAGGATGACAAACTCGGTGGTTCCAAACTTCTCTACGAGGTCGTTACAACCTATACATATATGATATGTAAATTATTAAAGTTCATTCATTTATAAAGAGAGACATTAAAAAAAGATATTTACCAGTAAAGGTTTCCAAGGTCATGCCTCAGAACGATGCGGTATTGAGCAACATAACAACCTTACCCTTGAACTGGTCAAAGTTAATGGTTGTACCGTTGATCAATTGGTAGGAGAGACTATAGAATGAAGTCGATGGTTGGGTACAGGTGATGTTGGTCTGCTGGGCATAGACACCAACGCCACCGTTGTATCCGGCGATCATCAACGAACAAACTAGTACAATCCATACCAATGACATAGAATAAATTCTATACATTTTATTGGGTACGTTTGTTAAAGTTGTTGTTTATCTAACTATAAACAAATAAATGATTTAACTATTTTTTAATGAAAAAAAAAGAATGTTCAAGTTTCTCAATGATTTTTGAGTCTTTTCATAAAAAAAAAATAAAAAAAAAAGAAATTTCGTATTAAGAATTTTTGTTCCAATGCGGATTCAATAAAATATCTTTTTTAATTTGGAACAGAACATTCTTTTTTTTTAGAAAATTTATTACTTTCTTTTTCTTCCATAATAAAATAAGATATTATTATTACAAATAGATTAATTTTAGTTGGAGATCTGATATTTTTTAAAACTTGTTTTTTATTTTCGTTTATTGTCTGCAATATTCAAGTTTGTTTAAATTATTTGTTATGCCATAAATCATTAAATAATCTATTGCAAGAATGTTATGTAATTCATTGTATGTGCATTGTCACCCAAAAATAAATTGTTTTAACTTTTTTTTTTTTTTTGTTTGTTCACCCTTTTTCATTTTACCACTAAGGTTGAACATTGATCACTGATTGTTCATATAATTCATTAATAATTTTAAATAATATTAAAGAAGAATGGAACCATTATCAACAGCGCAAATCAGATTGAATGCTACACCCAAGAAGAAACCAATCTTGGGAAAGAGATATCTCATGCTCTACAATATGTTTCAAGCATTGGGTTGGTACTATGTAATCATCTCAATGTTTATGCGTTTATTCTTCCAAGGAACACAATCTATCTATACTACTTTCAATTCATTAGGTTCCATCGTTTGTAAGTATAAGAGTTGTTTGTGTCGCGACTTGAATGAATGATCATTAATAAATAAATCATATTTTTTTATTTAATATTAATATTTATAGGTACATTGCAAGTATTTGCATTCTTGGAGATTGCACATGTTTATTTCGGTATTGTAAAGTCAAGTTTGTTGCCAACAGTCGTTCAAGTACTCTTTAGAAATCAAGTACTTCTCGGATGTCTACTCTATGTACCAGAGGCACAAGTTCATTGGGGTGTCACTCTATTGTTTTTCTTCTGGGGTGTTTCAGAGTTGATTCGTTTCCCATTTTACATTGCTCAAGCCTATGGTGATTGTCCACCAATTTTAACTTGGTTAAGGTTTGTTTATTTCCCAATTATCATAATATCAGCTATAGCATCTTTTAAAAGTTAAATTCTAACATTTTACCAATAATTAATGATATATAGATATAATGCATTCATTATATTATATCCAATTGGTTTCGCAGCAGAGAGTAAGTTAATGAATGATTAGTTATATCAAATTGATTTATCATTTAAATTAACTATTGAATATCATACAACAAAATCTATAGATATTCTTTATTATGTAATGATGCCATACATTTTAGTAAGAAGAGTACATTTCTGGGATATGCCAAACTATCTTAACTTTTCTTTCAACTACTACTATTTCTTATTGATTTGGATTGGTATTTCACTCCTAGGATTCCCAAAACAATACTTATATATGTTTACACTTAGAAAGAAGAAGATGTTAGAGTCAAACAACGAGTCATCATCTAACTCAAAAAAGATTCAATAAATCTAAAAGAAATGAATCAAATCATTTAAAATATATATACATTTATATAAAACTGAACACTAGTGTTTAAATTCTATATTCTGTTTATATTTATTTAACAAGTTTTTTAATATATATATTATGTTCAAAAAAATAATGTATTATTGTTGTAGTTATCATTTTGTTTTGTTATTATTAATTATTATTGTTGTTATTATTATTATTGTATTTGAGTGATATTGCTTGCTTTGCTATTGGTTTCAGCACTTTTTTGTGATTATTTATTTAGAGTTTTCTTTTGGCTTATCTTTTGAATCGGTTGTGGTGGTGGTGGCGGTATCCTTTGATGATGGTGCAGGTTGATTAGCTATTTGGTCGGCCTTCTTTTCGGCATCACGATTCTCAATCTTATTTAAAATCAAGTTATGTAGAGCAATGATCGAACGAATCAAAGATGATATATAGATTACAGATACAGTGTCATTCATTTCCACAGAGAACGACTTTGCCAACTCTCCTACATTCAAATTGGGTGAAAGATTAATGATATCTTGAATGAATCCAATGATTTGTTGATTTAATGGTAACTTTCTATAAAAATGTTTAATAAAAAAAAAAAAAAAAGAGTAAAGTAAGTACTTACTATACTTTAAAGTTATGATCATTTTATAAAAATACATACTCTGCAACTACATAATCTAAATAGGTTGTCATTTCTTGCAAGTTATTGGCTAGATGTTTCAAAGAGATCTTCTTGTCTACGATTTGATTGGTGAGCGATGAGATGGAACTATCCTTGACATCACGAAGTAAATGTTCAATACAGATTTCCTCTGCCTCGACGGCATCAATAGATGATGGGATATGTTGGAATCTCATTGTTGACTCTGATGTTTCCTATTTTTATATTGTTATTACTATTAGATATTGATTGGCTGATTGATTTGATTTATGTATTAGTCTTATAACTTACTTTGTTAACTTCTTCAACGGTGACATAGGATTTGGTTGGGATACCCAACTCTTTTGGTGCTACATCTATAATAACCAATACTGGATTGGGTGTGTATCTTCTAAAGAGTTCATTGATATCCTGATCGGATGGTCTAATCTTTGGACCAGTACTATACCAACCAACAACATTCTCACGAGCTATATAAATAATGATAATAATAATTTAATTTTTATAAGTTAATGAGTAATGATTTGATTTGAATTAGATTTACCATTAATCTTTTTAAACATTGCAAACATATTCTCATGGAAATTGTGATCTAAGAACCAAATGTTTGGGTTGGCATCGTCTTCTTCGAATGGTACACCATAGCAATTCGAAATATCTATGACACCTTTGTTGTTTGCACCGAGTAAAGCACCGACAACACGTTTATTTGTGTCTTTAGCTACACGGTTATAGTGATCTACAACACTCAACAACACTGTTGGATGAACTACTGTCTAAAATATATATATAATAAGAGTATTATTAATCAATATATGTTCAATTAAACCGATCGATGATCTATCATCATGAAAACTAAAAGAGTTAAACACAATAACTAATCTAACACTAATCAATCTATATTGATCAATCTTTTAACACTCTCGAATCAATCTATAATTTATTGATCTAATTATGATTTACGATGATCATAGTGTGATATATATACTTACAGAATTTGGAAAAGTTGACATTTAATTATAATAGATAGATAATGTAATATTTTAATATATGAAGTGGTAATTTAAAAAAAATAATAAAATAGTTTGAAAGAAAATTGATGTTCACAATTTTTTAAATATTTTTTTTTAATTTAATTTTTTTAAATTTAATTTAATTTAATTTTAAGTTTTTTGATCAAAAAAAAATTTTATTACAACTACTTTATTTCTTTTTTGAATACAAAGAAAAGAATTTTAAATGATACCGTTTACAATTGAGATTAATATCTAGATTGAACTAAAGATAATAATAGAAGTGAATATACAATTGTGCGATTTTAATTATATTAATGTTTATTTAAATTAAGTGAAAAGAGAAAAAAATATGTAAAAAATTAACTTGGATCTCTCGAAGATGAGCAATTAATTAGTTGTGGAGATCCATTTTGGATGGAATTGTTTAGTACCAATACTGGCTGAGTTGTTGATGTGTAAGATTGTCTATAGTATTGATTCATGAGCCGTCTGGATCTCTAGGACAAGGTATTTCTTGTTAAATTTGATAACTACAATTTCACTCTCGATAACTAATATTTCTATTCCGTTCATTGATGTGGCGGAAGAAAGATACAACCTTCTTTTTCGAAAGTTTACTTCTGAAATACTTGCCTCATTACAGGCTAAAGCATCGGACAAATCGACGCGCCCATCACTTATCACAGAGAGTTGCTCAATGAGCTATCATCACTCCACCCCATACTGGCCAAGAGCTGCCTCTCACTCGCTGACATTGACAGCTGTTGGTCGATCTTTGTAAATCTTTCAAGATTGGAAGCTGTACCGCTAACACCAAATTATCCAACGAATGCTACCAATTTGCTTGGGATTAAGTGAACTAGTGTATATTAAATATGCTATCTGGCTAATATCTTTTAATCACAAAAATATCAGAGGATAGATAGTCTAAAAGAATTCTTTATCAAAAGAGTATTTTAGATAAATTAAGATTTTAAAATGATATATTATCTCTAGATATTACTGTTAATCAAAATTCAATATATTTAAACATAAATTTTAATCATAAAAAATATCTTAAGATCATTTTAAAATATTAATTGATTTTTTAATTTACAAATTATAAAATGGTAGAGTCGTATATAAAAGAAGTAGATTAGAGTTTGTCTTAGAATATATATAAGTAAGCATAGCTACACTATTTGTATTACAAAATAAAATGATAAATATTTATTTGATTACTTTTATTGTTTTATTTATTTTTAACATTGGTTCAACTGTTGCTCAAGTAAGTTTATCAAATAAATCTATATCTATATAGGTTTTTGTTTATAATACTAATATTTATTTATCTATTTAATTAATTAGAATAATATTTGGGTGTTCAATGATCAAGTGGGTTTACCAATTCAACAAATCGATATAAACAATTCATCTTTGTATCCAATTCAATTGAGTGGTCTAAATATTTTGTCATCTCACTACTTTGAACAGATTATATTTGTCGATAATCAAAAATTCATCTTTGTTTCGCATGATAATAACTATAATATTTATTTAAATAATTATTATTTCGTAAGTTATAGTTATATATTCCATTACCTTTCTTTTGATTGCTATGATTATTAACTTTTGTTAATTAATAGGCAAATGAATCTTTATCTAGTTCACTGATTTACAAAGGAACTTATTTCTATTGGATGTCTGCCCAATTGTCACAAGACCAATCAAACATACTACTTGTTAGACAATCAGAGTTGCTTAGAATAGATGTTTTAACTGGTGAAATTATTGAGTAAGTAACCTCCATCTTTTTGTTATTAAGAATCAAACTGAATATTAATAATTATATTTAAATATAGAAATTCTATAATAAGTTTACCAAGTCTTAGCCCAATTGCTAAACAAGATTTGGAATCTGAATATTATAACACTGTTGTAGATTTCGACAATGACATTTGTTATATTTATGTTTTCTCCGAAGGCTATGAAGGAGAGAATGTATATTGTAATTTCTGGAAGGGTTGTGAATATTTCTTTACTGTAGATCTGAAGAAAGGCAAAGTTGTATCGCAATCCTATAGTTCTGAGATCGGTGGTATTCAATTGGTCCAATTTCAATCGTCACCAACCAATAAGATCATTGCAACCGGTGCACAAACAGAGAGTACTTCCTACATCTATACAGTAGATCCAAATTCTTTGGCATTCCAAAAAGTGCAACCATTCAAATCTCAATACTCTGTAGTTGCATCGTCCATCATTGCCACCAGTAATAGCAACCAAATCGTAACACTTTCTAATTCTAATAACTATCAAAATGATTATTATGTCTCTGTTTTTGATTTAAATTCCAATCAATTCCAATCATCCTACTTCTTTTCATCAAACAACACATTGCTTTTTGTCAATGCTTTTTAAAATAAAATAAAATTTTTGTTTTTTCGGTCCAAACAAATAATATTGACTTAAAAAAAACAAACATGTACTGATAGATAAAAACTAGATGAATTTATTTATATCAAATAATACCAATAATGGGATTGTTAAAAAAATCCACTTCAGATCTTTGTGAAAAAATATTTGTTTTTTGATCAAAAAAATCAGATTTATTAATTTTGTTTTGGATAATCATTTTAATTATGTTATATTATTGATCATGTCGCTTTTTGTTAGAAAAGTTAAACTATTACTATTTATATCTATTTCAATTGTTACTTTATTAGTATCATATGTTTTTGCATATTTATTAGGATTGTCATGTTTAAAGTTGTTTATAGGTCTATTCATTCCGGTGTCTTACTGCCTCTACAGAACTTTGTATGGCGAACCACTCAACTTTAGTGCACTGACAACACGTTTGTTCATAGAAACCATCAAAGATGAATATTTCATTTTGTCATCGTTGCGAATTCTCGATAGGTTCGACAGTTCTCAACATGGTCTGACAGATGCTCTTGATCCAGCGACACGTCAACAGCAAGCCAGCCAAATAGACTACAATCTTGGACTGCTCGAGCAATGGGCTGAAAATGTCAGAGACAATCCATCGAGACTGATGTCCTACAGAGTTATCAAGAATCATTTGTCGTGGCTGAAAGAAGGCTATAGGAATATGTTATATCCGTCTCCACTCTATTACATCCAACCTATGTTGTACAGTGTCAACCAACTGTTTGGAAGTCAGCTGGCATTAGTTGAGATACTGACCAGTCAGCAGATTAACAATGTCCGTGATGCCAATCTCTATATCCAGAGGACATCCGGCTCCTCACAGTATATCGAAGGTCTTATTGGCGACCTTCAACAACGTGAATCAAGAAATATCGTGCCACCCAAGTTTGTCATTGACGCCGTTATCAAGCAGATCGATACAAAAATACTGGTTAAATATGATTCAAACTACTTTTTGATGACTCAATTCCAAAACAATTTGGATCGACTCCAACAACAGAAATTGATTGACCGACAACGCTATGAACAACTGAAGCTGGCTATGGAGAACGCTCTGGTCGGCCAATTCATGAAATCATTCAAAAAGTTACGTGACTACCTAGTTAAGCTTAGAGATACTATTGGTTTTGGCGATGGTTGTTGGAAGATCGATCAGACCGACGACATCTACCAGGTGTTGCTTGGCTACCATACCACGACCAACATGACACCACGTGAAATTCACGAACTAGGACTCAAGGAAGTGGAACGAATCAAATGTGAAATTCGTGAGTTGCTCCAATCAGAGTATCCAGAGATCAACAATGATAAGACATTCGGTGGTACTCTGAGAAAGATATGCAGTGAACCGAGATTCCAGTTTCCAACCGATGAAGAAGGTAGAAACATCATCCTCAGAGAATACACTAAAACACTGAGAGATGTAGAGAAGAAGTTGTCGAATTCATTCGAGAAAATACCAGAGGCACAGCTTGTGGTTGAGCGTGTTCAACACTATCGTGAGGAGAATGCACCGATGGCACACTATCATCCTGCACCACTTGACCGTAGTCGTAAAGGAACCTGTTTCATCAATCTCAGAGACACCTCAACACACAACAAAATCAACTACAAAGCATTGGCCTATCATGAAGGAACACCAGGTCATCATTTCCAAATTTCAGTTGCTCAAGTAAGACAAGATAAGATAAAATTAAATTATTGTTTAGTAAGAAATACTAATTAAACTACTCGATCGATCGATCATTTTCAACAAATATATTAGGAATTAAAAGGTGTAGATATTTTCCGTAGATTGTTGGTATTCAATGCATATGCAGAGGGATGGGCATTGTATGTCGAGAGATTGGCAGATGAACTTGGATGGTATGAAAATAAATATGAGAAACTTGGATTTTTGTGCTATGAACTGTGGCGTGCTTGTAGACTGGTCCTCGACACTGGAATTCATGGATCTGAATACAGATGGACCAGAGAGGAAGCGATTGAATATCTATTGGCGAATTCCGATAAGAACGAACCAGATGTCATTGCCGAAGTAGAACGTTATGTTGTTATTCCAGGTCAGGCTTGTTCGTACAAGATCGGTCAGCTCAAGATCATCGAACTCAGAGAGAAAGCACAAAAGCAACTCGGTTCAAAGTATAGTCTCAAAGAATTCCACTCGGCCGTCTTAAACTCTGGTGCATTGCCACTTACCATTTTCGAAAATGTGATCGATGAATGGATCGAAAAGAGAAAGCAACAACCATAAATCCAAACAAAACTAAATGTACAATCAATAACTCGATCGAATCTTATAGTAATAAATTTGTAATCTAAATTGATCCATATCAAAATATTATGAGCTTAATTATCTTTGTTGTTATGAATCGATAGATTACTACTGTCATATCATCTGTGAAATTAACTATTTCTATATTATATTATTGTATTTATATTTATTTAATTCTTTGTTGAAACATTTGTTGCTGATTCTCTGTTAAATATTTAAAAATTTGATTGATTGTTAATATTTGTTACAATTTAATACTATTAATAAGTATAGACTCGTTCTTACTCTGAATATTGGAAAATCTCTTTTAAGAACTTTGAAATTGGTCTATTTGGTCTGCTTGCTTTTCTTCTTTCTTCAGCTTCCTTTTGTACTAATCTTTGTCTTCTTATATTTCTGTAGATATGCTGTTGTTAGTTTAAATTGACACTCACTTTCACTTGCTGCCGCTTTTGTACAAAAACGAAGTAAATCTTACCTAATAGATGCACTAGTGGCAAACTTTCTCAAATGTGCAACGGATGGACCAAACATCTTTGTGTATTTAAATATATATATTAATGATTACTTTAATTATTAAGTATTATCAAAAAAATGATCAGATTAAATTGATCGTTTTTTTTTTTTTTTTTTTTTGCAAAAATTTTTACAAAAAAATTGTTTTAAATTTCATTTTATATTGATTTTTATGGTTTCTGATTGGAACATGTGTGTGGTATGATCATTATCAACACAATTTAATTATATATATTTTTAAAAAAAAAAATTGATAAAGTTTGAATTCTTTATTGTTGTTGTTGTATTATTAGTTGTTTTTTATAAAGTAAGAAAGAATATGACAACTGTTTCACCTACGTTGGGTGGAGTCGGAGGAAGCAGTAGCAAGCGAACCAATGCAAACAAGATGAATCACGATGACGAATCGAATCAAGAGAAAAAAGTTGTCTATGTAGAAGATCCTGCACAGCCATCACGTTGGTTCACTGTAGAATATTTCATCTATTATATCATCATTGTAGTTGGATACTATCTATGTCTTTCATTGATGTATAATACTTCCAATGGTAAGATTACACCGACTACATCTCCTACATATCCCATTTCGTCAAAAAGTAGTAGTAATAGTATCAAAAACAAAAACTAACAAACAAACAAACAACAATTATATATATAGAATACAATCTAGGTATAAAGTCAAACAATGGAATTGTAGATGGATGGTTTATGGGTAGAAAACAAGATCTATCCGATACACAATATAGAATTTGGAGAGAGAACTTCCCATTGTTATCGATTGGTCTATCAATATTTGTTGGAATCAGTTCTTTCATTAGATCATCTTTTCCAGTATGTATATATATATATATATAATTAAAAATAACAAACCAAATCAAAACATTGTTAATGCAATGCTAATATTAATCAAAAAAATCATAGGATGATGTATCAAAAAGATTATTATTTTATAATGTAGTTTCAATGGGATTCTTGATATTCGTACATGGATCATCTAGTTTCATTGTGTTGGCAATCGCCATGATAAATTTCACCATTAGTAGAGTGTTTGCCAAGTCAAAGTTTTTGTCGCTGGCAACTTGGGTATTCAATTTGTTCATTCTCTGGACTAGTTACTACTATTCCGGTTATAGATTCTCGTCGGTCTCACATCTCGGTGTGTATGGTCCCATTCTAGATAGCTACCACGGATTCCTCTCGTGGGAGACCTACTTTAAGGTATCGATGCTTCGTTTCATCAGTTACAACCACGACTATCACTGGATGCGAGTGAAGCGTGCCGTTCCCGAACTCAAGGGAAAGAACGCCTACTTCATTGCACAGGAACGTCATCAGCCAGCCGACCACTACTCACTGCCACACTTTCTCGCGTACATCTTTTACATCCCGTTGTATATAGCCGGTCCGATCGCTTCGTTCAATGCTTTCATCGCGCAAGTCTACCAACCACAGAAGACCTACACTATCAAGCAGCTCGTTGCTGCATCGATCAAGATTCTCTTGGTTTTCCTCGGACTTGAGATTGCCCTGCACTACTGCTACTACTACTCGTTCGATCAGTCCGATGTCTGGATGACATTCCGCGGACCCGAGGTTGCACTGGTCGGCTATCTCGTGTTGAACTTTATGTACGTGAAATTCCTGATCATCTGGAGAGTGTTCCGACTGTTTGCTTTGTTCGACGGTATCGACACACCGGAGAACATGAATCGTTGTGTCAACAACAACTACACTTTCACTGGATTCTGGAGATCATGGCACGGTAGTTTCAACAAGTGGACCGTTCGTTACCTCTACATCCCACTCGGTGGTAAGAAGACACAGCACCTCACCATCTGGCTCATCTTCTTCTTCATCGGACTCTGGCATGATCTCTGGTGGAGTTGGGTTGCCTGGGCATTACTCAACTGTGTATTCTTTACAATTGAAATTGGTATAATGTTTTATTTCTATTCACCAAGAGTATGTTTTTTTTTTTTTTTTTTTGTTATTATTTTTGTTAATTAGTTAATTTTTATTTTCATTAACCGCTAATTATATTCAAAACAACAGAGATTATCACTTAGAAAACAATGGTATTGGAGATATATTGTTGCAGTAGCAGGTACATTCAATATTTTCTTGTTGATGATTGCCAATCTTGCAATTCTTCATGGATTCGAAAACAGTATTCTATTTGTAAAGAATGCATTCTTCTCGGAGGGTGGTCTCAGTGCTTTCGTATTTTCTTATGTTTGGTTGTATTGCGGTATTACCATGATGATGGAGATTCGTGAAGCGGAGAAACGATCAAAAGAAGTTAAACCTTTTTAAAAATAACAACAACAACAAAAACAAAATTACGAACCACCAAAGATATAATTTATTATCTTGCCTTTATTAAAATAAAATTAAAAACCTCAAATACAAATATTGTTTTTATAGGAAATGATGATAATATAATTATGAAGAATAAAAAACAATCATTATAATATAAAATAAAGAGTTTTCTTTTTACAACCAATTAATATAAAATATTGTTAAATAAATATTAATTGTATTATCTGTATATATTTATTTGAATGTATTAATGATGGTCGCAATGGAAGTTTTTTTTTTGTTTTTTTTTTTTTTTTTTATATTACTTAATGTGTTGTAAACAACTTTGTTATTTCTTTTTTTTTTTTTTTGTTATAACATGTCAAAAAATATAGTTTTATATAGTTATTGGAGATCTTCATGTTCGTGGAGAGTTAGAGCAGCTCTTGCTTTTAAAAAGATCGATTATGAATATAGAGCAATCGATTTAATAAAGAATGTACAATCATCAAATGAATATACGAAAATCAATCCGATGAAATCTGTGCCGACACTGGTGATTGATAATCAAGTACTTGGACAATCGTTGGCGATATTAGAGTATCTCGAAGAGACTAGACCACATCCTCCATTGCTGCCATCGAAACCGCAAGATAGAGCAACAGTTCGTCAGATGATGCAAATCATCGGTAGCGATATACAGCCTCTTCAGAATCGTAAGGTGATCAACAAGGTTGCAGAGTTGACCGGTAATGAGGAGAACAAGCAGATTTGGGCAGCGATGTGGATCACCAACGGTTTCGAAGGACTTGAGCGACTACTAGAGAAACACAGTGGAACCTATTGTTTCGGTGACAGTGTCACTCTTGCCGATCTTCTTTTACCGGCACAAGTAAACAATGCCAATAAGTTCAAAGTTGACCTCTCACCTTTTCCCAATATCTTACGTATTAACAAAACACTCAACGATCTGAATGAATTCAAACAAACAAAGCCATCTGCTCAACCAGATGTTGACAAGTAACATAACTATTTTAGTTTAAGTCCAAACAGTTGTTTGTTTAACAATAAATAATATTTTTTATAATTAATGAATATTTGCTGGCTTCCAATAATAAATATCTTACGTAAGTCAAAATAAAATCTACAACAAAATATTGTTTTGATTTGCAGAATAACAAAAAAATGGGTGTGTTTTTGATAATGGAATGCATGGAAGCATCGGACAGAACTCCAGTTTTTTTTGTTTTTATTTGTAAATTTCAGCAGAAAAATAAATTGAAAGTTTGAACAAAGTGTTATCATTTTAAACTGAAATTAAATTTAGACTATAGTTAAATAAATTATATATTTATTTTTGTAAAAAAAGTTATTATTAAAGAAAATGTCAAGCGAAATACCAACAAATACAATTTTATATAGTTATTGGAGATCTTCATGTTCATGGAGAGTTAGAGTTGCTCTTGCACTGAAGAAGATCGATTATGAATATAGAGCAGTCCACTTGGTAAAGAAGGATCAAACCACTGAAGAATATACAAAGTTGAACCCAATGAAGATTGTAAGTTGGAATAGATTATCATCCTATTTGTACTTGTATATTAATAATTATTAAATAAAGGTACCAACATTAATTATCGATGGTAATGTATTGGGACAATCATTGGCCATTTTAGAGTATCTCGAAGAGACTAGACCAGAACCAGCTTTGCTTCCATCGAAGCCACAAGACCGTGCAGTCGTACGTCAGATGATGCAAATCATCGGAAGTGATATCCAACCACTGCAAAACCTGAAGGTTATCAACAAGGTTGCAGAGTTGACCGGTGACGATAAGAATAAACAGGTTTGGGCAGCCACTTGGATTGCCAACGGATTCAACGGACTCGAAAAGCTACTCGAGAAGCACAGTGGCAAGTATTGTTTCGGTGACACCATCACGTTCGCCGATCTCCTCTTGCCCGCTCAAGTATTCAATGCCCATCGTTTCAATGTAGATCTCACACCATATCCCAATGTAGTGCGTATCAACAACTCATTAGCTGAAATACCAGAATTCCAAGCTGCACTCCCAACCTCCCAACCAGACGTTGAATGTTAACAAAAAAAATAATATTAATAATTATCAATCAATGATCTTCAAAATTTTAATAAACAAACAATTTTTTTTTAAAATGAAAAATTTTTGTTTTTTTTTTTTTAAAACTATTTTATTAAACATACTTATTAGATATATATATATATTAAAATATAAATAAAGATGATTGAAGAAACAATTGTTTTAGATACATCTATTAGAAATTGGGTAGTGATACCTATTCTTTTTGTATTGTTTATAGTTAGTGCTTTAAAGAGTAATATAGCAGGTTTGATGTCTCAAACTGAAAGAAAACAAAATCTACAGAATGTAATGGAAGTGTATGTGTTTATATAATTATGTACTTTTTATTCACTAATTGTTAATGATCATTATATATTTGATTTTAGACAAACATTAATGAGAGCAAGAAGATTAGCAGCAAACTATAATAGAATACCATCATTTTCATTTAATATGAGAAAAGCTTATTTTACAAACAAAGTAAATAGTTTAATTTACATAGATTATTGTTAGATTAGATTAGTAATAATTCATTTTCATTTCTATAGGAATCAGGATTATTTGCATTGAAAGAGAATAATGCACCAAGCAATCCAATGGGTGCATTGGGTAATGCGTTCAAAGATCAATCCGGTATGACAGATATGTTGAAGGGTAACATTGTCAATGTGGTTCCACAGATCGGTTTGATGACATGGGTCAATCATTTCTTCTCTGGTTTCGTAGCGGTCAAGATTCCATTCTTTCCTCTAACTATTCGTTTCAAGACTTTTCTGCAGCGTGGCATTGAGTTGTCGTCACTCGATGTCTCCTATGTAAGTTCACTCAGTTGGTATTTCCTTTGTTGGTTCGGTCTCGAAGGTATCAACTCACTGCTACTACAAGAGAGACCGATCCTCAACGAACAACTCTTACAATCTACTGTCGAACAAGGTTTACCACCACAACAGACACCAGTACATCAACTCTATACATCGGAGCGTGAGAACATCGAACTCATTCAACATGAATCACTTATGGATAACGTAGAGCAACGTTATCTCTATAAACTACAGAATAAATCGATGCCAACAAAACCAACACCAACAACATCATCTTCATCTTCATCATCAAGTCAGTCATCACAGTTGAAGAAAAGAAAGTAATAAAACACATAAGATATAAAATATATATATATATAATTTTTTAAAAATTTTTAAAGTCGATCAACAATCGGTTTATTAATAGATAATTTTTACTGAATTAATTATACTAAAATATTTTGCTATGAGAACTAACACAGTGGTATTTGGCTCCGGATAGTCGATAATGGCTTTAGTCTTTTCAAACATGTCAATTCGCTCTAGAACCATCTTGATTAACTCGATATCCAAGAAAATCGACGTGTTCTTGGAATAACAAGCATTTTCATTTGAGGGATTGAAATGATTACCACAGTTGCGTATGAATTGATTACAACCTGGTAGACGTTGTTTGAAATCAATGAAGGCCACAAGCTAATAGAATAGCTTGTGGCCTGTGCTAATTCTCAAATAGTAACAGTTATTTTAGTAAATTTTGATTACAATAGTCTCATCTATTCTTTATACTATTGTATCTTTTGATTATATATTTTAAAAAGATAAAAAATAAAAATAATTCCAAACGATTTCCAAGGAAAAAAAAGTGAATGCCACCAATTATCTCTTATTCATTAAAAATGTCATCGAAAAGATATAAAACAAATAACGATCAACATGTTTTAGAATTTTTAAAAGTATTAATATCAAAAGAGTAATCATTTTGAGTTTAAATAACTTATTTATCTTTTATTTTCTTTTTTTTTGTTAGGATAATATAGTTAGTATTGTGTTGATACACATTTCATTTGGTTGTGCAACATGTTTAGTAAAGTTAGTTTTTAATATAGTTTCATGGCCATCTTTGTGGCAGTGTCTATTAGGAACACTATTCTACTCTTCATTATTACTACTGCTTGGTATTATTTTTAGACCCACTGGATTAAAACCGATCATGTTTGTGTGGGTAACGAAATCGATATTACCTTTTTCATTAGGTTATTTTATAGCTGCAATAGTTGAAGAGCTTTTATTTACAAACCAAATTCTATTTATATCAATCATTACAATAACATTCTTTTTATCAGCTTTTGTTAAATTAAAATTTAAAAAATAAATAAAACACAAAATAAAATGTTTAAATGTTATAAATAATTAGAATGATTGATAAATTTATTTGAATCAATTTTATTTGGATTAGATTTGATCTCCTACGACAACGTCATCCAAAAGGTAAGATGTTCCAGCGATATTTGGACCGGTGAGCTTGAGAAGAACGTAGGCAGTGGTAGCTGGTGCTGTAAGAGTCGACGATACTTGAGTCCAGGTGGTGGTTACTGGTGTCAAGGTGATGGTTTGAGTGTCGAGCAATGCTGAAGCGCTGGTGAACCATTGGACGGTGACAGTGACAGTGACAGCAGAGGTACCGGTGTTTTGGACAAGTCTTGACCAGAAGCTGACAACCTTGGGTCCTGGGGTGGTGGCGAAACCTGGGTAGTTGGAAAGGATGACACCGTATCCCCATGAATTGGTAACATTGATTTGGATACTGTGGGATCCGCTCTTGGCAATGTTGGATTGGAGAACATCTGCAGAGTACCAGGTAGACCATTTACCGACGGATCCTTCACCGGTGGATGTGTCGGCATCGAGGTAGTTGGCGACTGGACCAGTTGGAGTTGGGGTGGAGGTTGGTGTTGGAGTACTGGTTGGAGTTGATGTTGGCAATGGTGTTCCAATTGGCGAGGAGTAGGTACTTCCGACATCTTGGTTGTATGGTGCAGCACGCCAGGTGGCATAGTTGATGTTGTTGTCCATCGATTTGGTTAGGAAGTTCCATGGACCATTGTAGGTGTTGTTGACAAAGACATTGTTTTGGTTAAAGGTGATGGCTTGTTGAATGACAGTTCCCTTGTATGGTGAGTTGGCTGGCCATGATCCCCAGTTGGAGAAGATGGTGTTACGACCACAATAGTAAAGATCGGTACATCCGATTTGGGAGGCATTGAAAGAGAATTCGTTGAGATGAACTTTGATGTTTTGAGTCTTGTAACGCTCTCCCCAGGTACGATTGAACCATGGACATCCATTGGTAGTATCAAAGGTTTCGTTTGGACGACAGAAACGGTCGGCATTTTCCCATAGAACTACACCATCCCAATTGTTATCAAAGAGATTTCCAACGATTTCACTTTGTGCTGGACCTGGAGCACGTGAGTCACCACCAGATTCAGAGATATAGATGGCACCCTCTAATAAAAAAATGGTTGGTTAGATGGTCAGTTGTGTAATGTGGTTATTTGAAATTTGAATTAATAAATACCTGGGAATGCGTTACCACTGGCTTGACGAGCAAGACCGTTGACGATGGAATTACGTCTAAAGGTGTTATTTCTGATGATGAAATTGAAGCTGACTTCATAGAAAATACCCATACCTTGGTTGTTCTCGATCAAATTATTCTCAAAGGTAAAGTTTGCGTTGTTGTGATCAGCCCAAAGACCTGGACCAAGATTGTCATGGACCCAATTGTTACGGACGACGGCACCCTTGGAATCCCAGAACTTACCACCACCAGTGCAACCACAACCTTTACGACGAGTCTCCCAGTCATCTTGATTGTTTCCAACGACTTCATTGTTTTCGAGGACGACATTGTGAATTCCATTGACATCGTAAGAGCTGAAACCATATTGACCGTTGTAAGCAAGACAGTTGAATCTGGTAACGGATTGCGAACCCATGAAAACACCAGCACCATCGTTGTGATGAATGTAGTTGTATTCGACAGTCCAGTATTCACCGGAATCATGATTGACGGTACCCTCATCGTTGTTGGTGGCACCCAAACCAAAGTTTCTGATCTCAAGATATCTTACGGTGACATGGTGCGATGGTTGAGTGAAGGCATACAAATTGGTGTTGTTACCATCGAGAATGGCACCTGGGGCACCGATGTAGGTGGAGTAGTTACCTGGAATAATGTTGGCATAGATGTGTTGAGTGAAGTAATGGACACCTGGGGCGAACCAATAGACAGCATTGTTGGTGGTAAAGTAGAAGCCAGAGTTGCTTCCAGCTGGAACTACGATGGCTCCTGGTGGTGGAGTAGCTGGACCTTGATTCCAAATGTTGCTAGCACAGATTGGAGCTGGCGAAGTGGTTGGATACGCTTGGACACCAAGCGAAGCAACCAAAGCTAAAAGAAATAGAATTGGTTTATACATATTATTACTGTATTTATTAATTGTTTACAAATATGAATATGATAAAATGAAACGAATTCGTTCATTTATAAAGAGACCGTATAGGTAACTAAAAAAGATATTTACTGGAATTCTAATAACTCTGTTGTGTTCCAAACCAATCAATTCGATTGGAGGATTCACGATACGCCACCACATTTACAAGAATTACATTGTTGATGCACTGGTCAAAGATTACTTTCCACAACAGAGGATAACTAACTAAAACCTAACCCGATGGTTCAATATCAGACTTTCTGACTCTCTGTACGATATTACTTACGCCTTGCACCTCCACATATATGAATGTAGTATACCCAAGAATTGCTCGATCGGGAAAAACTACAATCATCAATCGAACCGTGTGTCTTTCCTTAAGGACCTTTTTTGCAGGTAATACAACCCACCAAATCTTTATGATTTAATAGACATTAATGAACCACTGTGGTTATATCATGTTTTTAATGACTGTAAAAAAATTGTTGTTTATTTTTTTCAGGATTTTTTGGCGGTCGAAACCATTTGATAACCCATCAAGATAAAATTAATCAGCTGATTAAAAAAAAAAAAATATTGGAACCTCACAACTTTTTAAAGTTTTAAAAAAAAAAGACAAAAAATCAATTCAACACATAACTCTATTCTATTTTTAAAGTGTCAATGAGAATGATTTGAATAGAGATTGCTTCGAATTCCTTCAAAACAACTAATCTACTTTATCATCTGTAGCCCAACAAAAAAACCGAGAACTTTAGAATCACTTTTGAGACTTTACACATCTATTCATCTTTTGTGGAGAATAAATAAAAGTTGGGATTAATTATGGGGGGTATATCTTATTCTATTTACTTTTTTTTTTTGTTTTTTTTTGTACCAGTTTTTCAATAGTTTGTTTATGATAATAAAAACTAAAACCCATTTTACACAAAATTTTTTAGAAACTAAAAAACAAACAAAAAACTGAAAAAAGATTGTAATATTAATTAATCAAGTTCTAATTAATCATGATAATTTTATTTATTTTTTAAAGATAATGATTTTATATATGTTTTTAATTTTGATTGTTTTTCCTCGGTTGTTGTGGTGGTATCAGAATATAAATGATCGACGAAATTATTCCACTGTGCCAACATCTGTACGTTATTTGGTATTTGATATCTATCGTTGTAGAATTTCAGTCGGTCATTTATATTGTTGGTGTCAACCAAATGTATTTGCTGAAGGATTAGAGCAACTTGCGTCATCATATTGACGTTCATCAAGTAATCGGTGAGTTGACTGTGGTGACCTTCCAATGCATAGTACTTTGCAACGAGGATATGTGTCGAATCGTTCGGACTGAGATAGAGGCTCGGCAGTAGTCGATAGATGTGGTTGAACACTGCTAGATCGTTGGCAAGCGCAACATGCTTCAGGCAACAGTTGAGAATCTCGATGTTGAAGTACTTCAACGCCAACAGCCGATCTACCAACGCAGTGAAGCGGGACACATCCAGAACGAGTAGTTCCACCAACTTTTGATAGTGACGCAACAGAGCACGCTCTTCAAAACGTTGTTCATAAACATTAATCAATGTTTCTAGAAGATTGCTGTTGTTTGTCTGTGCATAATATTCTAGCAGTGACGTCAGCTCCTTTCTACGGAATGAAGAGAACCGTGGCAACACCTGTTCACATTCCAATATTCCATCTAAATATGCAACCAGTTTATCTTTATCTTTTGAATCTACAATGACATCGTCATTCCTTCGGTCATCTATGAGAATCCTAATGATATGTCTATATGTGATATCATTTGGTTTCAAACTACCATTGATATTTGATTCGAATATATACAGTGCATCGCTATAGTCTTTACGTTTGATAGATGATAATAGCAATTGATTAAAATGTGCCAGTTGAATATTGGTATCTTCTATTATTGTTGTTGTTGTTGATGATAATAATGTATGTGTTGTTGTTGTTGTTGTTGAAAATGTAGTAGTTGGTAGTACAATATTGATTCTATGTATCATATCACTATCTAGATTAGACTCTTTTATCAAACTATTCAAAATATGGGTATCACCTGTTGCGTGTAAGCCCACTGCAAGAATACGTATATACACAGAATGGAATTTCACATCGATATTTGACCTTATTCTATACCAGAGTTGTAATGCTTTGTCCAAACCACCACCACCATTTTCCAACTCCATATAGTAACTCATTAAGACTTCCATTACTTTAGTATCAAAACATTTAATATCTATCAAACAATTTACAATAGATTCAACAGTTTTAATATCCAACTTTCTAATATTCTTTAATTTACGCAAGTAACTATAAGCAAATATAAAGAAGTGTTAATTATTTTGATGATATGTATGTATGGAAGAGGTATGTTATAAACGATAGATACTCTGTATTGAATGTTAAACCTTTTTCTGAATGTCTTTTCAATTCATAGAGATAGATGAATGCCATTTGATCAGGTGTAACATCTCTTTGTAAACCTTTCTCTGTTTCTAATAGAATGTGTCGTCTTCTATAAAGTGCAGAATCATTTATATCTGGATATTCTCTTTTATCATTATTCTTACTGAAATCTGCATCATCATCAGCAGCTATTCTTATAATATAAGGATGAAAAGGATATTTTCTTTGATCATTCCCTTTATTTTTATTTTTATTTACATTTCTATTACTACTACTATCTATATTGTTATTATTATTGTTGTTGTTTATTTTTAATAATGAATCAACGCTATTTAAAATATTATTATTAATAGTATAACCATTGAGTGTACAGAAACTATTATGATGATTTAATAAATTATTATGATAATTTAATGATTTACTACTACTGCCATTGTTAATAAACAAAAAAGATGAAGACAATTTATATTTTAAACCATTCTTTATACAATCCTTTCCAAATAGCAATATCATTTTGTATTTATATCGGAAAGGTGAGGTGTTACTTTCTTTGAATAGTCAAAACATAAAGTGACTTTAAACGATCAGTCTGATCAAAAATTATTTTTTTTAAAATACAAAAAAACGAATAATTTTGATATAATATTAAAAAATGTTTTATTTATTTTTAATTATTTAAAACCATGGTTTCTTACATGAATAAATACCTATTAAATATTATGATTATTAGTTAGTTATGTTAAAAAAAAATTATATATATATTTTTTGAAATAATTTTAAATAGCTTACCAGGTCCACCGTTGTTCTCGGTCATACATTGATTCTCAGAGTATGGAATGACAGTACAATTGTTTGGTTGCTCATATTCGCATTGGGAGATCACTGGTTTATTATCGATACATTGGTAGAGTTTATCGTAGATTTGATAGTTGTTGGTGTAGAACAAATCAAACGATTTACCTTTGCATTTGTCGGCGGTTTCATACTCGTAGTAGAAGCTGAAACGAACTGCATTCTCGGGGTAGTGCTCACCGACTGTGATCGAACCGACTGTGTACTCATTGAATGCATTGATCAACAAACACTGATTGATATCGTAGTCGTAACTATCGTAGATTTGCGAAGCACTGCATTTGCTATCGGTGTAGTAACTGATGTTGACTGCTTTGTAACCGCTGGACTCGATAAAGTCGATATAGACATAGTACATTGGCTGGAAGTGGAAACACTCGCGAACTGGAACAACATAACCTAATCCTTCGATAGTGCTACAATCGGTCATTGGTGTGATTGTAATTTTATCTTTGAAGATCGATTCTGTGTGTTTGTTGGAATTGGTTGCATTAGCAACAACCAAAACCAATACTAAAACTAAACAAATTGTGTATAATTTCAACATTCTCTATATTAAACTAAAAATGATTTGACGAAAATTCAAACAGATCAATGATCTCTTTTATATCAATTCTCCAGCACCGTAACCGTAAAAAACTGAAATATCTTTAAGAATCTAATCAGATATTATTTTAGTTTTTGCAACGACCATTCTTGATTCCATCTTGAAAAAAAAGGATACCATGCAAACATGTTGAAATAATTCAAAGTTGTAAATTTGTTGGTAATAAATTTCATTGTTGTTCAGATCAGAATAAACAACAACTGTAGATTTCAATTGATATATCTTGATACTTTTACCCTAAAATACCAAGAATAATCATTTATTAATAGGTTAGAAGTACAACAATAATAAAAATATTTATTTTTTTTCTTTTTATAATTTGGGATTCTAAAGCGTTTTAAATCATTATTGATTAGAGCTTCTTCAATATTCAAGTGAATGTATTATTATAAATTCTTGGAAATTACAGAATCCACTCTACAAATTTAGAGTTTATAGTTTAATTACATTGTGCACACTCGCTCTAGAATTTTAATATTTAATCTTTAGGTCCTAAAGTTCTCTTCTTATATTATCTATTGAAGTCATTGTTATAAAAGAAGTAAAGAAAAATGTGAATTATTTAATATTGATATTTGTAATTATTTACTGGTGAATGTAAAAATTTGTTGTACAAATAACTTTTTTGTAGATCGTCTTAAAATGGTTCAGGCGATAGATTTCAAAAAATGTCGACATTGACAAGTTAAATGATGATATAACTTGTTTTTTTTTATTTATTTTTTTATTTAGATTCTTTTAATGTTTGATTTGATTAGATTGATGAACAACAACTGTAACCCAAGGTTCATTATGAAAAAAAAAAAAAAACCTTTCGGCATTTGAATGGTCATTGCGCACCAACTTTTTTTTTTTTGGTGGAGCTGTGATTTTTTTTGAATACACGTAATAATGAAATTTAAAATAAAATTAACTAAACTTATTTGAATCTAAAAAATCTATAAATAAACTATCAATTTAGTCAATTTAACACCAAAAATCTAATCTTTTTTTTAATTAATATATACAATTTAAATAACAATGTCAGAAGTAGACAATAGCAATAGTAATAAAAACATAAACACATCGGTATCATTTATTGATAAAGTTAAAAAGATATTCTCGATTGATAACCTAAAGAAATGGCAAGCTGCAAGTGGAGTTGTCATTTCAACATTCTCACAACTTCATATTGTAATGGTGCTAGGTAGCCATCTAGGTGAATTGTGTTTCACTGGTCTGCGTGACCTATTCAGACAGTTCTATCAAAACAAGTTTATAGAACCAATCATAATTGGTGCCATCGGTACTCATATCGTTGTGAATGGAATTCTCTTTTACAAACGTGATCCATCGGTTCCAGTGATTGAGATGATGGATGTAGATCCAAGTGGAGAGAAGAAGAGCTGGCTCTCCAAGTTTGTCAACCGTGTTCCAACACCCTACGGATTGTTCCAAGCATCGGGATTGATTCTCTCTGTCTTCATTGGTGGTCACGTCTTTGCCACCAGAGGATACGTATTGCTCGACAAGCAATTTAGCTCTGGTTTCAAATCTGTGCATTACACCTTGATTAATTTCCCATATTATTTCTACCCATATTACGGTTCATTCTTCCACGCTCTAATGTATCATACTGCATTCTCCTACAACCGTATCTACAATCGTTACATCAAGAGAAGTCACGACTACAAGGTAAATGAAGTAAAGAGCAAATCCTACTGGTATGGTGTATATGGAGTCACAGGTATAGTTGCTCTCTCTGCCATCTTGGCATTGGGTGGAAACTATTTCCCAGTCTCCAAAATCGGTATTCCACCACCTCTAACCATCTCACAATATCTATCGAAATTTGGTGAATACAACAGAAATTAATTATCAAATAAATAAGGCAACAAACATCAATTGATTAATTATAACTTTTCTTTTTTTTTGAAATAAATTTAAAATTCTTTTTGGATTTATTTAACTTTTTTATATCTTTTTTTTATAGCATCATAATTTTTGGAGCTCTTCAATGGATTTAGAACTCGTTTAAACTAGATGATCGGCGTACCACTTTTGACAGCAAGTGAAACAGTCATAGTCTGAGTTGAACTCAATTTTATCGGCAAATGCAACACATTCTGATTTGACCGGATCAATCTTGTATTTGTTGCTACACCAACCATGGACTACACCTTGTACACATGCTCTGTGACATTCGGTAAGCAACTCTCTGCTAGCATGTACCATTGATAAGCCCAACAACACCACCAAAATGGTTATGATTATTTTGATATTCATATTTATTATTCTAAAGAAAAAGATTTTAGAAAAAAAAATAGAAACTATTATTAGTTTTTTTAGAATTTAACAAATTGTTTATATTTATTTCTAATACTTACTCTTTTTTTTTGTTTTTATATTAATGTGAACCAAGATCTGTGACTAATGATAAGAAAAGAAAGAGAGGATGACTCTTAAATAGGTTTTTTACTTCAGTTGCATATGATATAGCATTAACTTCTGTAGAACCATCATTTTTCATTCTGTAATTTCATACTGCGATAAAATGAACATTCATTGTAACACTATAACATCATACTCCCCAATACCTATCAACAAATCAACAACTGACCTTTTATACTCATGTGTATAAAAGTTGTTAACATCATTACTAATTTATTGTTTTCTATTTAAAAACCAACCACAAACAATGAAATATTATTACATCGAAGCACAAACAACAATAATAAAGTAAACTTACAATCCACTTTTTCATTTACCTAGTCGCATATGATGAATGATTGATAAATGGTGTTGAAAATGTGTGAAAAGAGTTATTTTTTTTTTTTTTTCAGTGTGTTTTATAATTATTGTATTTGGTCCTTAATTATATTTAACCGATACACTACATATAATAATATAATATGATCCAAATTATTAGTAAAGAGCAATGTATTTTTATATTTTCATTTTGGTTGTTTGTGTGTTTTAGTGAAAACAAAAACAAGTTTTTAACAACAGTGGTACTATCATTGAATGTAGTTGATTTGGTGTTATGGTCATTTAGATAATCTCTTTTTTTTTGTTTATCATTTAGTGGACCAAAATAGCAGATTGACTGTAGTAATATAATTATAAATTAATTTACTTTTTTTTTTTTTTTTTTTTTTGTCAATTGATGTAAAGATTAATTCAAACATTAATAAATAACCATGTGAAATTACAATAATTCTATGATGAAATGTTATGATTTAGCTTAGGAGACACAATGTGTTTATTTAAATGGTACAGAACACATATATGATTTATTTTTTTATTTTTAATTGAATCGTTCGTTTTTTTACATGAAAAATATTTTTTTTAATTTTTTTTATTTATTATTTTAATATAATATAAATTATATTTGTAAAATGAGTTATAAAGGAAGATATAATAATAAAAGATATCAAGATGTTGACGACGACGATGATTACTATGAACAAGAAGAAATAGAAGAAGAGGAAAATGAAGAAGAGGAGTATGATCAATACGAAGATGAAGATGAAAATACAGAAGAACTGATAAAGAAAGAATTGGAAGCAGTACCTTTTGGAATGTTGATCGATATGAAACAAAAACAGTCAGAGAAAGCACAACAACAATTGAATCTCCAAAAACAAAAAGAAGCACAAGAGAGACGACAACAAGAAAGAGAACTCTACAACAAGAGTAAGAATCAACCTATACCAAAAGCACTAAAACTTTCAAGTAGATTCGGTAAAAGAGAAGATAAAGATGCGTATGTATTTATACTTGAATAATGTTAGTACCTTTATTAACTTACTATTCGATTATATATATATTTTAGACCATTAGAAACCACAGCTAAAGTACCAGTATCAAGATATAAGCAGGTGGTCAATGTAAAGAAGATGGTAGCTCGTGATCCAAGATTTGATAGTCTAGCTGGTAAATTTGATGAAAAGTTGTATCGTGAGAAGTACGGATTCCTCGACGACATTGTGAAAAAAGATATCAATAAACTGTCGGAACGTCTCAAAGAGACAACAGATTTTGACCTCCAAGCAAGAATAACACGTGAAATTCAATCGAAACGTTCAAAGCTGGCAACTCAAGACCTACAAGACAAACGTCGTAAACTAAAGGAGGAATGGCAGAAACAAGAAGTTGAAAATGTTAGACAAGGAAAGAAACCATTCTATTTGAAACAATGTAAATATCGATTTATATATATATTAAACTTATTGGTTCAAAGGTTCTATGTTAACTAACTCATTCATTTCAACTATGATAATAATAATAATTCTATAGCTGCACTGAAAGATCTTGAAATCAAAGATAAATTTAAACAACTTAAAGAAAAGAAACAATTGGATAAATACATGGAGAAGAGACGTAAGAAGGTATCAAGCAAATCTAAACTTAATTTACCTAGAACAAGAAGATCTGCTCCCGAAGAATATTAAAATAGATATACATTTACTTTATACCAAATGTTTTTTTTTTTCACAATTATTATTTCTTTTTATTTTTTTTTTTCAATTCCATCCTGGTGGATCTTTTATGTAAAATCCTGATCTTAAAAAATAGGAGTATACGTTTGATTGCAAAACAACATTAAACAAGGTCCTGGGGGTGTTTAAATTTTTCAACTTTTCGACTGAATTTTTTATTTTTCTATTTTTTTTTTTTTTTAATATATGAATTTAAACGAGGATATCGAGAAAGAGAGCCAAGTGTTAATTCTTTTAGTTTTACTAAATTAGGGGTAATATATCAAAAATTTTGAATTGAACAAGTTGTAGAAAAAAAAAGTTAAAAACCATTAAAAATAATAATCAAAAAGTAAAATCAACAGATAAGATATCAAAAAAGTAATTGAAATATAGATATTATCCAAATTAGAAATCAGTTTTTGACATTAGACAATAGATTATTAAATAAATAAATAATAAATAATAATTGAAAATCTTATTGCTGCGCTGCAAATAACCGCAATAACAAATTAGAGTTTTGTTTTATTTTATTTTTAAGCATCGGTCAATCAGACAGATAAATAATTTAACCAAAAATTAATTACTGTAACAAAACGACAATTTTTATAAATAAGCAAGCAGCAAACAAATAAACAAACAACAACCAATCATGAACGATAAGAATTCTTCTTTTGCAACAAATAATCAATAATGTGTTACAGATTTACTCACAACTCACATAAATATATACAACAAGCACATAACTTTCACCCACATCATATCTCGAAACAAACAACTGTGTTGGTTGCAAATATAAACCAATAAAACAAAAAAAAAAACAACAAAAATAACAAAACCAATACCAAATAAATATATATATATATATTGATATGTGTAAACTATACTGCAATAATAATCATTCATTTTCATTTAATATTCTTTTTGTAAGTTGTGTTCACCTATTTACCTCTTTTGCATTTTCTGCCAACCTGGTTATTAGTTATTTTTTTATTAATAATAAAAAAATGATTTATATAAAATTTGTTTAATAAAAATTAAATTTTCAATTTTATTCAAAACAATTAATAATTAGAAAAGCATTAAATATTAATATATTTTATCTTTTTGAAAATATTATTATAGAGCAGATATTGATATTATTTATATATATATAGAAGTAAAATAATATATCAAAAATGAGTAGAGAATTAAGAACAAAAAATATTGAAAGTCCTGCAGATGGTTTTAGATACATCGAGCATGTTTTACAATCACAAGATACACTTCAAGGTTTAGCTTTGAAATACAGTTCCACAGTAAGTGTTGTTGTTGACATGACATTTTAAATGCTTTATAAAACTTGCAGACCTTGCACAAACAAACACTAACCACCAATCTCTTTTTCGATTTTTTTTTTTGTTTTTTGCAAATTATTTTTTAGGTTGGGGATATAAAAAGAGTGAACAAGATTTGGAAAGATGATACACTGTTTTTAAAGAAGAGTTTATTCATTCCCATTAAAATAGATGAAGACAGCGAAGAGGGATCATCATCTTCCTCTTCATTATCTTCATCGGGAATTAGTGATATTGGTAGTAGCAGTAGTAATAGTAATAATAGTATTGGATATGTAGAGGCAAGTGACTTTGATGAATATAAACAGAAGAGAGACATGATCAAAGCAAAGAATGTCGATTTCTTCTCAGAGTTTAATAGCAAGAGTAATTACAATCTCAACAACGTATTGAATAATAAGCCACTGCCATCCGGAGATGATGATCACAAATGGAAGTCAGTGCCAATCTCTATTCTCAGTCTTTCACCGGTTGTAAATTCACTCGATCAGAAAACTCAACTTAGTTTTTCACTTATCGATGATGAGTTGAACCCACTTTGAAAAAAAAAAAACTATATACTTAACATATAATATAATAATATAATAATAATAATAATATAATAAGTGCGTGTAAATATATGTAATCAACTAGATAGTAAATATTAATATTAACAACAAAGTAGTTAATTATAAACAAAAAAAACAACAACAAACCCTTCACATTATTAGTAGAATGGTTATGCAACTTTATAATCAATCATCTAATATTACTCCGGAGAGATAAAAGTATAAGGTTCCAATCAACCATTGTATCTGTCTCTCATCCCACCACCTTTTTTCAATTTAATATAATATAGTTAAAAAAAGACTTATCTATCTAGATAACAATATTAATAAAAAATATTTAATTTTTTTTTTAATAATTTAATCTTAACTATTTGTGATCAGATCAACATTATATTTTTTTTTTTAAACTCATTTTTATTTATAGATTTTTACAATGGAACTGTCAGAGTTTAAATGTTGTTTAATTGGTGATGATAAGGTTGGTAAAACTAGTTTATTGAAATCATATTCAGAAGATCAATTCACAAGTGAAAATATACCTGTAAGTTGACTAGTTATTTTGATAGATAATGCACCTACTGTTTTTTTTTTAATTATTATTTTAATTATTAGGTGATAGTAGATAACTATTATAAACATCTAGTTGTAGATGGTAATGAAATCAAGTTAGGTGTATGGGATACAGCTTGTACTGCAGAATATGATCTACTTAGACCATTATCATATAGTGGCGCCAATGTATTTCTTCTTTGTTTTTCAGTTATTTCTGTTGAATCTTTACAAAATATAAGTAATAAGGTAATTATTAAGAGTTTATCGTTGTTATTGATTACTGATAAACATTTAATATTAATTACTAAATATTATTACTATAAAATAGTGGATACCGGAAGTCAACAAACATCAACCTAGCGTACCATTTATTTTGGTAGGAACTAAAATAGATTTACGAAATGAGTTTGAAAGAAATGATAAGCAAGTGATCACACATGACCAAGGAACAAGAATAGCTCAAGAACTCGGTGCAATTAACTATCTCGAGTGTTCGGCATTAACACTCGAAGGTTTGGTCTCAGTTTTCGAAGAGTCTATTCAGAGCACTGGCAGATTGCTACTAAACAAAAATACTACCCACAACACCAAAGACAACAAAAAATCAGATCAAATCGTTTGTCAAATTATGTAAATCACTATGTATAAATAATAATATTAAGATCACTATAACCTTACCACAATATTATTCTTGTTTAATTCTTGTGCAAAATTGTATAAGCAACTAAAAGTAAATCAAAAATAATTGGGAATGGGTGAACGGTCAAAAAAACAAAAAAAAAATATCTTAAGATAAATCTATTTTAGATATTTTGTTGGAAATTTAAATAAATAGGTACGTTTACTTTTTTTTTAGTTATCAGTCGTTTGTAATTAAAAATTGTAATAGTAATAACAATGAATAATGCAAAAGAATATAAAATTATAATTGTAGGAGATGATGATACTGGAAAAACCAGTTTCGTTTTAACTTTTGCAAGAAATAAATTCCCAACAACAGAAAAAGTTCCTGTAAGGATCATTTATTTATTTTTGTTTATTTGTTTATTTATTAACTGTTTGGAAATAGAAAGTATTTGATGGTTATCATAGAGAGATTACATTTGAAAAGCGACTAAGAGCTTTGAAAATATGGGATACCAGTGCTGAAGGAGAGAATGCTGACACTACCCCAAGGCCAAGATTATACAGATTCTGCAAAGTGTTCTTGGTTTGCTTTAATATTGGATCTTTAGCTTCATTTGAGAATGCTGAGAAAAGAGTAATTAGTTTTAGATTTCACTGTTTATATTTCTTGGTTGTGTTTTATTAAATTTTTTATTCTTTTTCTTATAGTGGGTACATGAAGTAAATCATTATAGACCAACTATACCTGTATCTTAGTTGGTCTAAGAAGTGATTTGAGAAACGATCCAAATCAAAAAGAACTGGTATCAGAGGAACAGGCTCGAGCCATGGCTGCCAAAGTTGGTGCTATCCATTATGTCGAATGCTCAGCACTCCTCAACCAGAATGTAAATATTATAGAAGATGCCATAAGAATAACCAAGATGGCAAATAGAAAAGTAAAGAAGCAAGAAAAAAGAGAAAAATCAAAATGTATTATTTCGTAAAAAAAATTATTACTTTTATTTTATTTATTGTCTAATATAAAAAAAAAAAAAAAATTTTAATATCTTCACTATCAAATGGTACAATGGTTTTATAAATAATGGTTTTATTAGTATTCATAAATCTAGTAATAAATTATATCAACCAAGATATTTTTTTGTATATTGCAGAATTTCAGGGGTTTTTTAAATTGCAGGTATTGATATTAACCTGTCCGTACTTTTTTTTTTTGAAGTGGGAAATTTTAAACTAAATTGAAATTTGATTTGTTTTTTTTTTTTTGCAATCAGTATTTTCATTATACATATATATAAATAAGAACAATGTCAAAACCATTGGTTGAGTGTGTACCAAATTTCTCAGAGGGTAGAGACCCAAAGATTATTGAGGCAATCACAAATGCCATCAAAGAAACACCGGGATGTACTTTGTTGGATGTCGACCCAGGTAAATCAACAAATAGAACTGTTGTAACCTTTGTTGGTGATACTACAGCTATTGTAAACGGTGCTTTCAATGCTACAAAGGTTGCATTCCTATTGATCGATATGACCAAACATCAAGGTGCTCATCCACGTATGGGTGCATTGGGTAAGTAAAGTGTTTTGTTTGTAGATCAAACTGTTCTACAAATTCGATCAAAAAAAAAAAAAGTAGTCATACTGATTTAGACTATTATTATTATTATAGATGTTTGTCCATTTGTACCAGTTCGTGATGTTACCATGGAAGATTGTATCGAGTGTGCCAAACAATTTGGAAAGCGTTGTGCTGACGAGTTGGGATTACCAATTTTCTTGTATGAAGAAGCATCGAATCGTGATTACAGAAAGCAATTGAAACAAATCAGAAACGGTGAATACGAAGGTCTCGAGGAGAAATTGAAGGATCCAAAGTGGGCACCAGATTTCGGACCTGCAAAATTCATCCCAAGCTACGGTGCATCGGTTACTGGTGCTCGTAACTTTTTGATTGCTTACAATGTCAATGTTCTTGGTACAAAGGAACAGGCACATCGTATTGCATTGAATGTCCGTGAAGCAGGTCGTTCCGAGAAGGAGCCAGGTCGTTTAAAGATGGTCAAGGGTATTGGATGGTATGTCGATGAATACAACATGGCACAAGTCTCAATGAATCTCGATAACTACAAGGTGACCGCCGTTCACACCGTCTTTGAAGAGTGTTCAAAGGATGCCCGTGAGCTGAACCTCGCCGTTACCGGTTCGGAAATCGTTGGACTCGTTCCATTGGATGCTATCTTGATGGCCGCTGACTATTATATTAAACAGGAGAACTTGTTCATCATCGATGAAGGTCAAAAGGTTAGACTTGCCATCAACCGTCTCGGCTTGAGCGCGTGCAGTCCGTTCGACCCAAAGAAGCGTATCATTGACTACATGGTACAGGAAGACTTAAAGGTAGCTGAACCATTGGCATCAATGACCGTTCGTTCCTTCATTGAGATCGTTGGTGCACGTACTACCGCTCCAGGTGGTGGTAGTGTTGCAGCAAACATTGCTGCTCTTGGATCTGCTCTTGGTGCCATGGCTGGTTGGATGACCTACGGTAAAAAGAAGTTTGAAGATCTCGACTCCACCATGAGAGAATTAATTCCACCATTAGATAAGTAAGTAGATCTTAATAATATATAGTTTACAAAATATACAAACGTTTGTTAATATTTCACTTCAAATGCTATTATTAAAAAGGGCAATGAAAGATTTGATTCCAATGATTGATGCAGATACTAAAGGATTCAATGAATATGTTGAATCGATGTCTGTCAAGGGACCACAAAGAGATCAAGCCGTGTTGAATGCACTCAAGAAGGTTGTCAATATTCCATTGAATACAATGAGAATCTCCAATAGCATTTGGCCAACAATGTTAAAGATGGCAGAGTGTTGTAATATCAACTCCAAGTCTGATTTCGATATCGGTGTCAAGGCATTGGAGCTAGGAGTCTGGGGTGCATTGCAAAATGTAAATATCAATCTCGTCGATATGAAAGATGAAAAGTTCAAGGCTGAAGTGCAAGCCGAGTGCAAAGTCATCTGGGAGAACACTGTAAAGTGCTCAGAGAAAGCCCTTGCTATTACCAATAGTAGATCATCATAAACGAAACACATAGATCATTAGCGTCGTCATCTCAATACAATATTTACATTGATTTTGATTATTATCATTAAACATAATAAATATAGATATCATTTTTTATTTAATAAAAAACTTAATATATCACTTAGAGACAGTATACCCTCTACTTTCTTAGCGGAATCAACACAAACCAATCTGTGAACTCTCTTTTTAATACACTTTTCAATTACATCACCGAGTTTATCATTCTTGGTACAAGTATATGTTTGCTCTGCTCTTTGCCATAGCTATTAATAATGAATTCAAGTTAGTTAAATGATAATTTAGATGCTCTAAGATAATGCTATGTCGACAAAACCAACTTACTTTTGTAAAAGTTGTTAAAACTTGATGAACCGGTTTATCTAAATCTGATGGTGATAAATTACCTTGTTTTGCCATCAACTAAAAGTAGTAGATTGAAATAATTAATAAAAAAAAAAAAAAAAAAAAGATATACTACTATAATAATTAAAATATACATACAGTAACATCACTCTTTGAATAAACATCAATTACTTTTCCATTCTCATCAATGATTGGAACAGCAGAGATCTTCTTTTCAGCCAACAATTCTAAAACCTTAATTAATGGAGTATGTGTATGTACTGTACAAACTTTTTCAAAAGTACCAATACCAAGTGATCCAAGTGTACATGATAATAATGGTGTAGGTAAATCTGGTAACTAAACAAATAAAATAAAAGTTAACAAATTAATATTAATAATAAAGTTGATTGATTGATATAAATGAATTCATTAAAAACATACACTCTTCATCATAAATGCTAAAATTCTTGAGTGTGTTAAAATATGTAATATGGAATTGGTTTCTTTCTTGTCGACAACCGGTAGTCTGTGAATTCGATATTGTAGGAGTAGTGTTGCTGCATCGTACAGGTTAGTCTCTGGTTCTGTGTAGATCAGTGTCTTTGGACGTTCTACGTTGATCTCACGCCAGAATGTTTCGATACGATGAATACCCATGTCTTGAAAAATGTTATCCGACTTTGGCTTGTAATAGTAATACAGCAGAATATCGATGAAATCTGAAACAGTGATCATACCAGTAAAGTCTTGCAGGTCCGGTGACCAGAGTGGTGCCGACTTTATGCCGTTCTCTTCGAGCGCATAGAACGCAGATTTGACAACAAGCTTGGTGTCCAGCACCACTACCTTGCCACTGATCGGTATGACATCGTAGCATGTATGTTTCTTTAGAAACTCTGAGAAGACCAACCTTCCAACATATATATTATGATCATGTGTTGATAGAACACTTGTTAAAATACCAGTAGTATTGATATCAGTTGATGATGACGACGATGATGTTAATTGAGTAGCTGTTGTTACTGTTGTAGATGTTGTAGTTGTACTAGTTGATATGTCATCTCTATTATTATTATTATTATTATTATTATCACCACTACTACTACTATTGGTATTATTATTATTTAAAAGTAAATCATCACTTGATAACTTTAATGGAGTTACTATTGTTGATGCTTTCTTTAGTGGATTGTCATCTGTATCATCTGTATTGTTATTATTATTGTTGTTGCTGTTGTTGTTGCTGTTGTTGCTGTTGTTGTTGTTGTTGTTGCTGTTGTTGTTGTTGTTGTTGGATGATGAAGGTGTGATAGCAGTTGGTTTCTGTAGATTATCATTGGATGAAGTTGATGATATAAAGTTTGGTAGCTTTAGATTGATGCTGGTAGACATCGAAGGTGTAGAGTCGTCCTCAATGACAAACATGGCATCGCTCGATGCAGTCATATGATTCGAAGGTGACTGACTTGGTGATCGAGAATGTGAATCGGAATTCAAAGCTATTGGACCACTACCAATACGTTCTACCGATACTCTCATCTCATCTTCATCATTATTATTCATTTTTCTATTATTATTATTATTAAAATGATTATCTAATTGTTGTTCTTCTTGTTGTTGTTGTTGTTTATTGTTTGCTATTATTAAAGGAGGTGATGGTGTCTTTGTTCCACGTGAAAACTGCATCAATTGTTGTTGATGTGAGTTGTAAAATGCTTTCTTTTTGATTAATGTTGTTTCTTCTTTCTCGATATTATCTAACAATTCAGAGACAGTCTCATCTTCATCAGTATACCACATCGATGATAATAAAATACTTTGATAAAATATTAAAAATAAAAAATAATATTATTTATTAATAATAATTTTCAAATGCACAATGAAACAATCTTATTAAAACTATGGTGTAATATCTAATTTTGGTTTTTTTTATTTTTTTTATTTTTTTTAAAAAAAAATTTTATTTTTATTTTTTTTACGATATTCATATTTCTTTTTTGATTAGAATACTATTTGTATCAGGAAAGATCACAACTAACTTATTCTACTTTATAAAATTATTAAAAGAAAATATATTTAAAAAAAAACATTAAATTAATATATAATTATTTTAGTATTTTTTTAGATATAGATTATTTTCATCATTGAGTAAACCTATAGGTCAGAGTCTTGTTTGGTTTAATCATTTATATATTTATTTAATTCTTTCAAACAATTTTTACAAAAAAAAAAAATGATCTTCAACAAACTTAATTAATTTTTTTTAAATTTTATTTTTTTAATTTTAAAATTTTTTTAATCAAACATTTTCAACTTCACCATTATTAGTTTTTTTTTATTAAACCCACTTTTTTGATCATCATCACCAATCATAAATATATTAACATATTTATATTCTATCTTTTTAATATTATTTACATAGAATAGAGTATAAGTTTGTTTATTTTGTCTATTTTTTTGTTAGTTTATTTAAATTTTTGTAATTAGATATCTTATTTCTTGGATAATTCCTTTATTTTTATATTTTATTTTTTTTTAATCAAAGTAGTATTTTTTTTGTTATAAATATATATATATAGTTATAGTATCGTAGAATATGGGTGTAACATCAGTAGCTAACTATCTCTCATTGTTGGAAGAGGATCAATCTGAACTTCAATCGTTTGCATTGGACAAGTTGAATGCAAGTATCGATGAGTTTTGGCCAGAGGTTGCTTCGTCCATCAATAAAATGTATGTATTTTAAAATTAACAGATACAATAACGATCGGAATTACATCTTAAATTAATAATATAAATATTACTATCAAACAACAATTGTTAATAGTAAAAAGCTATCAGATCAAAAATCATTCTCACAACATGAACTCGCCAGTTTAATCTTATCGAAAGTATATTACCATCTTGGTGATTTTAATAATTCAATGGCTGCCGCTTTGTCATCTGGTTCATTGTTCAACGTATTATTAAAGAGTGAATATGTTGAAACTTTATTATGTAAGTGTTTAACAACAACAACAACAACAACCCTATTTATTGTATTCTAATTATTAATAATATATCAATTTATTATTATTACTATATTATTAATAATATTTTAGATAAATTCATTGATGAATATATTAAAGTAAAGAATGAGAATAAACCAGTAGATCCAAGATTAGAGTCAATCGTAATGGGAATGTTTGATAGATGTTTTAAGTATGTGGTGGATGAATATATTTATATGTTGTTTAAAAGAACAAAGTTATTAATATTTTTGGTTATTTTTTTTCTAATTTTTTTTTTTTTTTTTTTTTTTTAATAGGGAAGGATCCTATAAACAAGCATTGGGTATTGCTATTGAGGCAAGAAGATTGGATATCATTGAAAAGGCAATTGCAGATTCATCGAATGTACAAGGAATGCTCACATACTGTCTTAACATTTGCAATACGATCGTATCGAATCGTGCATTCCGTCAATCAGTGTTGAACATCCTCGTCAAACTCTACCTCACTCTCGAGAAGCCAGATTTTGTCAGCATCACCCAATGTCTTATATTCTTGGATGATGCTCATGAAATTGCTACCATCCTGTTGAATTTAATTAAGAAAGATGATGTAAGTTGTTTATTTCTATTTGACTAACAATCCTTATAGTTATTAACATTTATTTTTAAACTGTTTAAACAGAATTCAGTATTGTTAGCATATCAATTGGCATTTGATTTGTTCCAAAATGGTACACAACAGTTTTTGGCAAATATTAGAAAGTTGTTGCCAGCAGCAGCTGCTGCCGCTACCCAATCCAGTGGTGAGGGTGCAAACAAAGAAGGTACAATCGCAGCTGACAAAATGCAAATCGATGGTGACAATAATAACAATAACAACAAACAACAAGACGACAGTTTCGCTGCAAGATTAGAAAGATTAAGATCGATTCTATCTGGTGAGCAATCGATTTCATTATATTTAGAATTCCTATATAGACATTGTAATACTGATTTACATGTATTACAAATTATGAAGGTAAATTATAAACATATTATTATTTTTAATAATAAAAAATATGTAACTAACTATCAACAAACAATATCTTATTATCATTATAGGCTGTTAGTGAATTACACAAAGGAGCAATCTTTTATACTGGAACATTGTTTGCCAATGCAATTATGCATGCAGGTACCACCAAAGATACCTATTTGAGAGAGAATCTAGAGTGGTTGTCAAAGGCTACTCATTGGACAAAGTTCACTGCCACCGCTAGTTTGGGTGTTATCAATCGTGGTCAGATCAAGGACAGCAAGATTCTATTGAAGTCCTACCTACCGGGACCAACTGTAAATGCCACACCATACTCAGAGTCTGGTGCTTTGTATGCCCTCGGTCTCATCCATGCCGGTCACGGTGAGGACGTCTCTTCCTATCTCTTGGAGAAGCTACATTTGAACAATGTGATCCTTCATCACGGTGCATCGCTTGGTCTCGGTTTGGCCTCGATGGCAACTTGCAACGATGAGATCTATGAAGAGCTCAAGGGTATTCTCTATCACGACGATGCCATCAGTGGTGAAGGTGCCGGTATTGCAATGGGTCTTGTAATGTTGGGTAGCGGTTCTCCAAAGGCTATCGATGAAATGTTGGCATATGCCCACGAGACTCAACACGAAAAGATTATCAGATCACTCGCCATGGGTCTTGCCTTCTTAATGTACGGAAAAGAAGAAGCTGCCGATACTTTAATTGAACAATTAATTACTGATAAAGTAAGTATTATTATTAATAATAATAATAATAATAATAATTAAAATAGGAAATATATATATCTAATTCTTTTTTTTTTTTTTTTTTATTATTTATTTAGGATCCACTTTTAAGATATGGTGGTATGTATTGTATTGCTATGGCCTATTGTGGAACTGGAAATAATGATGCTTTGAGAAAATTGTTACATTATGCCGTTAGTGATGGTAACGACTCGGTAAGAAGAGCTTCAGTTACATGTATTGGTTTTGTTTTGTCAAAGCAACCAGAGAAGTGTCCAAAGACCGTGTTGTTGTTGAGTGAGTCCTACAATCCACACGTTAGATATGGATCTGCTTTGGCTCTCGGTATTGCATGTGCTGGTACTGGAAATCGTGAGGCACTCGATATCTTAAAGTCATTGACCACCGATACTGTTGGTTTGGTCAGACAGGGTGCCTGGATTGCCATTGCCATGATCTTGATCCAATCGACCAAAGAACAATACTCAGAGACCGAAGCATTCCGCAAGCAGATGATCACCTGTATCAGTGATAAGCGTGAGGATGCCATGTCCAAGTACGGTGCCATCCTCGGCCACGGTATTATCGATGCCGGTGGTCGTAATACCACCATCTCACTGTTCTCGCCAAGTGGACAAAAGAATATGCATGCTATCGTTGGTATTGCCGGATTCCTCCAATTCTGGTACTGGTACCCAATGACACACTTCTTTGGTTTGGCATTGACACCAACCGCCATCATCGGTGTCAACAAGAACCTCGAGATGCCAGCTTTCAGCTTCAAATCCAATTGTAAACCATCTTTATTCGCATATCCACCAGACACCAAGCCATCGACCTCCAACCAACCATCCAAGATTGAAACTGCTATTCTCTCGGTTTCTCGTAAGAACAAACTGCAATCGAGTCGTTCGTCCACCAACGTTGCAGCAGAGATCGAAAAGGAAAAGAAAGAGAAGGAGCAAAAGGAGAAGGAAGAGAAGGAACAGAAAGAGAAAGAAGAGAAAGAGGCCAAGGAAAAGGAACCATTGTTTGATAGAAAACAAAATCCAGCAAGAATCACACCAAAGCAATTGCAATACGTTGTTTTCGATGAAACCAGATACACTCCAATCAAGAAGATTCAATCAATAGGTGTAGTCGTTCTAAGAGATAATAACCCAGAAGAACCAGAGCAATTGGTCGTCAAAGAGAAACCCGCTGTAAAATCACCAGTTACCACCTCCAAAGGTCAAAAGGCCGTTTTAGAAGAACCAAAGACACCCCAACCATTCGAATTTACCGATTAAATATTTAAATATCAACCATCACCACCAATCACAATTATAACAAAAAACATTAAAAAAAAAAAATAATAACCTATAAATAACTTAAAATAAAATAGTACTATATATAAACATTTGATTACATTATTTATCAATGATAATTTGATAATCATAAACTATTCAATAGTAGTAGTTTTTAGCTCTAGTTTAATGAAGAAAACAAAGAACCAACATAAATATATGGGTAGATTTAAAGAAGAATAAGAAATTTTTTTTTATTTATTTGAAAATAACAAGACTAGTCTTTGTTATAGATTTTTATCTTTAGATTAATATTTATAATTGAATTCAACTAAATATGATAACTTTTGTTGAGATCTATTATAGATTACGTATTCATCGTGGGTGAATGGTGAATCTGCGTTGGTTGAAGACTTTGGTACACCATGACAAGAGTTGAAACCTTTTGGTGCCTGAGAAATGTGTGGATCGATTTTAGTTTGTATGCTCGATTTACCTAGTGCAACTGATGCAATGAATATTGATCGAGTAGAACTACCGCTGTATGGACAAGTATAGTTTAGTGATCCTTCCAGTGTCTTTGAAAAGTAAATTCCATGACCCAAGAATCCACGGTCTGTTCTCTTTGAGAATCCACGTTTGACTACGACGTCTGGCAATTGCAAGCCACGACTTAGAACACCGAGTAAATTGGATGACTTGGTTGCATGAAATAGGAATTGTTCATTTCCAATGGATTCGAGATCTTGGTAGGCTTTGAACGATTGCTCATCAGCGTCACGTTGCACTCGGTAGATATTGACAACCTGGATTGAATCCTGTTTTGGGGTTAGATGGATCATAGAACGAAGCACCATGTTGTACTCGCTCGAGTCTGCGTGTAGATGGTGAATTGTAGCGTTCAGTGCATTGTAACGCATGTCTGAAACAGAAGACGATACAAAGTCTTGATTGTTTTGGCTACCAACCTTGGAAAGATCGATCATCAACTGTAACATCTCCTCGTGTTCGTCATGACTTTCATAGGTGGTGATGATTGCTTTTGATTTATCGGATGCTTTATTTCCAATCTTGGTTGGAACGATCGAGTAGTAGTTGGAGCATAAATCTTCAAGTCGTTTGTAGTCACTAGAGTCTGGAATGATCTTTCCATTGTTTTGGAAGAGTAGCTCGTTGATTGATTTTAGGATGGCAGCACCCGATTCCAATTGCTTTAGAGTGAGAACACCGAGAGCAGTTGACAAACCTTGTTTGGTGATATGAACAGAGTAGTTACTCTTTGAGAGTGATTTTGATGCCTCTGAGTAGATTCTTTCAACCAAATTGGAGACATCCTTCGAAATGTAGGTTCGCAATGTATTGTTTTCAATGTCTTCATCGAAATGAGTTGCAACACTATTCTTTGTATTACTTAAGGCTAGCTTTCGATCGGAACCAATATTGGATTCTACAACATTGACCAACTGATATCCATTCTCTTCCGATGTCTTTACATTATAGATTGAGGAATATACTCTCATAGCCTCTTCTTTGGTTTCAAAGTATCTATGTTGTTTAGTAGATTGATCTAACTTGTCTGTTCTCTATAGATAAAAAAAAAGGTTAGTTTTGTTTTTTTAAAGTTTCATACTAATATATAAATTAATTCATACACCAAATTGAGTATAGATTCTATATGGTCTGGTAATTGATTGATCTTTATCAAATTGCAACTCCAAGTAGAAGAACTTATTAACATTGTTACGGTTAACCAATGATGTATTCTATTTTGAAAAGAAAAAAAAAACATTATTAATACATAAATGGTTACAAATTGTAACTTTTTCTATTTATTAACATACCTGTAACAGATGACTTGTAAGAATATTGAACTCATTTGTAAAACTTGGTTGTTTATCTTTTTCATTATAGATGTTAATACCTTGAATATGTAATACATCTGGTATGATCTTATAATCATTATTGTAACTCAAATTGGAAGAAGAAGAAGAAGAAGTTAAACATTCATTTTTCTTTTCGCTTATTGAAACTGATAAAGATGTTAAAGATGTTGATTGTTGTTGTTGTACTGAATTCAACTGATATGATGATATATTAATTAACGAATTGGTTTTACAACACTCGATAACAAATGAATCATTCAAAATAGGAATGGAGAGTTGTTGTATTTGCTTTAATTTCGAAGCAACAATTGAATCGACTGAATTTGTCAAAACATAATTAACCTTTGAAGTCAGAGTGAAGCTGGTGTCACCCGATTTCGATTTGATCAAATCTGTTAGCTGATAACTTGGTACACTTGTTTTACCAAGTGTCATAAACACCAAACCTTTAAATAAACTATTATTATTACTATTATTACTATTCATTTTTTTTATTATTAGTTTATTTACTTAGTTTTCTTTTCTTTTTATTGTTATTAATATTGAGATTATTGAAATAATAACAGTTGCTAATAAACATAGTATTAGAAATGTAAGAAAATTACAAACAATAGAGAGAGAGTGATAAAGAAGATAAATCTATCTTCAAACCTCTTATAATTAATTATTAAATACTGATTTACAATACACAAAAGTGTATTGAATAATAGTAACATCCATATCTTGTTAGTTTCTAAAAAAGTAATCACATAATTTTCTCATTTTGTTTTTTTTGTGTTCCAGAGAATCATAAGAAAAATCTTTGTTTTTGGTAAAGGGTGCTGTTATTCGAAAAAAAAATAATATTATCTAATTTTATTTCATTTCATTTCATATGTTTAATAAAATACCTTTCATAATCATTAAAGATTATATATTGTCATTTGAGAATGATCTATCGATTGTAGATAGAATCTGTTTTAGTTTAGTTTGTAAAAGATTATACAATGAAAGGAATAGATATCTTTTGTTCAATCCTGGAGATCTACGAGTGAGAGATCTAAACAAAAAGAGAACTTGTTTAAAATCATATAAATCAATATTTGAATCATCAATGCAACTGCGAAGAAATCTTTCTATCATTATTCAACAGAGGCCAGAGGAGGATCATCAGCATGATTATAATCAATCTATAAGTATGTGTTATAACAATGCAATCAATCTTTATATATTTATTTATTAAATATAAACAAATAAAAACGTTAGATATAGATTATAATAATTTAAATCTACCAAAATATACTACAAAACTTGTATTTTATTCGAGTGGTAGTTGGCCATCGTCTTTTGCTGATTGTACCAATTTAGTTTCTATAAAGCTGTTGTACTCCGGTGTAGATTTGAAAAGATTTTTGTGGACTTCCGATAAGTTCCCACCGACTTTGGAGATACTTAATGTGATGACATCATTTAACTCTGTGATACCGATTGGTTCATTACCAGCTTCGCTCAAGGAGTTTAGACTGGGTATGTCATTTAATCAGCCATTGGAGGTAGGCGTTTTTCCGCCTGGTATTCGATTGATCTCACTCTATTGCGATAGTTTCAATCAACCGATTCCTGCTGGACTGTTCCCAGACTCTGTGACGTCGTTGCGGTTCGGTGCCGAATTCAATCAGCCACTTGGAAGTTCACAGCTGCCTCCAAATCTTAAACGTCTAATGTTGGGAAGGTCGTTCCGACACAAGCTCAACTACTTACCGCCAACACTTACATATCTTGATATAAGTCTGAATATTATTAATTTCGATTGGCTTGGTGTTGACGGATCGAATCTTCCGGATTTTAGCCAAACTCCCAAACTTGTAACAATTGGTAAATTCCCATATCAATTCAAACATCTACTTCCACCATCAGTAACGGATTTAACATTAATAGGTAGTTTGGGTGGTCACCCCAAACCCTTGCCTGATTCGATCACCACATTATTTATAATATCAAAGTTAGACCTCTTTAGAAAGACCTCCGTCAATGGAAATCCAAAGGTATCACTATTGAACAATGTTAGAGAATTAACTATTGGCGATAACTTTGACATAAAGTTCAACAAAAATTCATTTCCAAAGGCACTCAAAATATTGAATATCGGCTTTTACTATCATCAAATCGATCCATTCGTACTACCAGAGTCATTACAAGTCTTTAATATTACAGAGTACTCATTTTCAATAGAGAAGGATCTTCTTCCAAAGAAGCTAGAGGAATTAAGGGTTTCTTTACATACTGAGAAACTAAAGGTTCAAGCTGGTTCCCTTCCAGCATCCCTTAAATTGTTAATATTTGGTGGATACTATAATGGAAAGCTTGTAACGAATGCATTCGACACACCAACAGACAACTCTGAGCAATGCAGTGTTAGGCTTGAAACCGATCCAAGATACTTTAAAAACAACAAATTGGAAAACATTCCACCTCCTATTAAAACTATTACTATACTCAAAAGAATGGGAACCTACACTCTACGAAGATTAGAAGGAAATAAATTTCTAATCAACTCTATTTGTTTTGGTGGATTGATTTCATCCTCCAAGCAATTAATAAAGATAATAGGTGATTCTTATTAAAAAGAGTTGTTTACTTTCTTTTTTTTTTTTATTTCTATTGATTCGATTATTGACCGAAGATCCTGTGACTGTGAGATGATATCAAAAAATTAGTGGGTAGTAAAAGTCAAAAAAGCCACATTTTTATTGAATGAGTTTTTTTTCCCAAAAAAACTTTAGAAAAATGTGAATTTACCCGAAACCAAGAGACAAATATCTTTAAAAAAAACTGTTCAAAAAAAAATATGTAACCTATATAATTATTTTTAGTTGTTGAAGTAACAACTATATAGTTTTTTTTACAACAATGACTATGTCATTCTTTTTATTTATATTAATACTATCATTATCACTTGTATATTCAACAACTACCACCAACAATGATATTAATATTTTAATAGAGAAGAAAGATGAAAGAGTAAATGGTGGATTTGGTCAAAGTAATAGCAAGTTAGATTCAGACATGTGTTTACTAGAGTTGAATGATCAGAGCAGTGAGAATACCACCACTGAAGAAAGAGTCTTTCCAAAAAGATGTCAGTTTCTCAGTCAAGATGTCTCGCGCTCAGTTGCGTCAAAGATGTCTTGTTGTACAGAAAGTGATGCCGGTCGATTCGAACTACGAGTCAATAATATTATTTCACAAATGTATGCTCCTCTCTACCACTGTAATAATCTAAAAACACCGCTGAACAACAGTGGTTATTCAGTGAAAGAATTCTTGGCGTCGCCGAGCGGAATGACACCTGACCTACAAAGTGGTGATGAAACCGGTAAAGATCATCTACTGGAGGATGTTCTCGATAGCAGATTCTACGTCAAGCTTTGTAGTGAACATCTGGCTGCACTCCAATGCATGAGGTGTTCACGTGATCAGCGATCGGTGCTTGGCAGAGCGGGATTCGAAGACTATAGACCAAAGCGATACGATCGAGACAATGACCCTCTTTTCTATCTACGAGACAACTTGAACATCGATGGTTATCCTTTTGTTTTATGTGAACAGTATGCAATGCGTTTGTTCAACTACTGCCAATTTCTCAATGTCAGGGAAACACCATTCGTCCAGCAATTCATTTTCAACGAACACTCAAAGAATCATTTCGTTGGGATCACGCAGAATTCCGGCTTACCAGAAGGAGTTAGATTGAGTCCTTGGGTTTCACAAGATTTTATCGATGTATTCCTAATCAGCAACGTGAACTGCTACACCAGAGATATGCCTACCTTTACAATTCCGAAATGTACTACCATCATTAATAATCAATGGTCGAATCGCTATGTGGATGCTCCGAATGACCCACCTCCTAGTAATGACTTTGTCTTTTCGGCCACTCATAAATCATCGGTTTACTTATCACTTATAATAATAGCAATAATATTAAATTTAATTCTAACATAAAAAATATTACAACAACCACCAGCAAAACACACAACCAACAGTATAGAAACAAAAAACATCCAGAAAAAGAGGTAACCACTATTTATTATTAACTAACTTTCACAGTAAATATCACAATGATATTCTTACATATAATTTAAAGAAAATAAAATGTCATTTTTAAAATTAAGCACAACATTTTAAAAATGGGGTAAATGTTAAAACAATGGTGGCAACGAGAAATCCGTGCCATTTTAAGAGTTACAACAACGCGCTTTTTATCAAAATAACAAACACGTATAAAAAAAACCCAAAATTGGGTTTTTATAATAATGTTACAAAAAAAAAAAAACTATGAGCACAAGTTTTTAATTGGAACCCTTAAAAATAATTTTATTATTATTATAAATATAAAAGTATTGTTTACAAAAATTTTATGTTTCTGTGAAGCCGATAGATATAATTGTTGGATCATATTATTATCAAAACTTCTTTTGTTTTTTAAACGAATATTTAAATTTAAGGTGAACGTTAACTTCACTTTTTTGATCAATACTTTACACACATTGTTCACTTTTCTTAATACTGGTTATAGATCTATAACCATTTTCCCCATTATCTAATTTTGAATCAAAATTTTCTGAAAATTTGATATGATCCACAATGGATGGGGAGGCTTTTTTTTCGAGGGGTATGGTATTGAAAAGAAAAATATCTTTTGATAAAAAGCAAAGAAAGAATAGTTGATATTTTAAATTTTACAAAGTTTAATCATTTTCAACTAACTATCTAATTTCATCTCAAGATGATTATAAAAATTAAAAGAAAAAATCCAAATAGAGACATCGATAGAACAAAAATTTTGATAAAATAAAAAATAAATTGAAAAAAAAGGGTCTTGTCAAAGTGGAAGACCGTGGGAAAAAAACAATTTAAAAAAGTTGCTAAACTTTTGCAAAAACTCGTAATACCTGCTCGTTCCATCACCCTTACCATCTTCCATATAATTAGCCCTGGATAAAATTTAAATTTTTTGAAAATTAAAATCAAAAAATATATTTGATAAAGTACGATGTTTTGTTTCAAAATCATCTAGATGTTTTTTATATATTATAATAACAAACTATGATGCATTGGTCAAACACCAAAATCAAAACTTAAACCTGATGAATCCCAAAGTTGTGTGTAATTAATAAGAGAACAGGGTATTTTGAGTAACTGATGGATTGATGTTTTGTGGTGATGGTTAGCTCATTAAACCGGTTTATCAATAATAAAATAGTAACTACATTTTTTTATTTTTAAAAATTCTTACATTTTCTAAATAAAATAATAACCACCTACATTCCCATTCCACAAGAGAACAACTTGTTTTATTGCAAAACCAGAAAGATTGATAAGCAACTTTTTTTAATTGTAATTTGCTAATCAATTCCATACCTATATAAATATAGATAGATAATATATTATTATTTTTTTTTTGTAAATTTTTATTTATTTCCTTAATTGTTTTTTTTTGTTTAGAATAATTTTGTATCATTATCTTATAAAAGTAATCCATTATTATTTCTTTATTTGATCTCAAATAATAAATAATTTAAATAGGAATGTATAAACAATTATATTATTTTTTAATTTTATTAAGCATTTCTCTTTGTATTAATGCTGATTCCAAGCCACGTATGTATAAAATAATTATTTTCGGAAAGTTGATAAAAATTTTATATTAATAAAAATAAAAATAGCTACCATCCAAGCTGCTGGTAGAATTTTGGATCATCTCCCAAAGTACAATAATAATTTCCAACCACCAAATTGTGGTGCAATGACTAAAGGTCTCGTAAAATCACAACTTGGTCCAAGCAGAGTGCCAGAGCTCGTCAATTTAGATCCGGACAATCAAAAAAACGAGGATGGTCGTATGATCACACCAAGTCTCTTTGAGACTTTCTTTGCCTACCGCAAAGATATCAACATTGATATCCCATATAATTTGACATTAAATTATGACAGTGATAGAAATATCTATACTTTTGACAGTCAAACATTTTTCCCAATTGACAACCAAGGTTGGGTAAGTTTGAAAACTTTTTAAAAAAAAAAAACAAAATTATTAATAATTATTATAGGATAAAATTGACCCAAGCAATAAGATCTATCAAGATGGAGATGGAAATTATCATAATTTCCATTTCTGTATGGTCAGTCATATGTTCTTCACCTACCAAGGTTATGAGGTATTCAACTTCAGAGGTGATGACGATGTTTGGGTATTCATCAACAGTGAGTTGGCTGTCGATCTTGGAGGTCTCCACTCTGCAGAGACTGGAAATGTAAATCTCCAAACTGGATTGAAAACTAAATTGACTATTGGTAACACCTATCCATTGGATTTCTTCTACTGTGAACGTTGTACCACCACTTCTACTTTGAAACTCGAAACCAATATTCAAGTTTTCTGTGCCTCCTATGACTATTGTGGTATTTGCAATGGTGACGGTTCATCATGTTGCAATGCTGCCGTTGACTGTAATGATGGTAATTCATGCACCACTGATATTTGTCCAAAGCCAAGACCAGGAATTACCAAACAAAACTTTAAGGATTATTGTGAACATCCACCCATTACTTGCGCCCAAACCGATAGTTGTTTCAAGAATGGATGTTCCAATGGAAAATGTGTCGTTACCAGCGAGCCATTGGGTTGCCCAACTCAATCATGCAAGGACTCCACCTGTTTACCAAATACTGGTTGCAAATATACCCCACACTGTCCAAACACTGACAAATGCCTTAATGTCGTTTGTGTCCCAGGTAATGGTATTAAACCAGATTCCTGCTCAAGTACCAAAGTTAATTGTGACAAGGGTGACTTGTGTACTGATTACAGTTGTGACTCTGTTAAAGGTTGTATCTCCAGCCCAAAGAACTGTGCTGCCAACTCTACCGATACCAACATGTGTAATCAACACTATTGCGAGGCAGGTGTTTGTAAAGTCAGACAACTCCCACCAACTGAGTGCCAATGTTGCCAAGGTCAAACCGTTAACAAATGCCAAGTTTCCAAGTGTGATAGTACCTCCGGTAAATGTATTATTTCAGACAATCCATTGATTGATGATGGTGATAAATGTACAGTTGATACCTGTGATGCCAACGGTGTAATCACTCACACCAAGAAGGTGTGTTCAGGATGTCAGTCTTGCGACCAAGCCGATGGAGTATGCAAGAATGCTGATACCAACTGTGATGACTTTAACAAATGTACTATCGACTCTTGTGTTACCAACTCTACACAAAACGTCTGCCAATTCAAGCCAACCGATTGTGACGATAAGGATCCATGCACTGACGATCTCTGCGATCCAGTCCAAGGATGTTTACATACACCAACCGTATGTCCAGGTGTTGGTGATTGTGCAGTCGGTGTCTGTGTTCCAAATGTTGGTTGCAGTACCAAACCAAGAGACTGCTCCACCGGTGTCTTCTGTACCGATTCCATTTGTATCGAAGGTACAGGTTGTGCCAACTTCACCAGAAACTGTGTTGGTAGTGATCCAAAGTGCAAGAAAGGTACCTGTAACATCGAGAAACAAGAGTGTGAGTACTCTGACTACTCACCAAAGCCATTCGGTTGTAACAAGGCAGCCATTATTTCCACTGGTGTCATTGCTGGTATTGTAGTTGCCGGTGCAGTTGCACTTGCCATCATGGTATTCGGTGGTAAGAAGGGATACGACTATTGGAAGAATCATCAAGAACAAAAGATTTCCAACCTCAACAGTAACCCACTCTACACTGTCAATCCAAACAGTGGAAACAATCCATTGTTCCAAGAAAATTAAATAGCGATATAATTAAAAACAAAAAAAAAAAAACAATTAGCGATCATATCTATTTATAACAATTATAATAAAATTGTGTGTATTTATTATTTAAATTAATTTAATTTGTTTAATTCTTTTATTTTAAAATCAAAAAAAATGTGATGTTCACTTTTAGTTGATCAGCCATTTTTTAAAGATATAAAGAAATCATTCCTTTTAATAATTATCTTTTTTTTTTTTTTTTTTTTCAACAATTATATTAAAATGAAGATAAGAGAGGTTTATGAAAGTGAATCACATATCAATTTATTACTTTGTAATGAAATAGAAGATGAGAATTTTATAAATGGTGATTTCGTAGTTCAATCAAAGATTAGTAAGCACAGTGGTGCCATGGAGTTGTTGAGATCGATGTTCTTACCGGCTGGCTATCCCGATTCTGTTACCAGTGACTATATGAGTTATCAGGTGTGGGATACTGCACAGGCACTCTCTTCTTCTTTGAGTGGTGTTTTGGCAACACGTGCAATGCTGCGTGGATATGGCGTGGGAAATGCAGCTGCTTCAGTTGGGTCTGCTGTTCTCCAATGGATATTACGTGATGGTGCCGGAATGATTGGTAGAATCTATTTCGCTTGGAAAACAGGTCGTCAGTTGGATTGCAATGCAAAGACATGGCGATTCATGGCCGATATCCTAAATGATATTGGTATGACCCTCGAAATGTTGAGTCCACTGTCAAACGTTCTATTCATGCCACTCTCGGTATGCGGTATCGTCTCAAAGAGTATATGTGGTGTTGCCGGTGGTTGCACAAAGGCGTCGCTCACTATGCACTTTGCCAAAAACGATAATATGGGTGATGTATCGGCAAAGGATGGCTCTCAAGAGACTGCTGTCGGTCTAGTTGGAATGTTCTTGGGTGCTGCACTCTCCGCGTCAATACCTGACGAGTCTGAGCAGACTACAACCGCTACCGTTGCCATTTGGATGCTCTTCTTTATTCTAATTGCATTTCACTTGTATTGCAACTATCGTGCCGTCACTGGTGTAGTGTTGACTTCAATCAACAGATATCGTGCTACTTTGATCTATAAACACTATCTTCAATACGGTGAGATACCAACACCAATTCAAGTATCGAAAAGAGAAAACATATTGTTTAGAGATGATAAACAACCTATCTATCTTGGTGCATCTCTATTGAATATCATTAACTTGAACAAACAACAACAACAACAACAACAATCTAAAGAGATTAGGGAATCGAAAACCAATAGTATAATACGTCATAAGCTAGAGAATAGATATATTGACATTTGGCAATTCCAACAAGAAATATACATATCTTTAAAGGTACATTGTACAGCTGTTGATTTAATACAAGCATATTTATATTCGGTAGCTATTCTTCATCAAACCAAACAGCAAAATAATCGGGCATTTATAGATTTAGTTACATCGAAATCATTTAATGATCGATTGCTCTCTAAAGGTTGGAATACAGATAGACAAGCATTAGACGCAGAAGGTTGGAGATATTCAATTATAAATTAAATGAATAAATTGTTATTTTAAATATATATTTATTGTAAAATAATTGAATATTAGTAAACTTAGTAATAGTTTGTTATAATATATCTTGCAACTGATACACTAGTATATAATAAACCAAATAGACCGACAGATGTGTAAAACAATGGATCAACACCTATCCATTTGGTACCATCTCTCACTTGGTCAGTGTTGTTATCTTCTTCTTCTCCTTCCTCTGTGGTACCTGCTTCCTCGTTGATTCTAACACGCTTCTTAAATTTGTGCTTGGCAGCAGCACCACTCGATCTTGATGTTGTTGGCTTCTTCATTGACGATGGTTTACCTTGTTGTTTGGAGACTGCTGGTCTTGGTTGTTGTGGTGGTAACTGTTGTGATTGTTGTGTAGTAGTGGTGGTTGTTGTTGTTGTCATATTTGGTGCTTCACTATCATTTGACAATGTAGAGGTAGCAGTCTTCATATCGAATACTTTTCTATATCTCTCTCTGAGTTCCTCATCTACTTTATCAGTGAGCTGATACTCTGCGGTTGTTTCATAGGTTTCCTCATTAGCTGATTCCACCAATTTAATCGAATCTGTTGTGATAGAATAGATATCATTTCCATCTTTTGTTGTTATTTCACCTATTTGTTCATAACACTGATCAAAATTATAAAAGTATAATAGATTAGTTTATTTATTAATCTTTTTTCCTTTTATTTTGTTTGAATGAATACTTACGCCTTTACAATTGATAATAACACTTAGGATACCAAATTGAAACTCTTTATTAAAGTTACAACTATCAACAACATAATCGGTAAAATATTTATAAGATGAATCATCACCAGCACCCTCTGGTGCAGATGTCTCTGAACTAACTTTAAAAAGTTGGTTATCACATATATTACAACAATATACACCCATTATTTACTCTCTTAATTAGATAGAATGAAATCTGAAGTATGAGTATAAAAAACGAAAAAAATAAACTTTAATTTTTTTTTCAAACTTTTTAATTTTTGTTGATCATCCCACGCTATGAGGTAAACAGAAAATAAATAATAGAAATTTTAAAATTATTTTTTGTTTAAAATTTAAATTTTATACATTATTTTTTTAAAAGTGATAACTAAAAGTTATTAATAGATTCTTAGCTTTCTTGATGGTTCCCATCCGAGACCTGATGATGATGAAACAGTGTATGAGGAAGTTGGATTAGATGAAGTTGGGTTTGATGAAGTTGGATTGGACGAGGTTGGGTTAGATGAAGTTGGATTGGACGAGGTTGGGTTTGATGAAGTTGGGTTTGACGAAGTTGGGTTGGATGAGGTTGGGTTGGATGAGGTGGATGACTCTGAGCTGGTACCTGGACCTGATGATGAACTGGAGTGTGGACCTGATGATGATGGACCCGATGAGTGTGGACCTGATGAAGAGCTAGTGTGTGGACCTGATGATGAACTGGAGTGTGATGGACCCGATGATGATGGACCCGATGATGATGGACCCGATGATGATGATGTGTGGGTGGTAGATGAGGCTGAGGAAGAGGATGAAGAGCTACCGTAAAAGTCAAGATCAACAGAGACACCACATTGGTTGGTGTTTCCGACGTATTGTTTCATCTCTGGGTTGTTCCAACCTCCGTATTGGTAGGCGCCAGAATCAGAGAAGGCTGGGACACCATCGTAGTGAGCGTACCATTGTGGGTAGGAGGAGAGTGAAGTGAGAGTACCGACAGTTTGTGGCCATTCACCAGATGATGAATAAACACCAACTCTGACACCCAAAGAGGCAGCAGTTTGGACAGCTTCAACAACGAAAGCAGCGTTGGCACTTGTAGAACCCCAACAACCAGAGCATTGCTCAACGTCAATCCAGAGAGTACCGAATGAAACACCGCTTTGCTTTATTTTGCTTACGATTTGTTGGATTACATTGGATGATGGTGAGTTACCTGAACATTGATTACACAAGAATGCATACTATAGTTATAATTTTTTGTGAATAAAAGGTTGTTTTGTTTTTATTTTGAAAAAAAAATTAATTTTATTAACTTACAAGATCAACAGTTTGGAAACCTGCATTTTGAGCAGCTTGGATAGCACTGACAACACCATTGTTCATACCGTAACCACCAGACCAAACTTGGATGATCGCACGTTGGTTCTTTTGAGCAAGACAAGACCATTGTGAGCTTGTCATTTTTTGTGAAGTTGCAGAAGAGACATCGATACCTAACTCTGCATTGGCAATAGCTAAAATGCTGATGAAAGCAATAATAGAAATAAGTAATTTCATATTTTTTTACAATTATATGTATTCTTTTGATAAAAACAAAACAAAAATAAAAAGTTTTGTATTAAATAGTTGCTCCAAAACTTGACAGACACCTCACTGCAAAAAATTGGATTAGTAAACAAAAAATCATAGGCACGATCAAGATATTTTAAGATAAGATTAAGAAAAAAAATTTAAATTTCCAATACCCTTTTTTTCGTTTTTTTTTTTTCACAACAACTAGTTAGCCTACTTTTCTTGTCAATATTCAGATGTTTTCATCCACTTCAAAAATTTTGCGATATTTTTTTCAACCAAGATACAACTTTTTAATATTAGATAAATATGATTAAATCAAATATTGTAATGTAATAATAAAAAATATCAATGATATTATTAAAATCTCTTGGTATTTAGAAAATTGAAATACCATCCTAACATCAGATATTTAAAACCAGGAAATTTTTAATAAGATTAAGATGGTATTCAATATTTTTCTTTTTTTTTTTTTTTTGAATAGTTTGTTAGATTTTTTTTTATTATAACAAATACTTCCAAAGAGATTATTAATTTTTTTTGATCTCATAAATTTTTCAAAAACAATTTTTTTACTGAGTTAACTTAAATATTCTGATTTGAATATCACTCAAAGGATAGTATAAATTTTTTTTAATTAATAAAAAAAAAAAGAGATTGATTTTACAAAATAATTTATTTATTTAATATTATATTTATATTTATTTGGTTGTGGTGGCGCTTGTTCCAGAGCCAGATCCCGAACCCGAACCAGAACCACTTGAAGCAGAGGATGAAGACGATCCACTACCCGAACCAGACGATGAAGATGATCCACTACCTGAACCAGATGAGGTAGTACCCGATGATCCTGATCCAGAACCAGAGGATGAAGACGATCCACTGCCTGAACCAGAGGATGAAGACGATCCACTACCCGAGCCAGATGATGAAGATGATCCACTACCAGAACCAGATGAGGTAGTACCTGATGATCCACTACCTGAACCAGAGGATCCAGTACCAGAACCAGATGAGGTAGTACCTGATGAACCACTACCTGAACCAGAGGAGGTAGTACCTGATGATCCACTACCAGAACCAGAGGAGGTAGTACCTGATGATCCAGAACCAGATCCTGATCCTGATGATGAAGATCCAGAGCTACCTGAATAATAGTCGAGATCAACAGAGACACCACATTCATTGGTGTTTCCTACGTATTGTTTCATCTCTGGGTTGTCCCAACCTCCGTATTGGTAGAAGCTAGTATCAGTGAAGGCAGCAACACCATCATAGTGAGCGTACCATTGTGGGTAGGAGGAAAGTGATGAGAGTGAACCAACAGTTTGTGGCCATTCTCCCAATGATGAATAAACACCAACGGTAACACCCAATGAGGCAGCAGTTTGGACAGCTTCGGCAACAAAGGCAGCGTTATCATTGACATCTCCCCAACAACCAGAGCATTGCTCAACATCAATCCAGAGAGTACCGAATTGACCACCCAAACTGTTAACGATTTGTTGGATTACATTGGATGATGGTGAGTTACCTGAGCATTGGTTGCACAAGAATGCATACTATGATAAAGAAATAAGTTTTGATATTTTGGTACGTCCACAATATTTAATTACTTACAACATCAACAATTTGGAAACCTGCAGATTTGGCAGCGGAGATGATAGATGATGCCTGAGAATTGAGTCCATAACCACCAGACCAAACTTGGATGATGGCACGTTGGTTCTTACCGGCGAGACATGACCATTGTGAGGAAGTGATACCTTGTGAGGTGGATGATGATACATCAATACCGTAGTCTGCATTGACAAAAGCCAATACAGTAGCTAAAACTATAAGAGAAAAAATGAATTTCATATTCTAACTAAAGTAATACAAATTTATCACTGAAAAAAAAAAAAGTAAAATGTAGATATTGCAAACAAACAATATCTAAATCCCATTTATACTAAAAATCAATTTCTAAAAAAAATCAAAAATAAGGAGAAAAATCTAAAATATCTTTTAGGGTTTGGGATTGATAGTACCACCTTTTTTTTTTCTCCAAACAATCATCTCTTTAAAATAAAGATATTTTCGATTGTAGGGCAAAAAGCAAACAAACTGTGTAAGAAATATAAATAAGATTTGTTTTTGTTTGGAGAAAGGTAAATTGAAATCTTTTTAAATTCAAATAATTTATATTTGATACATTACTTTATAAAATAACTATTAATAAATTACCAGGATTAAAATTTAAAATCTTCAGATGAAGTCTACAAACACTTTTTGAAAATTAAAATGATCATTTTTAACCTTCAGCATATTCAACTCTTTGAGTATTTTTAATCAACAAACAACAAAAGAGAAAAAAAAAAGACTACAGAACTTTTAATAAGCAGGAACGGAACTACTTTAGTTTTAAAAAAAATAAACTCCTAATAAAAATTTTTTTTTTAAGAAACATAAAGATCTTCAAGATATAAAAAAGTTTAAGACTGAAACAAATTTTATATAAATAACTTTTTTTATCATCATATTATAATTATTGAAAAAAAACAAAAAACTTTATTTTATTTTATTTTTTTAAAAAAAAACCATTTTTTTTAAAAATTTGAAAAAAAAAAAACGAACGATTGATTATTTATGAAAATTAAATTTATTAAATTTTAAGTTATAAATTTGATCATATCACTTTGATTAATTAGACAAAGTCTTTTGAATAAAGATGATGAAGTTTGGTTATCAATTCTCAAATCTTTTGGGAACTGTATATAGTGGAGGTAATATTCTGTTCACTCCTGACGGTAACTCTGTTATCAGTCCAGTCGGTAACAGATTGACAGTATTTGATTTAGTAAATCATAATTCTATCACCCTACCAATAGAAACACACAGAGATATCAAAATAATTGCTCTTTCACCAAATGGAAAGATTTTAATTGCATCAGATGAAAGTAAGTAGTTACAATAGTAATAATCATAAGCTAAAAGTTATACTAATTAATTCATTTATTATTGTATATTTTTAGATGGTTATACAGCAATTATCAATTTACAAAGACATGTTCAGTTGGGTGAGTGTAAATTTAAAGAGACACCATCAAGTATTGAATTCTCTCCGAATGGAAGTATGGTTGCATTCGGTATCGACAGAAGAGTATATATCTATAAATCACCAATCATTCAAAAGTCACTGAATCCAATGGTTAGACTTTCGTTGTTCCAACATTCTCAAAAAATAGTATCATTAGACTGGTCAAACGATTCAAAGTATGTTGTTAGAAAACTATATGTGATACGATGTAGTATTATAATATTAATGATAATTTCATTTTATTTTATTTTATTTCTTTAGGAAGTTATTGATAGCATGTAAAGGTGGAACTTTGTTTGTTAGAGAAGGAAATGATAGACCACATTTATTCCAAGTTCAAGGTTCACAACCGGTTCGAGCTTACTTTGGTAATAAAGATTCGACTTTGATTTTCGCAGTGTCAAAGAAGGGACTTGTACAATGGCGTTACATGAGTGAAGAGGAGATCAAGTTGCAGAAACTTCAAAATAACTTGTCAACAGAGAATCCAGATATCATTGTTACCACAGAGAATCTACAACAAGAGAAAGCAGCGAGCGCATTTGGTGACGATCAAAAAAACAGAAACAAAAGAGCAAAAGGCAGATGGATATATACTAGTTTCAACCGTTTCGAAACATCTCAGTCGGTTCGTGTAAAGTCGTGTCAGTATCACAAAATTGGAGGACTACTGGTTATCGGTCTTTCCAATGGTTTGTTCACACTCCACCAGATGCCAGAGTATCAGGAGTTATATCGTTTGAACATCTCAAATCAGGCCATCACATCGGTTGCCTTCAATTCCACCGGAGAGTGGATGGCATTTGCTTCAAAGGAGTTAGGACAGCTATTGGTATGGGAATGGCGTTCGGAAACTTATATCCTCAAGCAACAGGGACACTCTTACAATATGTCTACGATGGCTTATTCTCCAGATGGACAGACCATTGCCACTGGTGGTGATGACGGCAAAGTCAAGATCTGGAACACACAGTCTGGTTACTGTTTTGTTACTTTCTCAGAGCACGAAGCACCAGTTACAGCCATTCGTTACTCTCCTGTTGGTAGCCAAAACGCCGTATTCTCTGCTAGTTTGGATGGAACTGTTCGTGCATTCGACTTGTTGCGTTATCGTAACTTCCGTACGTTTGTATCGCCCAATAAGTCGCAGTTCTCTTCATTGGCCATCGATGCTGCCGGTGAAATTGTAGTTGCCGGTTGTGTAGATACCTTTGAAATATATGTTTGGTCCATTAGAACCGGTCGTTTAACCGATGTTTTATCGGGACATACCTCACCAGTTTCAAGTGTAGCATTCGACCCATCCACTTCGATGCTGGCATCTGGTTCATGGGACAAAACTATCCGTGTTTGGGATCTCTTTGAGGATGGTGCCACAAAAGAGAATATTATAAACAAATCCGATGTTTTGGCGATAGCATATTCACCGGATGGATCGAGATTCGCCGTATCGACACTAGACGGTTCCATTCAGATATTCGAGACTGCCAATTGGACACAGGTTGGAATTATTGATGGTAGACACGACATTATGGGTGGAAGAGCAGCCGCCGACCAAAAGATGGTCAAGAACAGCGCATCGGGTCGTGCATTCAGCAGAATCGCATTCACTCCAAATGGTCAGTGTTTGATTGCCGGTGGTGACTCCAAGTACATCTGTATCTATCACGTCGATCAACAGATTCTCCTCAAGAAATACCAGACATCACATAATATGTCGCTGGATGGAATCTTTGATAATCACACATGGCGCAAAGTCACAGAGTTTGGACACGTTGATATGATGGAGGAGGACTATGAGGAGGACGAAAAGCGTCACGAACACTCACTTCCAGGTGTAAAGAGAGGTGATCTTGCTAAACGTTCCACCAAAAAGAAGATTAAAACATTCGATCTCGCTATTTCACCGACTGGTCGTGCTTGGGCAGCCACCACTACCGAAGGTCTAATGATCTACTCACTCGACGAAAATCTATTTTTCGATCCCACAGATCTCTCAATGGACATCAACCCAGAATCCATTCGATCCACTCTAAATGATAAAGAATATCTTAAAGCATTAATTGTAATGTATTAAAACAAATATTTGGAATCATCAAAAAAAAAAAAAACTGATCAATTTTAACTAATATATAAAATTCTCTTAATCTAGATGAGTTTGAAATTGAATGAAAAGTCAATTATCGAGGAAGTATTTGAATCGATTCCAATTGACAACATTGCATTTGTTTGTCATGAATTCCCTCAATACTATCTAAAGAATTTCATAAAGTTTATCAGTTATATCTTTGAAAGAAAGCCACATTTAGAATTCCAAATGTCTTGGATTCTCTATTTGTTGACCTATCACGGAAAGTTCTTCAAGACCAACAGTCTAGCAATGATCGAATCACTTAGAAACCTTCAAAAATGTATAGCTCAAAACTATAATAATTTATCTCAAGTGTATGTATAAACAAAAAAAAAGTTAATCGATTTAAATATGCTAATCTATTTCAACATAACAGATGTGATGATAATAAATATACATTGGATTATTTCGAACAAATATCGATATTCAACATAGAAAAACAAGAAGTCAATGTCAAGGTTGAAAAAGAAGAACCAACTACTGATAGTGAAGAGGAAGAAAATGAAGAGGATGGTGAAGAAGAGGAAGAGGAAGAGGAAGAAGAACAACAACAACCATTGAGAAATAAGAAGATAAAATCAAATAAAAATTGATAATAAACAAGACTTTAAATCAATCATTCAATTAGTTTGCACACTCTCAATTTTAAATTTCAAATCATTGTTACTAAAAAAAAAACTAATTATTTTATTGATCGTTTTCAAAAGCAAATTAAACAGTTAAAATATATTTTAAGAATTAACTAGACTTAAATTTAAATATAGATTCTTTGAAATAATACCAATAACCGACTATACAACCCAAAATTAAAATAGATACCTATTTTTAATATTTTCACAACTCTGCGGTTTCATTCAAGAATGATAAAGTGTTGATCTGTTTGTAACTGCTATTATTGAATGATGTGAATAAAGCTTTTATTGATTGATAGGATTTAGGGTGAGTGTCCTGGGTTTTAATACTATAACAAAAAAAATATTTAAATTGCTTTTATTCTCTATTTTGTTTGTTTAGTTCAATTGTAGTTTGATGTTTTTAAATATTAATCTAAATATATCAAACAATAAATTCCAATAAGTAAATGTGTGTTTCCTAACCTTATTTATTATCTTTAGTGGCATCCACCTTATTAATCAAGTGTGTTTATAAAATAGCTAGCTCTTTTTTTAGGCGAAATTTAAATTATTTTTTGAACACTACATTTTATTTATTTTTAAAATTTAATATTAAAATTGTGTGTTGTGTGAATGTGTTATTGTTATTCTAGATCAGTATGGTGGTTGATTTTGTTTTTTATGTGTTTACTTCAAAATCACAATTGAAAAGCATAGAAGGAGGTAAGAGTGATTTGTTTCTTGTTTAGATCTCTCATTACCCAAAATCATGTGTTTACTATTCGTTATGTTGGTTAATGAGGAAATGAATAGTATTATCAGTTACTCTTTTTTATCTTGTTTTGTTGATCATTGTGAGGAAATGTATGACTCTGGGGGAGATACAACTATAATAAAAACAATAATTTATTTTCAAAATCAAATAAATTTAAATTGCACAAAACTAAAATCATTAAAATATTAATGCTTTAACTAGTTTGATACACTACATTTTTTTTCCAATCTAATACTACTTATTGTTACTATTACTTTAATACCATTACTATTTTTTCATTACAAAATATAATATAAAACCACCTTGTTTGTTCTACATTTTTTATATATGTACTATTAATCAATTCCCACAAATAAAATAAAATTTATTTTTATTTATTTATTGTGTATTACTAAAATATCTTTAAGATAAAATTTTATTTATTCTATTACAAAAAGATATATTCTTTATATTTATATCACTTTTTAAACATTTTCAAACCTTCTTGTATAATATAATAACTCATCATTTGTAAATAACTATTTCTATACTCATCATTTTTGTAAAATGGAAAAGAATAATACTATTATCCAGAGTGAGAAAAAGGTGAGACCAATTTTAAATAGAATTAAAACTATTGGTGATCTTAGATCGAAAAAAACAGAAGAAAATGGAAGTACATCTCCAGTGGCATCACCAAGATTCTATAATAAAGATGAAGACCCTTCCCCAATGAGTGCACCCTCTTCGCCAAATATGTCATCCAAAAAACTGTCTCGTGGAAGATCATTCTGGCAAGCCAAGCAAAAAGATGATTTCGATGAGGCTCTCCAATTAGAGAAGGAACGTGAGAAAGAGAAAGAAAAAGAAATGAGAGAGAAAGAAAAGGAAAAGGAAAAGGAATTGAGAGAGAAAGAGAAGGAGAAAAAGAAACAAGAAAAAAGTAAAAAGAAAATGGTTAAGAAATCGAGTAGTAATAGAGCTGGTGATGCCTCGGGCGCAACCAAAAAGAGAATAAACTTAGATGAAAACTCTAAAGACGAGTCATACATGGATGATGGATACCCAACAGAGGCAATTGATGAAGAGCAAAACTATGAAGATGACTCTGACTATGAGTACAACGATCAAGAAACTGTTTCTGCTGACGACGAAACCAAAAGTCATACATCCGATGGAGAAATTGAGTTGGTCGATGAAGACGGTGATGCAATCGATACTTCAAAGAAAGCAAAATTCAAAAAGAACTGGATAAAATGGGTCTCGATGTTTTCATATTTTCCAACAATCGGTATTTCTGCAGACGGATCACAATCGCCTCGATCTCCAACCATAGCCTCCATCCAATCACAAAGACGTAGAGGATCTTTATGTTTAGATTAAAAATAAAAAATTTGTAAAATCGATTGTAATATAAAAAAAAATTAATAAAATAAAAAAATCTAGCTTGTTTTTATAAAATAAAAGATAAGGAAAAGAAATCAATTATTTTATTTTTAGTTATTTTTTATATAAAAAATGAGTTTCAAAAAAGGTGTAGATTATATTATTTCCTTTATCAAGCTCTGGGACAGCAGAGATAAGGCTATAAGAAAGACTCTAAAAAATTAGTTTTAATTTATATATCGAATTCCTAGGATTAATTTTCATTCACCACCATATCTTATTACATTATATTTTTATACAAATAATTTTTTTTATTTTTAATTTAAAAAAAGATTTTTTTTTATTTCAACTTTATCATATAATATCATATGCATATTGTTAATTGATTTAATCTCATGAAATTAAACAAAATAATTATAATATTAATTTTCTTTGGTCGGATATATGTCAGTTCTCAGATGAAATTCTAATATTTTTAAAATTAAAGGAAAAAAAAAAAATCTATTATTGTTATAATAATAAAATTAGAATGTTGATTGTAATTATTTATGAACTTTATTTGTTAGTTTCTGAATGTTAATATTAAAGTTTCCAAACAATCTTCATATTAATAGGTTGTGGATCTGTATCACAAAAGAAAGTTTTTTTTTTTTGAAAATCATTAGCAATTATTTTTCATACAATCTTATAACCACCAGGACAATGAAATTTCCAAATTTTCAAAAACTTTTTTTTTTTTTTTTTTTGGTTTTTGGTTTTTTTTTTTTTTTTTTTCACTAAACATGTTGTTTTTGAGCTTATTTCAAAAACACTCAACTATTTTTACATCATTCTTTCATAAAACTAATATACATTTTAAAAATTAAAACTTATTTATTCTATTTTTGAATCTTTAGACACCCAGATTTCTTAACACCAGTTTAACAATTATTGTTAACAAAAAAATCAGAAACAGAAATTTGGATTTTTTTTTTGAAACCACAACAAACAAAAATAAAAAAATCAAACACCACAAAAATAACCTCATTTTTCACTTTACTGTTGTTTTTTATTTTATTACTCAACAAATAATCATACACAAATAACAATAATCCAAGGAATATTTAAAAGGTGATTGATTTCCATACACTTTCCTAATATAGATGTATTTTCTTGCAAGTTATTTTGTTTTCTGATATTAGTTAATTTTGGATATGTCAATAATATACATACTAGTACAACCATAGTCTTTTATCAAACGAAACTTAACCAAAAAACAAAAACAACACAACACAACACAAAACACAAGACAACACCACATACAACACTTTACCACGAGTAGTAGTAGCAGGACAAATTTGTCTGAAAAAATATTCAAACCTTTGGTATACAAAGAAAACATCATTAATAAATATAGCAATAATAGCAAATTAATACTTTAATACCAATATCATTAGAAACAAAAAAATAAATAATAATTGTATAAAATATAACAATAATTAGTATTTCATCAATTTATCCAAATCAATCATTAATAACAGCAGTAATATCAAACACATTTAAGTAGTGAGTGGATTTCTTCAAATTAGAAGCAAAAAAAACAGCGTGTCAGACCGTCCAATTAATAATCGCTCTGTAAAGGTTACAAATTCCGAGTGTATATTAGAGTGGAATAGAATAATAATCTAGCATTTGAATCGCAATTACAATCATTGTAGCATAATCCATCACGCGTTGGTTTTCCACCTCAAAATCAATTGATTACCTACAGTTTCATACCAATCGTATACAACAACAACAACAAGATAAATACAACAACAACACCTAATTTATCTAGAGTTAAAGATCTCATCTAAGCCAATCACTCAATAGTCAATAATCGTAATATTATAGTAATTTATAAGTAGTAGTAGCAGTATAGTTTGTGACGTTATTTATGATAATCATCATTATCACTCGATAAGATTTTGTATTGTTGATTGCGATTATATTTATATATTTTCCACTTTCACACCTCATCTTCTTTATATCCACAAGTATTAATTACCACAACTCAACTCAAATCATCAACTTCTTTCACTCTGTACATAACAAAGCATTGAATAGATAAATACAATACATTAATATACAACTAAACACACTTACTTAACTCACTCCACTATATAATCTGATTACTTTAGAGTAATTGGCTCAATTACATTTTAACATAAAATTAAATTTCAATCAATATAAATTGGGATTTGATCATTAGAGACAACATCAAAACTGTCCTTTTTATTATAAACTATTATCTTAATCGATAAATTTATCTTATTATAATAATCAATTTTATTATTACATCATAACTGTAGTCCACATATCTATATATATTTTATATATATTAATACATTTTTGATATTTCTATATAAATATAATCAAAAATCTTTTATTTTATTTATTTATTATTTATTTTATTCTATTATTCATTATCTACAATCAAAATTTTTCTTTTATATATTTTTTATTTTTTTATTACACACACACATTTGAACATCAAAAGTAATATTACACTCGTTTTTTCATTTCACATTGGAATTACACAAAAATGTCTATCAAAATAATATTGGGTATTTGTGCTATGGAGGAAAAGTTAGAGTATGCAATATATTAAAATTATATAAAAATAATTTAAATAATTAATATTTTGTTGATTAAATTTCTAGTTCTGCTCCAATGAGAACATTCATTGAAAAATTAATAAGATACGAAGAGCTGGAAATCAAGATATTTGATAAGGACACCATATTCTTAAAGTCGATCGAAGAGTGGCCAATCTGTGATGCCTTTCTAAGTTTCTATTCAACTGGATTTCCGCTTGAAAAAGGTAAATTATCAAAAAAAAAAAAAAAAAAAAAAACCTTTAAATTATTATATAGTGTAAATAAATCTAATCCTATAAATCCTCTAGCAATTAAATATTCTGAATTAAGAAAACCATATGAAATAAATCATCTAAAATCACAAAGACTCTTGACGAATAGAAAGTCCTTTTATCAAATGCTTGAAAAAAACAATATTCCGACACCAAGAAAAATTTATATCGTTCGTGAATCGAATGAGACAACAAAATATGTTGAAAATGAAGATTTTATTGAAGTATGTATATAGTTCAGACTTTTTTCGATCGAATCTAATGTTTTTTTTTTTCTTATTAAACCAAATAGTGTAATGGAGAAAGAATATATAAGCCGTTTATTGAAAAGCCATTCGATGCTGAAGATCACAATATAAATATTTATTATCCAAAGTCACAAGGAGGTGGTTGTAGAAGACTGTTCAGAAAAGTTGGAAATAACTCTAGTATTTACCTTCCAGAAGGTTAGTGATAATGATATTACTTTTGGGAAAAAATAATTAACTTTTTTTTTTTTTTTTTTTTTTTTTTTTTATCATAGTTAATAATATAAGAACCAATGGATCTTATATTTACGAAGAATTTGTAACATTAGATGATGCAAAAGATGTAAAAGTATATTCAACACCAACTCAAGCTTATGCTGAGTTACGTAAATCACCATCAGTAGATGGACACGTCGAGAGAAATTGTCTTGGAAAAGAAAAAAGAACTGAAACAAATCTAAGTGGTAATTATCTTAATAAGTGCTCTCGTATAATACTTGACAAATAAATATTAATTAGTAAAATATTATTATTATAGAGTTGGAATCAAGACATGCAATTCAAATTAATAGAATATTTAGACAATTTATTTGTGGATTCGATATTCTAAGAACAAAAGGAGTTTCTTATATTTGCGATGTAAATGGATGGTCGATGGTAAAAGGAAGAAATCAAAATCATTTCTACGATGAAGCTAGCAGATATCTAAGAGATATACTCAAAAGCCAACATGCCTTGAATTCAGCAAACAACAGTTTAAACTTTTCACCAGACACAGCATCGACTTCGCTCTCTTCATCTTCTTCCATAACAAACTCACTATCATCATCCTCCAATTCCATCTATAATATAATCAATGGTCAGACTTCAACCAACTTTCACCAACAAATAGTGCAGGAAATATAAAATTTGTAAAAATAAATAGTAAAAGTTTTATTACCATGCCATTTTATTGTTGTTTGTGAAGTACATAAAGTAAAATAATTCTATCATTATTTATAAATGCTACCACTTGTTTTTTTTTTAAAAGTAATGAATCACAGATTAGAATCAAATGTAAGCTACAAGAGCCAACGTTACAATCATTCAGATGTTGAAAGAGTACGACATTGTCGAAAATCATACATTTCTTTTGTATTTATTTATTAATGATAAAGACGATCGTTTAAACTGAACACATCATAAATAATATCTGCAAACAGTTTTCATTATTTGAATTGTAATTCTCGTTGTTATTATTACTATTGAATAGTTTGATAGGTGAAATTGGTTGGTGTGTTCTTCAAAATATTGGATGAAGTTTGAATTGTAAATTGTATATTCTTAATATGTTGATCCGATTCATCTTTCTAATGATCTGTAAGTCTACTTAACCGATTTCTTATCACTCTGTTGGTTCGCGATAGGTGTGATCACCATTTTTATAGTCAAAATTGATCTAAAAATTAATGAATTAATCATAAAGATTAGATGAATTGATGTTGGTTGATTGGTTGAGTGAATAGGTGTGTTGTGATGGTTTTAAATGATTAAATGATTTAGAATATTAAATGTAAGATAATCTACTTCAAATAGTGCATCACCACCAATCCTTTCTTGAAATCTAAATCGTTTGTACATTATCAGTCCTATATTATTATGAGCAATATTGATATTTCACCAAGAGACTATTTTTTTTTCTCTTTCACCATGGGTTCAACAATTCTCTTTTTAACTATAGTTGGTTAGTTAGTTATTCATTTATAATAAATAAATAGTTTAACAAAACCTACCAAATAATAGAAGAGGTTCAATGCTTCTTATTTGAGGTTTGCAAAGTAGATAGTAGAGGAATAGCATCACTTTCCAGAGTTTCTACAATGATTTAATCGATTAATTGTCGTTAAACTGTCATCTTTGGACAAGAAAAATATTGTATTCGTGCCAACAACAGATCCAATATGTTATTCAAGCACAGTAAGTGTGGTCAGTGGAGCAGATGTCTTATTCAAAGATCCTTCCAAAAGAATTCAAAATGTCTTGAATATTTGTTTGTATGATTACCATATTATTGATCTATATATCATTAAAGTTTAAAAATATTAGTAAATTAATAAATGATAGTATAGTATTTAATTTATTGAAATTATATAGGACTTATATTTATTTTTTATTTATATCATGTGTCTATGAATGGGAAACTAATGAATGATTGATTAAATGAATTATATAAATAAATGAATAAATAAAATGAGATATTTGAATTGAGAATCAACTTCCCATTGTAGATAAAGTGTGAATAATAGTGATGAACATTCAGTAACTTGAAATCATTAGTGTATAGGATTGTATAATCAAAGTATAGGTTTCTCTGTTATGTTATTCTTAATAATTGTGTAATTGTGATTCAAGATAGTTGATATAAGATTATTTTGTTGGTGTAAATATGTTAAAGTTTAAATATTTGATAATCCAAGTTGTATGAATCATGATTAATATTATATTTTGTCTATGAACAAGTTAAATCGATATTATATTGAATAAAAAACAGAAAAGATAGAGTGTAGATTAAATAAGAATAAAAGTTAACTAACCTTTTATATTATCTTTACAAGAGTTTGCATAATAATAGAGGTCAAAAAAAAATATGCTAATTTTTGTTTAATAAAGCTATAGTTTAGTTAAAATGATAAATGATTGCAAGTTGTTGTTAACAACAATAAAACTAAACAACAATTAAAATAATAAAATACTTTGATGTTCAGTGTTTATGATCAACTAAAATTTTTTATTTTTTATTTTTGACTTTCATTTTATAGATCTTAAGATATCGTTATCAATAGTAATAATAATATCAATATTTATTTATTTTTCAATTTTAAAAGATGTTACAGCTTTAGAATATAATAATTATTTAAAGAAAGTAAATGAGTTATAATATTCAATCCAAATGTAAGCTCAGTCAATGATTTCAGTATTCACTCTCTTCAAGTTTACTTTTTGTGTTCTAAAAAGATACATATTGAAGAGTAATATTGAGATAATGATCATTCCTATAATTCTAAACT